TGACAAATGGGGATGTTATCGGCCCAGTCATCCCAGTAGAATCGATAGTCGGTGCCATCATTAGTGTCTTCTTTATCCAGTTGAGCCCACCGCAGAACTCGTCTTGCAGGTGGGGGCGTAAGTCCAATTTGGCCCTTCGCACTGTTCTGATCGGAGGTCACCATGTATTGAGCTCCAGGGAAGTCACCGGTAGATGACAATGGTCGGAACTGGATGTAAACCTTATTCAAAGAGTGATGAAGTATGCGGTGAATGAACTCGGGGAGCTCAGGGTAAGCCTCCATCAACCAGGGGAACTTGCTGATGATAAAAAGGGATTCGGGAATAGCGCCAATGGCGAGGAGACTCTTGAGGAGCAGCACTTTCTGGTCGGAAGGGTCGGGCAACTCATTTTCCGTTTTGGGTGCGCCCTTATCGGATTCTTGGTCTTTACTAGGGGTCGCCACTCGCGGCTCGTCGCGCAAGCGAGAAGGGGGAACTGTGTCGTCCGACAAAGCACCAGCCATCATCAAGGCGTTGATTCCGCCGCCTGGCCGGCCAGCCTTCACTCTTTCAGCTTTCTCTGCCATCTTTTCGGTCTTCAAAATATCCATGGTGTCGTCAGATCGCCAGAGGTGTGCATAAAGGTCACGCAGAGAGATAAAGCCGACTTTGATGAGCAGAGCGGCAAGGTAAATAAGGTTATCAGGGAGAACGTCGGCTTTGGTTCGAGCCGAAGAAGAATAGAATCGCAACTTGAAACCAAGCAGCTGTGCTGCAACCCGGTTGCCCTTAGGGGGCAGAGTGTCAGTCTCTTCAAGCCAGGATCGTGTAGCATCTTCTTCAGAGGATGAACTATTAGTTTCTGAAAGAGTTCGTTGCCTTTCCTCCTCTGAGATTGGTTTGCGGCCGATCTCGAAAAAGGCCTGAAGTCCGATCTCCCTCACTCGATCCCAGAATTGGCTATCGCGCTCCTCATTCGCGCGCATAATAGTAGATCGCTCCTCGTCGGTTGTGATCCACCCAGTTGATCCAGGAAGTGCCCAATTCGGAATGCCGGAGTGGCGATCGCCTTGCTCAAGGCTGTGAAGGGTGTCTTCCTCCGGCCACCAGGAGCTGGCTCGCAGAAGCTTCACAAAGAAACGGTATTGCTTGACAAGAACAGCAGCAAACACATCCAACGTGACGTCTAGCACACGGCCGACATCCATGTCAAATGCGCCAATCATAGCCTTGACTCTTTCAAATGTATCCTCGACTACTTCACTCGACGGCGGCTCATTGTTGCTTGTTGTGAATAGTTCGGTGAGAAGTTTAGAGTATCCCTCGGATTCTTCGCGGAGAAGATTGTAATTGGACTGTCGGTAGAGCAGATTGGTCTGCTTGCGAATTCCCATTCGCGCAAAGGTTTCGCGAACCAATCCCAGAGCCTGCAACAGTGGGGTCTCAAGTTGAAGGCGCATCAAAGAAGGATCAATTCCTGTCGCAAATACAAGTGGTTTGAGGGCCGCATTCGACGTATCAGCGTCAGTCACAATGGAAAGGGTATCAAGGAACAAGGAGCGCGGATCGATTCCTTGGGTCGAAGGCTTTCCGCTGTCGGCCTCCATATTCACATCCTGAGACACAGATTCTTCACCAATTATCTCTTTTGCGGCATTTCCCGCATTCGATGGTGACAGTCGACCGTAGATTGCGGAGCGAATAATCTCCTGGTAGACAGATGCAAGCCGGGCCAGATCCTGTTGCAGGCGAGCCGCAGTTCCTTCTTCGACTACCTTTTGCTTGCCCGCTGAATTCCATTCTTCAACATCAACGTCGGTCACATATTCATAGTCATAAGGTGGAGGTGGGAGAGAGGGATGGCGGGTGATCGTCTCTGAGCCAGCTCGGGACGGCGGGTTAGGTTGCGGCTGTGAAGCAGGAGTATTCGGCGCAGGAGAAGGGGTAGGTCGCGATGCCGCCGAGTCGCCATTGTACGGCAAGGGTTCTGCAGATTCCTTGGACTGATTTATCGGGGGAGGAGACATAGCGTTCGGTTCTCTATTCTGCAAATTCGAAAAATTCTGACCTTCGTGGGATCCGCGGCGGGAACCAGCCCGGCTGCGATGCGATTGTCGGCGAGATCTGTCACGGGTGTCATTTTGCTCTCGGGGAGTGGGAGATTGGTGTCCGGGGTTGGCAGGGTGGTGTGCCATGTTAAGGGTCCCAGGGCGATGGGGTGAAGGTCGCAGGTCATTGCTTCCTGACTCGCCGCCCCACGAGCGATCAGGGCGCTTCCGCTTGCCACCATGCCCGTACCCAGGCGCCATGATGAGTAGCTGGTTTAGACGCTAGGGGTTACGACGGTGGAACGAGACACTGAAGGGTTGCAACTCATGCAGTCGTTTCTGTACGAAGCCGGAAGAACAGATATCAGCACTGGCGGTGAATGAATGGCAACAAGAGAAGAAGGCAAATAACGCGCATAGTAAACTTACCAGCAAAGATCGTTTTTGTTGAAAATAAGGTGGTGGAGAAGCTAAAGGCGTGGAAGGTGAAGATGGAAGATGCTGATGGTCAAAGCTTGTCTTAATATGCTAACCGTGCCTGAGGTGTCAATGATATTCACCTATTCAGCCATTCACTCCCATTTATTGACTTGATCAATTGTAACTTCTATTGTTCTCACTATTGATTCATCAGTTATATCACTTCTAAATCATTCAAGCGACAATCAATTGTATCTAGAAGTTTTACAAGCATTAAACGTCGTTAGACAATACCCCATCTATACCACACCATTCATGAATATACCTATGTAGATCACTGTACGTAACATAAAGGCCGGCACATAACACTTTGAATGCTGAATGAGATATTAATAAAGCATTTATTGAGAACTCGCAAGAGTAGAACAAGAGCAGACATAAAAGATCGCAACCATACTAGGCAGGTCACAGAAGAAGAAAGTAAAAATGACAAAAGAAAAGACTCCAAGGTGACTCGCAGTCTACTCGACCTTGCCTTTCCCATGGGAAGGGTGACGCTTCTCATCCGAGACAGGATTCTCATCCGAGACAGGAACTGGAACTTCGACAAGCCGCCTGGACATCAAGGAAGGGCCAAGAGTGACACCTACAAAATCCAGATGGGCAACCATGGTCCATAGGGACCAGGCTTCCCACGACATTCCTATTATAAGGAAAACAGACTGATCAGTTTCATAAGCGTCCGAGATCTCTACTTTCATACTGGGCGGTAGATCTTGGATCGCATTTTTGAAGCCTTCAAGTACTTCGCTATGACCCGGTATTTGACTGTGACCGTGCAGGGTCAGTTTGACAAGTACATGTTTCTCATTCACATGTGATGAAGGGCGTGGGATACGCGAGGAAGTAGTGTGGTCATTGAACACGAGTCTGATTGGCTGGGTACCACTGAGAGTTTCAAACACCGCACTTGGAGCATTCCGTGGTTTCTGGCGCTGTATTTCCTGAAACAAGGCGGCCGTGGACACACTTGATTGGCCTTTAAAGTGCTGAACTGCACGGAATAGTCGCATGGTAAACGATATTTTCTCACCGCGAGGGCTTGTTCCCTCATCAGGACCACAAGCCGCCATAACTTGGGTAACCCTTGAGGCCTGTGCTCTTGTTGCAGCGCCAGAGTAGCAACAATCAATTACCCCGAGGACATCGATGTATCGCACAACATCTTTTTCGGCGAATTTGGAGAGAAAGTCTGCACGGACATCGGACCATGAAACATGTTTACCGTCCTGGGTAAAACACAGGTCCCCGTCGACGATAGCTCCATGTCCGACGTAGTAGAACACGAATAAGCAATGTAGTTTGGAACAATAACAGTCAAGAATCATTTTGCGGATCTCGGCTGCAAGATTCCAACCTGGGGTGGCGTCATTTGCTTTCAGAATGTGATTGGTATACTGGATGTCGAAGGTTTTCATGACTTTGCCCATAGTGATGATATCTTCCTCTGCACCGGTAGTATCATTTTCCCAGCGAATAAGGATTGCCACTTTCTGGCCGTAAAAATTGCCACGGGATGCTGCTACCTTCTTCAGATCTGCTTTCAAGACAGGGAGATGATGAACCCGAGGTGCCCTCGAAGGAAATGAAATAGGCGTTGATTGAAGCGGAACAGGGGCGGAATGGTGAGATGTGGCGGGCGATACTGGATCAGATGATTCAGACATTGTACTAAACGATGTTAGTCCCTAGAAAAAGAAAGAAAAGTATGGATCGCTTGATAGTTGGTACTCACGATGTGAATTGTGGGGACGAAATGGTATCAAAAAAATGACAGTCCGAATGACGACAGAAATGGGGGGTTTCAGGTCGGAAGAAACCGAAGTGCAAGCAGACGTTCGAAGAGGAGAAACTTGAAAAGCGCATTGCAGAGAAGAGATGCTTGTAGCATGAAAGAAAACTTCGTATCGTCGGTCTTGAACCATAAGAGGAGTGGTTACTCACATAGAGCCCCGACGCCAATTTGGGCTTCGGACCCGTACCTTGCACCTTTTGGACTATAGCGGTGCCACATCAAGATATGACTATGTTTATGTTGCTGTGAAGAAGTTTCCAGACGCAGTTATGATCAAGCTACGTTGGGTTAAATGTTCTGAGCATGTATTGATATTTGAGAAGAAAAATACAGTCTACTGAACAGTGTATAAGCGTAGGAGTTATGAAATAATTTAAGAGAATAATTCTGCTAATTTGCAGAGTATTGTAACTCTTTTCTTTTTCTCTGGCCGTGTTAGCCGTGAATGGGAGGGAGAGTGTCAGAGACAGAGAGAGAGAGATCATAGAGAACAGATTTTCCGCAACAAGTGTAGAGATGGTATCATATGGAAAGGGAATGCCAAGAAGTGGCAGAGGAAATCAAGTACATAGATAGAATACAATACTTGACTACAATGTAACCTATTTATCCTTTGACTCAAAAGCCTGAATAAATTGTTCTTTAATAAATTCATTCCATATAATGTTCTCATAAATTAATAAAAGTCCCGAGTCTTACAGCAAGCCAAGAGCTTTAGCCTCAACCTCAACAATCTCAGGAACAAGATCAATCAACTTAGGCTTCTCAGGTGTCCACCCAAATAGCTTGCGTGCACGGATCGAGTTGCCGCGGGAGTTAGAGCCCCAGGAATAGACTCCAGTAGAATGTACCTCAGTCGTCTGAGCGCCATCGAGAGACTCCACATTAGGAGAAGGAATAAGCTTCTTATCAAAAGCAGACTGCGCAACGGCGCGCTCGATATCACCCCATACAAAGGGCCCATTCTCAGCGAGATAGTAACCCTCGTTATTCCATGTAGCCTTGCCACCTCCTACCGAGGCTGCCTCGCCCAGAGCCAGGTAGATATTGCTCAGATCCTGGACGTGGACCTGGTGCCAGATGTTCTCGCCTTTTCCAACCAGGAAGCCCTGCTTGCGCTTTAGCACCGCAGCACTGAGAGAGTAGGCTTGGATACTCCTTGTATTACCAGGGCCACGACCAGGGCCATAGATAGTAGGTGGGCAGACGACTGCGACCTTCACACTGGCCGGGTTCTGCTGACCAGCTCCGAGGATGATCTCATCCACGTTACGATGGAAGGCATCTGATGGAAGGTTGACCAGCTCACTGACACCCTCCCAGTCGTTGTACTCCTTAGGGCGTTCAAGGCCGTATGTGCCAGCACGCTGGTCCTCGACCGTCAAGATACCAGTGCCGGAGGTATGAATCAGCCATAATGGACGCTCAGGGGTATGGTGCTGAGCGCCCTTGGCAATGGCCTGGGCTGCGGCAACATGATCGCAATCAGCAAAGTCTGTGTATATATTGTTAGTGATGTGATATCCTAATTTATGAGCCTGAATAAACGCACGGAAGACAATATCTGCGTTCTTAACTTCCTCTTCGATCAGCTCGGACGAGTCTAGATCACCAATCACAGTCCGAACTTGCGGGTATCTGCTGGTGACCTGGGCGGACTTTTCCTCGCTACGAACGAGGGCCAAGAATTCCCAGTCAGGATGGGTGGCAGCAAGGGCAAACAACCCGTCACCGCCGATATAGCCAGTTACGCCAGTCCTGTAGGAATTTATCAGAACGAATGTTCAGTTTACATTAGAATGACTTACAGAAAAACCTTAGGCATTTTGGAAATAGGAAAAGAAAAAGTATTGGCTAGAAAGGTGAATCAATGCAAGGAAGAGTTGAAATGATTTGAAATCAACTCCAAGTGGGGGATTTGGGCAGTTCAAGTACTCGACAATTAATAATCTACAGTCGCACCCGCGTGCGTGGATGAGGTGCTCAATACATAGCTTCGCTGCCCCACATTCCGATCTAGTGTCTTCGCATATTGATCCCAATCATCTAGTGTTGTGCAATCCAATATTGACAATGGCCTCCGGAAGCTGCGCTTGTCATTATATCAGCTACACAGCCTCTACTCCACCAACCTGCCTGGTCAATTGCCACTGCACAACCTGCCGCAAACAAGCCGGCGCACCCTATCAAACCTGGGCATTCTTCGCAACTGATGATATCCGATGGTATGTCAAGCCCACAGAACGGCAAGCAACCGACACTGCTACGCGTAGCTTCTGTCCTCAATGCGGTTCGACTCTAAGTATGTTCCTACATGGTGATTTGAAGAGTATCGCGATCGCTGCGGGGACACTCGATGAGGGGAAGACACAGATCCCGCTGCCAAGCCATCATATCTTTCTTAGTGAGAAGGCGTCTTGGTTTGAATTACCAAAGGATGATAGGGCAAAGAGGTGGGATAAATGGGGGGAATATGATAAATTATAGCATTGATTTGACTTGAGACCATTAAAGTGGCCTCATATTGGTGCAGGGAATAGATATTCACCACAGCATTTTGGAAGTCATATAAAACAATTGCAACTATGATGAATTTGAAACCTTTGAATTGGCCAGATAAAGAGATACTGATTGTTCATAGGCCTAGACAACATAACAGGAGAACGAGGAACAAAGGGGAATCACAAACTCGTGCCGGGGCTACATGTACAGACTCGTTGCGTCCTAAAATCCGATCAGAATGTGCTGGTGGCCAGTCGGCTGGCTGCATTGCGCGCATCAAGACGGTCATCGTCTTCCTCCGCGATCGACCCAACCTGACTGGAAGCTCGGTTGCGCCCTTTACCAGAGCCCTGGCCATTCGCCTCCTCATCATCATCAGGAAGCGAGGGGGCAGTAAAGCTGCCACTCATGCTGCGTCCAACATTGTCATTGCGACGAGGAACACCGCTCCATGAGTCGCCCTTGGGACCCTGACTCGAAGTCATATTTGGCCGGCGTGTCGCAGGGTGGGATTCACGACCCAGTCGGCTCAGGCCACCGGAAGCGTCAATGGCACGGATGTCAGGGCGAACGCTCTCCAAGGTGGCCAGAGTGCGACGCTCGGCTTCGATCTGGCGGAGGGTGTACTCACGCATGCTAAATAGAAGATCCTGGGTAGTTCGGTCAAACCAACGGCGCTTCTCCTGGAGCAGGTTTGACGTGACACGCTGGGTCCGCTTGGTCAAGTAATCTTCATGGTTCTGAGCCTCCTCAAGAGCGTTGATCGCCTCATCTACCTTATCCGGACGCACTGATGAGCTGACCTTCAAGCGGTCCGCCGCGGCACGTTTGCTCCGTGCACTCTGTTGGGCCTGGAGGAGTTCACGGAGGAGAATATGGCGGTTGGTCAGGGTTTCCTTCACAATGAAGGCATCGGAAGAGTGATAACTCAACGGCTCGCCGAGCGTTGTAGCCTCCGCGGTGGCCTGAACAGCGTGGTAGTCACCAACAGTTTGAACGATCTTGCCCAGTTTACGGTAAGCAGCGCCCAAGCCGGGATGAGTCTCCTGTACGCTCATCTGAGCGAGCTTCACGCCGAAATCGGCTTCAGCCAATCCGAGCCCTAAAACAGTCAGATTCAATAGGAACACGATATGGGACGAAAAAAGCTTGAAACTCCAGTTAACGTACCGCGACGGGCCTTGACAACTCGGTCAACTTTATGGCTCGTATCCATTGATCCCAAGTAGAACGTCTTCGCAGTTGGACGAGCAGCTTGCAACTCAGGTGTGTCATCTGGGGGCGGCGCGAACTGCTTCAACATCTTTCGTCGCACGCCTGTTGCCGGCTGCTTCATCCGCAACACAGGGCTATAACCAAAGTCGCTCTCCACGAACAGCACAATCTCATCGTCTTGAATAAGGATCTCATTGCTCAGCACAACATTGAGCCATCGCTGCATTGCCGATTTAATGCGAATCTCATCCTCCTCGGTACCTGCACCGGCCGGTGTCACTGGCGATGGCACGGCAGGGACTAGGGCTTCCGGGTTGGCAGAGACTAGGTGGTCGGCGAGCTTGACGAATTCGGAATGGGTCCGACGCACATCACGATATTGGGTCGTGCGGAACTTGGGAATATTGGTCTGGTTTCAAAAGCAAGCAGGAATCAGCTAGGGCATAGGCGCAAAATACTCAAAGGGGAACACCTACGTGGACGTCGAAACGCAGGATTGGGTCTTTCTTCCCCGTTCTCTCCAGAGCAGTGATTTTCCCTTGGATCCTATAGACGGGGGCCGGAGGGCGTAAGTTTTGTCGTGCTCCGGTCTGATATTGTGCGGGGGAAGCAGATTGCTGTTGCTGGGCGTTTGGAGGCTGGTCTACACTGAATGGGGGGTGCTCCTCGGGATAGTCCGGGTCTCCTAATTGCGCACTTTGCAGCTGCGCAGAGAGGTCTGGGGATTGGGGTTCTCTATTGCGGCCCCTGCCAACGTCCTCGGCCGATTGATTCTGGCCAGGTAAAGGGGAGGATGGGATGTCATTATTGGAAGTGGGGAAGGTGCCTCGCTCAGCACGCGGTGAGGCCCAGGGTGAGGTACCAGTAGGATGATCTGGGTCGGTAGAGATGGTAGAGTAGTCCATCTTGGTTGAAGGTCGATGTAAGGAGTATCTTCGCTGACAAGGGGGAGTGGCTGGTCATGGTAGGCGTCAGTGTTAAACGGCGGAAGATCGGACCCCCCCACAGCAACGGCTAGCTTCAAGACACCGAAAGACCTACCTCGTGCAGCTTCAAACCGCGAATATAGCTGGAATTCGTTCAAATTGGCTTAGCAAAAAGAGCAAATTAACAGCAATAGTATGGGCAAAAGGACCCGAGAAGTTGAAGAAAGGTAGGTGCCGGAGTCAGTTACGTATGGAGGAATGCGTGCGCCAAGCCTCGCCATCTCTAGTCCACTTTGCGGACCGATTTTCTTTGCTCAGGAACTTGCTCTTCCACTGTATCAATAACAATACCATACACCCAATGCCAACCTCCACATAATTCCTTATCCTTCTGTCCCATATTATATGAGCGCTTCCCCTTGGAATGGTCGTGGCTCCGTTGTTGCGTTTTCCCCTCAGGGTGCGCTGTATGAGCTCCAATCTATATAAGACGCCGAGTAATCTTACGTGCAAAAATACATGTTCTTCCCTCAAAGGTCTTCGGTCCAATTACAGACAGCTCCAACGCTTCTCCACGACATCTGCATGCAAGGATGAAGCTCTGGACCGGACCCGGAACATCGGCATTATTGCCCACATCGATGCAGGCAAGACTACCACTACGGAGCGCATGTTATTCTACAGTGGCTTCACACGGCGCATCGGTGATGTGGACGAAGGCTCAACAGTGACCGACTTCCTTCCCGCCGAGCGCGCACGCGGTATCACAATCCAGTCAGCCGCCATTACCTTCCATTGGCCTCCTGGAGAGGTAAATGGAGCGTCAGGCCCCCAGGCTGGGGCGCAGAGTGAGCCAACTCCGCGGTCTGCTTACCCGCACACTATCAATTTGATTGATACCCCTGGCCACGCAGACTTTACATTCGAAGTCATGCGGTCTCTGCGCATCCTCGACGGCGCCGTCTGCATATTGGATGGTGTTGCTGGTGTTGAAGCGCAGACGGAAAAGGTCTGGAATCAGGCAAGCACATATCACATTCCGCGAGTCATTTATGTGAATAAGCTAGATCGTGATGGGGCCGCATTTGGGAGAACGGTGCGAGAAGTTAGTTCTCGCTTGGGTGTCTATCCAGCAGTCTGTCAGATACCATGGTTCCAAGGAGGAAATGGCCCTTTTATCGGGGTAGCAGATGCGATCCACCTCCAAGGACTACGATGGAAGGAAGGTGAGGATGGCCGCACTGTGAAAGTGGCAGACCTTCAGCAATTAGACGCAGAGGAGCCGGCTCTAGCCGCAGAACTGCGGCGGGCACGAATTGCTTTGATTGAGCTGCTCAGTGAGCATGACGAAGACATCGTTGAGAAATTCTTTGAATGCGAAGAAGATCATCTCGCGGTCTCGTCAGCTGATATAATTGAGAGCTTGCGCCGGTGCGTGTTGGATCAGACGAGTCGAATCGTCCCTCTATTTGCAGGTGCCAGTTTCCGGAACATGGGAGTTCAGCCACTGCTGGATTCTATTGTGAATCTTCTCCCCAGTCCACCCGAAGCTCCCGACCCGGAGGTGAGCATTGGCGGTGTCAAAGGAGGTCTTCGGGATCTGCTGTCAGGAGACTTGATTGTGGAGCAGAGCCAGAAGGCGTCCTCACCATCTAAAGGGAAACAACCAAAGAAAAAGAATTTAGCCTTGCAGAGCAGCTCAAAAGATGCGATCAGCAAGCTTCAAAGTTGTGCACTGGCATTCAAAGTGGTCAATGACGCAAAGCGCGGAGTCCTAGTCTATGTTCGGGTATATTCCGGCTCTTTAGATCGCAACAGCCTTCTGTTCAACACAAACTTGCAGCTCTCCGAGCGCGCCCCACGTCTGCTGAAGATGTATGCCAACGATGCTGTGGAAGTGGACTCGATCGCTGCCGGCCACATCGGAGTCGTAGTCGGGCTCAAACAAACCCGGACAGGCGACACCCTCGTGTCCTACGCGGGGAACAAAGCTACTCCCCCGGAGCCACTTACCAGTCTCCAGCTCCGCCCAATTGCTGTTCCACCACCAGTATTCTTTACAAGCGTTGAGCCGCACAGCCTAAGTGAAGAGAAGCGCATGCATGAATCACTCGCACTCCTCCTTCGTGAAGACCCCAGTCTCCACGTCAACGTAGACGAAGAGTCAGGTCAGACGCTTCTAAGCGGCATGGGTGAACTGCATCTTGAAATTGCCCGTGATCGACTGATCAACGATCTCAAAGCTAAGGCCTCAATGGGCCGCATCGAGATCGGCTACCGAGAATCTGCACTTGGTACTTCCAGCCCAATAACCAAGATCTTCGACAAGGAGATCGCTGGGCGGAAGGGGAAAGCAGGCTGTACAGCAGTCGTAGAGCCACTAGGTGAAGACTTCGAGTCCCAAGAGGTAGTAGACCAAGCCACGCTCCTCGTCGAAACGCATGACGGCAATCAGATCATCATCCGTGCCCCCGGTCTACAAATCGACCGCTCCTCCCGCAGCGAAGATGAAACCAGCCCATTCCTCCCACCAGGCATGGACCTCGTCACGTTCCGCACAGCGCTGCAAAACGGATCCTTAGCAGCGCTCGCCCGTGGGCCTCAATTCACTCTCCCAATGCATAATACACGTGTCACCCTAACTATCAATCCGACCACCGACCTCTTCGGCAACGAAACAACCACTTCAGCCCTCTCATCCGCCGCACGCCAGGCCACTGCCGCGGCGCTGAAGGATGTGCAATTTGGCGCGGGGACAACTATGATGGAGCCGGTGATGAATGTGATTATCAGCATCGATGAGGCGAGTCTCGGTTCCGTTGTGCACGATATTTCCTCCTCCCGGGGTGGACATATCATCTCACTCGACGAGGAGGTGCCATTGTCAGGCACAGACGCGTCAACCTCTGCATCCGCACTTGAAGAAGAGGCGCCGCCGCCCATTGATCACCGCCGTGTTTATGCGCCTCCGGACCCATTCGAGGCGGCATCTGTTGGTGTAGAGATTCCTGCTGCTGCGACTCGGCCGCGCACAATTATCGCAAAGGTGCCGCTTAAGGAAATGGTTGGTTATCTCAAACATTTGCGGAGTTTGACTGCTGGTCGGGGTACTTTTGTCATGAGTGTTGACCGGTTTGAAAAGATGTCTGGTCAGAGGCAGAAGGTCGTGCTTGCAGAGCTGAGGGGCGGATTTTGATTCCCGACTCTTCAGGGTCAAGTTGTTAAACGTCGGATTTAACCAGGAATTTTCTTGTATATCATCACATCTCATAATATCTCATCACTGTACCAATATTGCTCTACTTTTCGGCTACTTTCTCTCCTGCCTCCCCAATTGACATCAGGCCAAGCTAATATGAAGCAGATGGAGTATGCATCTGATCTTCCCTTTTCCAAAGAGGGAGATGCTAATATATATGAGTAATGTAGATAGAGGCCGTATGTAGACACAAAAAGATAACACTGGACATAAGGTCATGGCAGCAGAACAGCAGCCCATAAACAAACAGATAACATCGAGCAAAAGAAGGCACGTATAAGCTACCAGTTGTCATCCCATTCATCCTTGCCCTTGCCCGTCCCCGAAACCGTAGTATTCTTACTCTCTCCAGCTTCTGCCCTAGATAAAGCAGGTGTAGAGTTAGCCAGCGAGGAGGCAGTGGGGCCCTTGCGCATGGCAGCGGTTCCAACAACGTCAGACCGTTGAGACCGTTGTGATCCACTGCGGCGGTGGCTGGATGTATCTTGATCGCCCATTGACGAGAAGTCGTCCCAGAATTCTCGGCGTTCAGGCTCTACGCGGCTACGGCGTCCGTCAACGTCTTTATCTTCTCCTTCAACAAACTTATTGAACTGGTCGGCAGCGCCGCGGACCCCTGTTTGCAGGTTCTGACCTAATGTTGCAGCATGGAGGCGGGCCTGGGCTGCGAAGTCGGATTCGGCGAGCTGGGTGTTCATGTTAGTAATTGGACCAAAAGACCTCAAACCAGAGATGATAAAAATTCGCAAGCACGGTCGTGCACACACCTGTTTAGCCGTTGGCTGTAGATAAGCATCATTAACCTGTTTTGCGCTCTTGCCAACCGTGGATGCAAACCACCCGAATCCTTTGGTGATAGTGCCCATGGGGTCTTTCTGAAGATCTTCAAAGGGCTGTCCACCACCGCCACCACCCCAACCACCAAGTCCCCCAAAGGGCGAAGAGCGCCGCTCACTCGCAGAGGGCGCAGGCATACCACCTCCGAAACCAGTAAACTTTCCACCCTGTGAGGGCGGCAGGTTATCGGCGCGACTGGAATTATCATTGCCCAGTTTCGCAAAGTAAGCCTCGTTCTGCTCCTTCTTGCTCGGCATACCACCTCGCTGGCTGTCGCTAGAGCGAATGGATGACGCTGCAGGCGACCCAGCCCGCGCGCCAGCGCCAGCAACACCGCCCAGGCTCAAGGGTGTGCTTGATCGCGAGGAGCTATTCTTCTTCTCCTGGCCCTGGACGTATTCGCGGCCGTCGACTTTGCACGATAACCGTTCCTTCCATTCCTCGCCCGTGTCGCTTTCATATCGTTCCTTGATAGTCGAGTCTTCGAATGTACGGCCTTCTGAGACAGTAACTGGATGTTCATCGTAGAAAGTCTTCCAGGGCTCGTTTCCTCCCAGCTCCATGCGTTGGATTTCGGCGTGTTTGAAGGCGTCCATGGTGATCGAACGGACGAAGGAGATGTGCACACCTAGCCCGCGGTGTGTGCCGGCACAGTTGAGGCAGATGAATGTTCCGAACTTCGGGGAGGCCTGGTTAATATGCCCATGGTAGGCAAAGAGTCAGCAAAGAGTGTGGTCTGCGGGGTGTGGGTATGGGTTGTTTTGGTAGGGTAAAGTGCGTTCATGGTGATAATGCTTCTCGAAGAACAATATCAGGGCGATGGGCGAGAGAGAGTAGTAACGCATACCCATTGAGGTGACGGGGCGCCGCAATCGCAGCACTTGTCATTTCCGTTCGTCTTGGAGATTTGGAGGAGCTGTGGCACATGTCTGTGTCAGTGACCATGACGCGTTGCGAGATTTAACCTGGCAGCACACCTTTGTCCTCGTTTCCGGGTCGACCTCCCACATGCGAGACATAGTGAGTGAATATACAAAGGTGACCAGTCGTGAATTTAGGAAATGCAATCCAAATAACGGAGTGCGCTAAGATGTTGGAGAGTTGACCGACTCGGCACCGTTGAGAGATTTGCCCCTTTTTCTCGATGGAGCTGTGCGAAAGCTGAAACGTACTGAACCCAAAAAAATCAATGCAATTGTCTCGATGACAGAATAAAAACCAATTAAAGATAAGTGAGACAGTGCGTATTCTACGTTTTGCCTCTGATCGGCAAGGGTCGTGCTTCGCATCATCCCCAACCAAATCGGGTACACACACCCATTTGTATAGATGTCGAGGGACTACTCTTAGATTCAATATGCCGGGTGGCAGATCGTCATCATTTAGTAAATGTGTGCTAAGGTACAATACAAAAGGCGAAGAAAAAAAAAAAGAAAGTCGTTAAGGACGGAGAGCACATCAGCAAAGATGGCTCTCCTGCATGGTCAACTGATCCATGTTGTCCGATAAAAGTCATGAATCCATCCCCTCTCCCCAATTTCCCCATAATCGTTGAGTAGCTAAGATATTCACGGTGACCTGTAGTCTGCAGAGCACCATGATCATATCGATACGATCATCCGTTGAATCTTCCTCTTCTGTTTCCCATTCCAAAGCCAATTAGCAAGTGCCTCATGCGGTCGAGTGGAATTCATTCGACATTTAAGCCTTTGTGGTGACGGCGGGAGCAGCGTTCTCCTTCTCCTTCTCCTGAACAGGAGCAGATACGGGAGCCGAAGCGGGGGCAGGAGCTGAAGCAGGAGCTGGAGCTGGAGCTGAAACGGAAGCAGGAGCAGCAGTAGCAGCCTCGGTCTCAGCTGCAGCGTTAATATCATCGTCTTCCTTGCCGGGGCTGTCGATGGCAACCTTAACGGCGATGACGCGGCCATCAATATCCTTGCCGTTCATCTCGCTGACGGCCTTGGCTTGGAGCTCCTCTGAGGCAAGATTCACGAAGCCAAAGCCACGGGTCTTGCGGCGCTCATTGCGAGCCTGCAACTTCTTGATCATGAAACGAGGGATAGGACGCAGGGCAACCTTGGCAGAGACGGGCTCGTAGGCAGCGAAAATCTCCTTGAGCTAAAGAGAGAAAAGAATATTAGTCAGTGTAACCTCAGACGGAGAAAAGACGGAAGAAATAGATGTAACCCACCTTATCCTCGGTCAAGTCGTACGGCAGGTTGGCAACCATGACCTTGGTCTTAGAAGGAATGCCATCCTCAGGAGGACCGCGCTGCTTCTGGGGGCGTGCGGCGCGGGACTCGCTGGTCTTCGAGGCAGTATCCTTCTCATTTGTAGTGTCAGCAAGGGGGGTCTCGGCGACGACAGCCTCGGTAGTGGCTTCCTGGCCATCCTGGGCCTTGGCCAAAGTCAGCATCCAGTTCAGAGTATCGATGTGCGCGGATTCAAGCAAGGAAAGAGATTGGGCACATACAGCACGGCTACGGCCGGTGCGTCCACCACGACCGCGGGCACGGCCACGGCCACGGCCGCGACCACCAGCACGCTTGCGGCCCTCGGCGCCTTCGCCACCACTGGCAGCACCTTCCTTGGCCTCAGCAGGCTCGGGCTTGCGGGCAAGCTGCACAGACACCTTGCGCTGGAGAATCTCCTTACCGGAGAGGGCCTCAATAGCGGCAGAAGCTTCAGCGGCAGTAGCGATGTCCACAAATGCGTAACCAACTGGGCGGTTGGTGCGGGGGTTCACCGGGATCGAGGTGGTCTCGCTGAGAGATGAAATGAGTCAGAAAGTGTCCAATAAATGATGGGGTTCACAAGCTTGAATGTTTGTTGAAGGTGGGGGTGATTTGGATGTGATCCACAGATGTAGGAATTACTCACATGGTGTAGGTCTTAAAGAACTCCTTGAGCTCCTCCTCAGTAGTCGCGTATGCGAGATTACCGATGTACAGACGACGACCCTCATCCGCACTGGCAGCCGCGGCATCGGCAGCCTTGGTGGAAGGGGTAGCACCGTTGGTACTGGGCTTATCAGTCAAAATGGTCGCAGCCACGGAGTCAGCAAGTGCGTCGACGTCAGACATCTTGAATGTTGAGATGTTGAAGGATGAAAAGTGTCGGGGTGTTTATTTGCCTAAAGCTGAAATAGACTTGACGGGAGGTGGGAGCGAGGGAAGGAGCAGGGTAGCTTCGTGCCCTAGATACCAATTGAAAAGAGAAGATGGGATTGAAGTTTTTGATGCACTGGATCTTGAAGAGAGGGAGGGAGGAGGATGGGAGAAGGAGATGGAAAGGGAAAGGAGAGGCGGTGTAGCACTAGCCCAGTGAGAGCTCGAAGTGAATGGGGCAGGTGCGATCGAGGTACTTTTCCTCGATCACCCCATTTGGGCTCTAGGCCCCTAACAACCCATAACAACTCATAACAACCCCGATTAACTCCCAATCAACTCCCAATTGATCCCCAACTAAGAAGTGATTCCCCTAATTTTAGGCTCTTAACCCCGAATGCCTCCCGAGGTTCTCTTCTGCCTGAAACATACACCTTTCCCCAGCCCCGCCTTACATGAAAGCCTGACTCAGAACAGCTGGCCTGATGTCATTCTGGAGTCCATTTGAACCAATTGTGATCCATTACTATCTTTCTATCACTTCTTGCTACTTATTCCCTACAAAGATATTTTTTTCCTATATAACTCATTTTTGTTATTGTGTTTGATTCTTCTCAAATTCTCTACTTAGCTGCACATCTGCATACCATCCACAATCCGCACATGTGCATGACAATACCCGTGTGACATGTGCTATAAATAATCGGGGGATCTTCCTCAATTATCTCCACTTCATATTCTCCACGTCTTCAGATTCATCTTTACAAAGTACATTTAATATAGATGGTAGGCACGAATATACAATTATGTACTCTATGCTCATTCAGATACTCAACTACAACAGTTTCCCAGTCCTAGATACACGATATTGGTCCAGGCTACACAAGTGATACACAATCACAATATTTGCTTCCTTACACAATATCCATCGTCTTACAGGCAATCTCTTGTCAATATGAGCTTACAATTAGAAACAAATCTGTTACCCTTAGGCTATACTCTGTCCGTTAATCCGCTTGGGACACTGCTGTTGCTATGTTGCCAAAACATTGGCCAGTTCAAGGTCAAAATGCTTCGGCAGCTTCGGTTTAGTTTCATGGCACAAATGTCCACTTTTCTGTACATTGCAGAGTCAACTAAAAAAGACCCCTGCCTCGGTGTATGCTTTGAGGAATATATATTTCGATAGGAAGCCTCATGATTTGACCTTCAGTCTATGTACTTCGTATACAACAGTAATCACGAGTTCACTTTATAGTATCACAAAGATATATTAAATGATTTAATAACCCTAAAATAGCTAGAACGTATTAAATCACTAGAGACATATGCGATGTAGATCTACAAAGTACATGGGTTTTCTTCTGGTGGCGTCCCATGTCGCCATCGCCACATGAGGTAAGTAGACACCGGAATTCTCAGGCGTGTATAAAGCTTGGTACAAAGTACATCCATAGACTATTTGGGTAGTTTATTGGCTACAAGTCAGGACTTGGCACTGTACGGAGTACCACTCCGAAATAGGCCTCTTGATTTTTGACCTTGAAATAAAGCAAAAATAAAAAAATCTTGGAATGCAAACAGCTTAGGAAGATCGACAGTTTAGCGTGATATTGACGGACATGAACTCCACTGCCTCGTCACTTTTGAAAAAAAAAAAAAAAAAAAAAAAAAAAAACAAGATTCGAGGCAAAGCTGAGTCAGCCTTGGATTTAAACACCCCAAAGGTCCATAACATCCAAAGTCTGTTTTCGGATCAGAAGGGGGAGTTTCATGTTCTTGGTTTACTTACATTTTCATTTTGGTCTTGGGGACTACGTCTATTAATCTTGCCCCTAACCTTCCGGAACTCGCTCCAGCAATATGGACCGCATCGATCCAGTTGAGGACTCCAACGCCCCTAATGAGAACCCTCAGGGGACCCAACCCACAGGGCAACCCACAGAGCTTGGCCCCGTCAGGCCAGTAGGTCCTGCCCCGTTGCGTACTCGAGGCGATTCACGGGCGCGACGACCGAGTATTCGCCTGTCTCGCTTCCCATCTGTTCCTTCACTAGATAACATTAATCAACCGCCTCAACCAGAGGGTCAAGGCCAACCACCACCCTTCGAACCGCAGCCCATCCGATCGCCCCCTCCTAATGAAGAGGACGAAGCATGGCTATCAGGTCGACGGCGCAGCAACTCGGAGCCAAATCGGGGGCGCTGGTCATCTCCTCCTCCCGATTTTCTCTCACAGGTGGCGACTCCTATGCGAATGATGCCTGTGACCGAGGAATCCTCACACCAAAGCCCCGCTCCACCCTCTCCAGTGGCAATATTACCCGGTCAAAAGGCTCAGTCAGACTGTGAACAACTTGATCCGGAGCAACTCGAGGCCCCTCCCGCACTAGCGCGACCAGCGGGTCGGCTTCGGCGAACTAGTCAAGCTGCGTTGAATCGCTTTACTCGGAACCGTGCAAGTACAGTAACAGGAGCTGCACCGACTCCGAACATAGAAGAGGAGCAACGCGAAAACGAGTATGGATCTCATGTCGTCGACGTGTTGGACGTGATCGGTAAGCATTAATGCCAAGTGTGATACAAATATCATGGTTTTAACTTGGCTCAATCTAGATCCCGAGGTTTCTGCGCTTTCCACTCTCACTAATGTCCAAAACTCTCTCTTTATACCGAACCTGGGTGGGTTCATCAATCGCATGCCCACCTATACGATTTCACGACCGCAATATTCTTCAGATGAGGAACAGGGAACTTCAACGGATGAGGGTGAACCGTCCAAGGATGACCAGACCAAACAGCGTCCGGCTTTAGAACATCTCCGCTCATTCCAGAGTATGTCCTCCGTGTTGCGTGGCCCCAAATATGCCGTTCTCCCAGAAGGGCAGGGACTTGAAGGATGGACTAGGGAAGATTATGCTGAACTTAATGATCATGTTCGACATATGCTTCACTCTCGGCGGTCCAAGTTCAAACGGGCCATGAAAGGATTTAGGCAGTACGTACGAAAGCGTAAGTGACATTCCCCGCAAACCCATTTTTGCTAAATACTGATTTCGCCTAGCCCTTGGCTTTCTTGTAACTCTATACGCAACTCTGATCACCCTGTTCGGTCTGGCCTGGGTTCTTTTCTTGATTGGTGAGATATCTTGGCCCGATGCTTTCTGGCTAGTATGCTGACAGTCACTTAGGTTGGATCAATGTCGGTGGAAAACAGACCTATGTTGTCAATGTCATAGATAACGTTTTGGTTGCCCTGTTTGCCATTATGGGTGATGGGCTGGCTCCTTTCCGCGCTGTCGATACGTATCACATGAGTTACATTGCGCATTATACATTTTTGTCATGGAAAGTTCGTCAGAAGCGGGCTCTGCCAGGCCTCAAGGACAAGAATGACCTTCCATCGAAACCGGAGGCGGACGTCGACGTTGAAATTGGCGAAGCCGTCAAGGGGGAGGATCACGAATTTTCCGTTCTCGATCCCAGCCAACAATTACGATTAATGCATCACCAGAATAAGTTTGCAAAGTCGCATACTTTCTATAAGCCGCACGAAACCTTTACTCACCACGCCTTCCCTTTACGCTTACTCATCGCTATTGTCGTCATCCTTGACTGTCATTCTATACTCCAAATGGCTCTTGGTGCCTGCACCTGGAGTATGGAAGACCCCGATAAGCGCCCATTCGCTCTGACAACTGTGATTCTTTGCTGCTCCATCACCTGTAATATCACGGGTGGTGTGCTGATCATGGTTGGTGATCGGCGAACCCGAAAGAAGGATGTTGTCGAAAGGCTCTTCCGCCAACAGCTGACGGAAGAAGCCATGAGAAAAATGGAAAAGAAGAAGATCAAGGAGGAGCGCCGCAGTGCTCAGATTGAACGTTCCAGTGCTCAAATAGAGCGGTCTAGTGCACAGATTGGCCGGTCCAGCGCTCAAATTGACCACCCAAAGCCATATGGCGGCACCTGATCACAGCAACTTCCATGTTCTCACTTACGAACGTCATGACATGGGCATTAGGAACGTTGGTCCAGCTGGATCAAGGCGCTTCTTTATTTTGCCGCACCTGTACAGATTATCAACTATTAATAATGAGTTTTCTTTTGGTTGATTTTATATGCTAGCCACGGAGTTTTTTTTGGATCTCATATAGGGATGACATTTGCTTTTGCCATTTTGCTCTTAGCGTACGGTGGAAATTTGCTTTTAGTCATTTGGTTGATACTTGATACAATGCATTGGCTTATGATTTTAGATCCATAATGTTGTTTTTGTCCGTCTATTCAATCTATTCAACTTAGATGAGAACAATATGAGCATCAGTCTCTCGCGCAAATAAAAAAATGAAGAAGAGGCCTGACAGAACATCAAGTAGTGATAGTAACCTTCTCCCCAACCCATTTCCCTCCCCCTTTAACAATCTCCTCAAAAATCCACTCACCAACCAGAGCGCGTGAAATCGTATACCCGATAGCAGGAGCCTTCTCTGGCCCAGCCCTCACTTTCTCCAATTTCACCCCTTCGCCCCCTTTCTCCCCCTCACAAACAGAAACCCGATGATCCCCCGTTAAAAAGCTGGGCCTCACAATAACAACCCCAGCTGCAAGCACCCCAGCATGCCCCAGCGCAACCTCTTTGTCAAGCAATATCTCCATCTGCAATTTATCTGCATGTGGGATCGGCAAGAGCATAGAGTACATAGGCCTGAACCAGAACGGCACATCTTTATTGCCAGGCATGTGCCCCGTGGTTGATATCACAGTAACCATCGGCGCAACAGCATGATACGCCTCGAACGAAGCAAACCGCTCAGAAGCAATCTGCGCCAGTGATTCCAGCAGCGCGCGTGTTGTCTCTTCCGTGATATGCGGGTTTGAGAGCTTAATGTGCGGCAGCGCAGGTATGCGTATCTGAGTATTTGCGCATTTTGTTTCCCTGGTGAAGCACATTGTCGGTGCGCCGCCTATGCCAGAAATTATGCTTGTCACGAGTGTACAAGCGCCATTGGGTGCGTCCTTGGGGGTGGAGTGGGTGATGAGTGTTTTCGTGATGCTTCCCACATCTGTTGCGTCGCCCTCGATTATCTCAAGCTGGCGAAAGAGAATCTCCTCTGTTATACCAGGCTGTGAGAGGAGCATTGTCGTGAGCTTTGAGGGGGTGCGCGCTAGAGCTCTAGCGTTGTAGCCGTTGAGAAGGGTGTAGGTCAGGCAGGCGTTGGCGCAGCCGCCTGTTGCTCCAAGAAAGGCGAGGGTTTCCATTCCAAGGACTGACTGGTGTGTATAATTGGAATTTAAATTGTAATTTGTAGATTGGAGCTGGAGGTTTGCTTGTATTGCAGAGCTCGAAATGGATTGTGATAGTGATAATAGCACCCCCAGAATTCAAGGATCCTTTATATCAGTGATCAGTATATGCCTAGTTATAATTTTTTCGGTGGCCCTTAAATATCTATCCGTCTCCGATTCAGCTTAAACAAAATGAGGTTATAGTAGGTATAGAGTTGTGACCGTGTAGTCTAAGCCTATCACAGGTGGCGTACGCTAGGCTGAAAGTGGTTTGGTTGCGGACAAACAACCCACCGATGCGGGCGAACTACTGCTCCATCAAAGTACAATCGCCAATGATCTGGGATTGTTGAAGATACACATAGTATGAATAGAGATAAGAGCAGCAGCTCAATTGTTGAGGTAAGTATATGCTATTTAAAGCGTTTAATGCGAAAAAGAATCTATACTTCCAGCATTTTGCTCGAGATATATATATCTACATCAACATCACATGTAACACACCATAGATATCATATTCATTAATTCCGTACAGGTTCTATGTTCATTGAGTATCCTGTTAGATTGTATGCTTCCAGGCTATATCTACAGAGTCCAGGATTTATTAATCCCCAAATATCAAGCGATGTATATCGCTGACTGCGACACTTATATCAAACAATTGCCAACATCTAGATGTAATCCAAGCGACCAGCAGGAAATAACAACAGATTCTATTAATCTACTTTACTTCCCATGTAACTTGTCATTTAACATTGCTGAAATCTCCATGCTTAGAATATATTAATATATATTGTAGATAGACACTAGAGGGTTTGAATAGCAAATGGTCGAGGTACAGTTCAAGCTACTCACTACCACTTACCCTATTACAACATGCAAATGGGGCTCCCTCCAAATATCGAAGAGATTTCCATTAGAATTTCATCTTGAATCCCAAAGCCCTACAATTATGCGACTTGGAGATATTCGATCTAGACCAAACTCAACCAAAACAATATGTGGAAGGACCGTATATTGCAGTTTCAACAAACACCAACATTCAAATCTTGTCAAGGTTTGATATTTGCCTCGAGGAAGGAGAGTGTAGATCGGCACGGTTGCCCATCGTAACATCACATGCTATGTCTGGGAGCAGGGTAGATAATCTGAAGTAAACAGGATCGACATGAGTCCGGCGATCTCGAATTCCCTAGTATCGAGAGATAGGTGGACCCAAGTATGGAGAAAAGAAGGAAATCCAACAGGGGAACCTCCTATGATGTACTCTGCACATGTAGGCGTAAAGGTGCAGCAAGGCAAAGATTGCCCGTAAGGCACGCTGCCCTGACTATGAGTGCAAATTAAAATAAGATGCATGATATCGGACAATTTCTGCCACCACGGCGCCCCTAAACGCCTCAAACCGCCTGCAAGGTATGATGATCGGCGCCACAGACACCAAATGGTCACATATTTTGCGCAGGGGCAGATTTTGAAACTGTAGGGAATACCTTGGCGATGGAGACAGGGGTTGCGTACACACCTTGATCACTTCTAGAAGGACCCTGGATCCGAATATATGATTCACAACGTATGTGGATGGTCGATCCTTGCTCAATAAAGGATATGTGTGAGGCTCGTAGACTTAGAAAATGCTATCGAATTTGGACACCTTGGAACAGAATCAGGGTATAATGGAGCCTTGATAGATACCGCCGGCAGGGCGGAATGCAGGGACCATGCATCTCCAGAAGCCAAGGGGGCACATCTCATTGATCGTAAAATTCCGGAATTAAGAAGGGCCAATGATATTGCTAGGAGGTAGAGATGATCAAGGCAAGATCGGGACTGAACCCTTGCGTGAGACATTCCACCGGCAAAAATGGGAGTGTTGTTTTTGGTCCTTCACGATGAACACTGGTAGAGCGCCTCGTGCCTAAACACTCCGAATGGAAGATAAAAGGCGAGGATTAGGTCGTGTTCTGTATTCCTCATCCATCTGCATCTCTCTCTACCTTCTCCATCCTTCAAACCTTTCAAATCCTTACAAGATTTTAATCTTTTAATACTCTACCTTCAAGATGCAGTTCACTCTCTCCGCCGTTGTCCTCGCCCTTGCCGGCTTCGCTGCTGCCCTGCCCGCTGAGAACTCGCACAATGGTCTCCAGTCGCAGGATAGCACTCCTCGCTTCAAGGTTCCCGACACCATGACCATTGAACAGGCTCAGGCCAAGTGTGGTGATCAGGCTCAGCTCTCTTGCTGCAACAAGGCCACCTACGCCGGTGACACCACCGACATCAACTCAGGAATCCTTGCTGGGACCCTCTCCAACCTCATCGGTGCCGGATCTGGTGCCTCTGGTCTTGGTGTCTTCGATCAGTGCTCCAAGCTCGATGCTTCCAGTACGTTTCTACTCTTGATTAATCTGGTTGATTTCCTACTAACTTTGCTATAGTTCCTATCCTCATTGGAATTAACGTCCAGGACCTTCTCAACCAGAACTGCAAGCAGAACATTGCCTGCTGCGCCAACTCGCCCTCCAGCGCCAGCAAAGACCTTGTCGGTGCCGGTCTTCCTTGTGTTGCCCTCGGTTCCATTCTCTAAGCGCATCGCTGTGGACCCCGTCAGATTTGCACAATGGAAAAGTTACAAGAGATATGTGTTATACTCTGTTTCTGCATTTGTTAGCTTGTTTGTTTGAGATTGTTCGCACTGTGACGCTTTTCATAGAGGCCCTAATATCTCATTTAACATAAACACTTCGATTCCCTATTGAATTTGATCCCGTACGTCATGGAGCGTAGAAGTTATTATATGAATAAAGTCACATCACCGTGCCAATTGTGACTCGACAACCCGTCACAATGGTGGCCTCTTCAATTTCCAAACTCTTGACACAATGAAAACCCGACACTCCGCAAATCGCTATAGAATGATGATGGTATGACGAGCGAAGACAAGGCTGGAGCTGTTGGCTGAGCATGGGAGACAGTGGGCACTTCATTCATCCAAGGCTGGATTGAGAGAGTTGTTGGATTGACTTACTGAGGGAGTACGGCAAGTTCATGGCAAAAGAGTATTGGGCCATGGGCCTCAAGAGTGGCAAGGATATCTCGTATGAGCCTGCCACGGAGGAGGAGATCGCGACAGCGGAAGAGCAAGTCGGTGAGCTGCCTACTGATTTTATGGAGACGGTCCGATTGGATAACGGGTATGTATTGCAAAAGTCATGGCCCTGTGAAAAGCACACCTATGTTATAGAAGTCACAGCTGACTAGGGCATTCAGATTCAAGGGCGGCTGCCACTTATTTGCAGGTGGTCAAGCGGGAACCCGGAATATTACCACGGAGGAAAACGGCTTTGCAGATGCTGGCTATGAGTATTACGAGGATGAGATGGGATTCTACCTTTACAATATGATCAAAGTTCAATCTGGGACCTAATGCGATGAATACACCCATTTTATTATTCCTCCTAGGACTTGGAAGGAGTGTTTAACGCGCATGGGAAAAGAAGTCAAAAGACGACGAGTTCATATCAGTAAAATAAACTTTTGATTGGTTCCATGGTTGAGGCTTGAGGCTCCTCTTCTCGGGATCCACTTACCGTCAGCCATTTCAGTTTGTCGAGACGCAGATACATACATACATACCATCTACCTATTTGCTTCCCATGACAGCTTGGTTGGCTGATGAAATCAAGATGGAGCCATTTTTTTTTCATGGACATGGGGTTTAGGTTTACAGCATGGTCCAAGAGGAACCTGATAGAAGGTGCCTAAGAGCTAGGAGAGAGAGAGGAAGAACAGAGCTTGCTATGTTGTGATCAGAGACTTAGGTACCGGCCGGATTTGATACTTTGGTGTCGGGCAGGAATAGGGCAACCAAAGCAGCAAGATTTGTCATGGTCAAAAATGGTACGGAGTACTCCGTAGAGTACCCGAGTTCACAGCCTTGGCGATATAGTATAGGTATACTACGGGTTGCTGTTGCATTTCGAGTTTGAGCATGATTGCAAGTTATCACAGCGTATAATGAATAGTTTGACTACCCGCGTAAGAAAATGCTGCGTGGCCCAATCCTCCGCTAAGCTATGTCATTGTGTTTCACAGAATTGGTTGTACCTAGAGATTTATGAAGATATCTGTCCGACCTGGGATTCCGGTAGAAGCTTTTCAACTTGATACTATTTTGTGCATTGGACCTTTCAGATAGCCAATACCTATTATCTCGTTTCTATTAGTTGGGTTGATTTGTTCGAAGCACGGCCATTTCCTTTCCTGCAACGATTTGATCCACCCAACACTTTTGATGATAGGCATCCATATTTGTTTTCAAATCCATATGTTATACTCCGTACACAAACGTCATTTCCACCTCTAAACCACATTGCCCCAGAGATCAGCAGTGATCTGAGGATCTCCCTTACATCGTCTAGCGCAAAACCTGATTTCAAATGCAGCTATAATCGAACACCTCGCTCATCTCAACGAGAATCTTTGCCGAATTGCGCACGCTAATGCAGATTAAGTTCTGGACTACATACTGAAAAAGAAAACATTAAGCAGAACAAGCCCACCTATTTGAGTTTTCGGGTCGAACCGTCCGCTTCAACCTCCGTCCTCACACCGTCAAAAAATATTCCGAAGTTAACACGGTGGTTGAACTAGGTCACCAATCATGACTTGGTCAAAGCCATTTTTGAAGCTTCGCGACCAGCGACCGTGGCTGCTGCCGCTGAGGTCGTCACAATCCTTCATAGTGACCACGATTTCTCTGTCAATGTTCACGGTATCCTCCCCTGCCCCTCGATAGTCAGAGAAAATAAGCTCCAACTAACTGAACTCTATATAACTAGGATCTCTTTCTCTATGCTATGGTACATATGTTCTGACTAAGACCTTTGACCCTTACCTGACCGCATCAGATTGTCCCTGTCATGCCTCAGGCATTAGTTTCACGAGCTGGAGTAGCATTTGAAGATAGTACGGAAGATTTACGAAGATAGATACCCAGTTGACTAATAACTGTCTCTTTTGATAGGAGAATATTGGAACAGCATCCTCCTCATCTCTGAAGCCGTTTCGGCACTTACATGCTGCCCGATATTTGGATACATGCTAGACATATCTGGAACACGCCAGGGCCCATATCTGTCTGGACTCGTGTTATTGTTCGCATCTATGGTAATTTTCACAGCTTCACACTCGGTGACATGGTATATCATTGCTAGAGTGCTCCAAGGCGCAGCAACGGCCATGGTTTCGGTAGCTGGACTTTCAATTGTGACAGATGCAGTAGATAAAGCGAGTCTTGGACAGATGATTGGATTTCTTGGCACTGCCATGACACTTGGATTTATGTCTGGTCCGCTACTGAGTGGACTGGTTTATGAAGTTGGAGGATTCTACGCCGTTATTGGTATGGCTTTCGGGATCGTTGCTCTTGATTTCTTTCTTAGACTCGCTGTTGTCGAGAGGAGGATTGCTGAACGTTGGCTGTGCCTCACTGACGGCGAGGCGCCAAGTCAGGAGAATGGTTATATCCCCGAACAGCCGCCATATGGAGCTCTAGGGAGTATATCCAGTAGCACTGATACTGTCACAGAAATCGCCAAGAGTACTTTTGCGCTGGGCAAGCTTTTAAAGCAGCCACGGATTCTTATTAGTCTCTGGGCAGTTATAGTTGCAGCTCTTGTGGTCTCGGCATTTGATGCAGTATGGAATGCAATCTTTTATGTTGGAATTGCACTGACACCCTTACACAGACACTTCCAGTATTTGTGGAGAACACATTCCAGTGGAATGTTCTAGGAGCAGGTCTGATATTCTTGCCAGGTGCTTCAGCAGCAATTTTCCAACCCTTTTTCGGTACGCCGCCATCATACCCGTATATTTTATTGCATGACTCTGACCTGATGCTCTAGGATTTTTATCCGATCGTCTTGGATCGAGAGTGATCACATTCGCAAGCTTTGCAATTCTAGCCCCGAGTGTGATCTGTCTTCGTTTTGTTACGGAAAACTCACCATCCCACATAGGTCTTCTTTGTTTGATTCTGGGTATTGTTGGAATGTGTATGGACTTATGTGAGCCGGCCTTGATAGTGGAGATGCAGCGTGTCCTAGATGATATGGAAGCTGGAGACCCCGGGGTATTTGGGGGTAGAGGCGCCGTGGCTCAAGCTTTTAGTTTAGAAAATATGGCACATTTTGGCGGATTGGCATTAGGGCCTATGGTAGGTGGATTTGTGGAGTACCAATATGGCTGGAAGGTTATGACTCTCGCGTTGGGACTTCTTTCTGCGGTTACTGCTATACCTATGTTATGGCTCAGTGGTCCTATAGAAGAAGTCTCTTGGATTGAGTCTGCTGACGAAGAGATGGAACGCGAACCCCTACTAGCTGAGTAGTATGTGTCAGACTGGATACAGTAGGACAGATATGGATTGTTGTTTCTTGATCAAATTTGGTTTGAGACCATGAAAAGTCAGCTCGGATAGTCTAGGGATCGGAAAGAGAAAGAAGGCTGTTACCAGGGGGTTGTCTAACATGCTTCAGACCACCAATATATTTACTTTTGTCTTTTCCCCCCATCACTGCAGGTGAACTTTAGCCAAATCAATCAATTATTTAGTATTGGCGTATAGACCTTCCGCTCTGTGTATTATCTCTTGGAAACACTTCTTCTGATTATTTTTTTGCATTCCGAAAGTATGCCGTCTCGGTGATTTAATGGGGAAATACCACTCTGTACAAAGAACACAACTTGGCAATCATGAGTAACGTTAAAGCAGTCATAGTTACACTACTAGATAGTGTACGAGAATAGTGAGAGATAAGGCAACTAAATTGCATCTTTAAGAAGGAGAGAAACTCCAACTTGATATGAGAAGGGCGAGAATCTATAGATCACTATCAACATGAAGCTTTTCGAGCGAGTCTACAATTTGCTGTCAAACCTTTATACTTCCACACGTACCCGGTTCCAATCCTCTCATACCAGCAGTAATGAAACCAAAGTTCAACAAGCCAGCTACATCTTCCCAGCAGAGTCAGAGGCCCATGAAGCAACAATCATGGGGTTACCATCTCGATGTTCCTTACCCCCCGATCAGTATGATGCTATGTGCAATGAATTGACTCAGCTTGCTGCGGCGATCACTGAGTTCGAACCTGTTCGGCTGTACGCGAGACCCGAAGAAATCCAATTGGCCGAGTCCCTGGTCAAGACTTTTGTGAAAGATGCATCAAAAATATCTATTATTCCATGTCCCATCAACCACTGCTGGGTACGCGACACAGGCCCAGTCTACGTGCGTGGCACGACAGGAGCATTCCCGAATCAACGCTTCGCAATCAACTTCCGGTTCAATGAATGGGGTGGGAAGAAACCCGAAGACGACGGAATCTGCTGGGGTCAGCTTTGGCCGTTGATGAACGAGAAGGCGTTACAGGAAAACACAGATTTTGCGCGGTGGATAATCGAACACGACCGCGAGCCCAGCCCCGTTACGCAGGTCGAGACTCTGATTCGCGCCGAGGGCGGCGGTCTCGTTACCGACGGTGAAGGAACCCTGCTGATTACGGAGAGTAGCATTGTATGTGATGTACGCAATCCAGGGATGTCAAAGGCCGAGATCGAGGCGGAGTTGAAGCGACTGCTCGGGATTGAAAAAGTGATATGGTTCCCTGGGCGGCGCAATGTTGACATTACCGACGTGCATATGGACGCTGAGGCGAGATTCGTGCGCCCTGGTGTCATCGCTTACTCAAAACCACATGATATTGCGATTGATCTGTGGAAGGAGCTGTCTACCGAGATCCGGGAGATCCTGGATCGTGAGACGGACGCTAAGGGTCGGCACTTGCAGATACACACGATCGAAGAACCCGACCCACGAGGCTTGGTGAAATCAGATAATGATGAACTGGCAGCAAGTTATGTGAACTTCTATTTTGTTAATGGGGGGTTGATAATCCCTAAATTCGGTGACGGAGAAAGGGATCAGAAGGCCCTGGAGATGTTTCAGTGGTTGCTCCCTGAGCGGGTGATTCGACAGGTGTATACCAACGCCATTCCCCTTACTGGTGGGGTGATTCACTGCGTCACTCAGCAGGTTCCTGCGATGAAATGAGAACCAATGAATGGAAGGACGTGGCAGTGTGGGGGAGTACACTTGGCTTCCCAGTCAATTTAAAAATAAGATCAGTCTTCAAGGCTTTGTCAACTCGCATACACAAAATTCTTACGCGAACATCGCACAACATATACGCTATTAAATATATATTTGAACATGTGGATATTCCATTTCCCAGTCATTCTAATTCTATGTACTCCCTAATCTGTGAAACGAAAGATCTTTCGGCTTGAGGAAGCTCCCACTTGGAATTCCAACGACATAGGAAATAGCCACCTAACACGCAGCTGACTACCCCACGGGGTCACAGCTAAGTAGAGATCTTAATTTTCAAAGAAGCAAACCCAGTAAATCTTAGAGAGCTCACCTTCCAAGTCGACATGCGTTGCGCAGTGCATCCGACGTGTAACAGTATAATTGCCCGACAAAGCCGATAAATATAGTTAAAGTACAAAGATCGAGGCCTTAGCGGGATATTTTGGGACTAGAGCACCGAAAACAACTCATCTTACTCCAAAAGAATGGGCATTGGATCGATTCTTTTTTTCCTTTTCGCAGAGCTTCAGCTGCGCCCCTTAAAATCAGCACATCACACTTAGGAGCTGAGTGGTTCCTGCATATGTTGAAACCTGAATTGAGTTTCTATGACTAAAATTGTATTGATCTGTTATTTTGTACGAAAAGTAAAGTGTAGAGAGAGAGAGTTTTCATTTTGGTAGAGACATCATTCCGTATGTTGTAGTTCATGACCTTCCCGGGGAATATCAGTCACCCTCAGCCTTGTATCCTAATGCTATTATCAAAATCTTGGTCGCACTACTCAGATATTCAGTCAGTATACGGAGTAAATAGGATTTTGATGTACTTGTGTGACGATGTTCTTCGAATTTCGCCATGCTCTACTCCGTACTCCCTACTCTCCGTACATTCAGCTCGACGCCCTCGCTCATCGGGTCTCCACTATACTCCACATAATATACCTACTATTGAGCTGATCGTATCCGCATACGCCTATAGGGTGCTCCATATATGACCTCGAAATGTGCAGAATCGCCCTAATCGGCCGATCTCGACCTAATCATCGATGCGGATCTTCATCCCATGCACATATGTAAAGCCCTATACAACACACTCGTTTCAACAAAAGTATAATTGGCTCTCTCACAGGTTAACTGGGGCCCAACGCCATGTCTTTATCCCGTGCGACTTATTGCTTATTCCTTTCCGTGAGATCCAACGTAATGCAGCATTCTAATCGCGTGCGAACTTGGGGTTTTAATGACTTTTCTTCACTTTTTAGTTCTTCGATGCTCTGAGTCTTTTTAAACCATCTATTGGCACGGTGTTGACTGAATCGTACAGTGCATCTTTCAAAAGGACATCTATATACGCTAGGGCTCTGCATATGGTCCGACATATGTTTTATTATGCTGTTTCAGTTGAACTCTCCGTTCACCCCAGCTCTCCTCGACCGACTGCTCTCCACAATCATGGCTCTTATCCCTGCTTCTCGTGAAGCCGTGACTATTGGCAAAGTCATACATGCCACCGGATATCGAAATCTCCCACCAGATGAGCTAGTTGATCTCGCGATTGAGAGTCAAGTTGCCCGTATAGTCAAACGCTCTCTCGTTGGGGGTGATGAATCATTCTTCATTGCCGATCTGGGTCAGGTAATTCGACAGCATCGCCGTTGGACCCAGAATATGTCGGGAATACGACCGTATTATGGTATACCACTCTTCTATATCCTACCTTTTGGAGGTCATTGTGTAGAAAACTAACATTTTCCTGCAGCGGTTAAATGCAATTGCGACCCAACCTTCCTCAAAGTTCTTGCAGAACTGGGGACAGGATTTGACTGCGCATCCATCGAAGAGATGCGCGCAGTCCTCAGCCTCGGCGTGGATCCAGCCCGGATCCTATTTGCCAATCCATGCAAAGCACCCGCCGCCATAGCTTTTGCACGCCAGGTTGGAGTATTTCGAACAACATTTGACAACATTGACGAATTGGATACCATCAAAGCACACATGCCAGAAGCTCAGCTGTTACTTCGTATCTATGCAAATGATGAGGGTGCTTTCATTTGTCTGGGTGAAAAATTTGGCGCGCAGTTGGATACGACTGAGGAGCTTCTTTCAAGAGCTTGGGAAATTGGACTGAATGTGATTGGGGTTAGCTTTCATGTTGGTAAGTATTTGGGTACCTCAAACTTTATAGCTGGTTAGATTTATTGACATTCGGATTATCAGGGACGGGTGCTACCAATCCAGCCTCATTTTGCAAGGGCATCAAAGATGCACGTCTGGCGTTTTCACAAGCCGAACGTCTAGGTTTCCATCCCAAAATTCTCGATATCGGTGGTGGCTTTCAAGACGATTGTTTCGAGTCAATGGCCCCTATTATTCGAGAAGCGATTCGCTCGGAGTTTCCAGTTGGTATCACAGCGATTGCAGAACCAGGTCGTTTTTTTGCTCGTAGCGTGTATACTCTTGTATGTCGAGTGATTTCACGTCGTCGTCAGCTTGGGAGTGCTGCTCTATCTGGTGTTCCAGATATGCTTTATCAAAATGATGGCATATACGGAAATTTCATGAATGTGATTATGGAGAAAGAGATCATGGTTCCTTATTTGGTCAAGAGTAAGAATGCTAGGGGTTACTTGCAGAAATCAAAACCAGGGGATGCTTTGCAAGTAAAAGCTCATCGGTACTCAATCTGGGGACCTACATGTGACAGTACCGATTGTGTTGTGCGCGAAGTGACCCTCGATTCGGAAGTCAAGGTTGGAGATTGGCTCAAATACAAAAACATGGGAGGTGAGTATTGCCAGTTTATACTGATTTGCAATTTCAACAGAGCTGATCAAGTTCCAGCATATACGAGTACCACTGCTACTCAGTTCAACGGTTTCAGCAACACCTATGATACGCTTTATGTCAATAGTGAAACGTTGCCCGAATATTAGCTGGCGTGCTAGTATTTTCTTTTTGACTTTGCACGTTGTAATTAGTCAATAATCTTGAATAAAACTTACAGGAGACACATCATTGTAAAAGCTCCAAGCTTCTATGGGTGGTTGGTGTCTCGCTCGAAGAGCTTATTCTGGGTAGCTGCAGACGATACAATATAGATAGGACATATCAACGGGGTCTGGAACGAAAGGCCAAACACAGCTGTGAGCCATGTAATTCACGGCCCTGAGTATATGTGGCCCGGGACCGGTGTTGGGAAACATGTGGTTAGCAGTCCTGAAGGATTCAGGCCGCTGACACGATACCTGAGATTTTCAAGTGTAAATCGATGAATAGCCTGCATTCATTCAGCTCGAGGGCGCAGCCTCTTGCATATATCTATACCGAAAACAGTAACATCCATAACTGTAATAGCAGGATAAACGAGCCCATCCTAAATGAAACAATAATCACACGCTTAAATAAACACCATAATTTCCGGGGGGGTTTCCTATCACTCCAGATGGAATGAAGATAGCAGAAAGGATATCAATCATGAGAAAAAGAAAAGAAGACCTCGGATAGAGGAGAAGGACATAAGAGAGTTGCCAAGATAATAGGCAAGAAGTGACAGAAATTGAAAATATGTAAGGAGAGACGAGAGAAAGCTTTTGAACGACGTCATACTTTCTCCATTCCAGACATCGAGACGTCGTCCTGAATGGCATTATCTGGGAGAGACTGCTTGATATCCATGCCATATGGTTGAACATCGGAAGCAGATCCGCCCTGCTTCTCTGGGGTATCGGATGAAGCTTGGTTCTCAGGTCGTTTCCGACCAAGTCGCTCGCACCAGTGCTCAGCACTGACCAATGTGTCATTGACAACACCACTAACTTGGGCCATCATGTCTAGACCCTCCTGGGCCAGCACTAGGATGCGATGAGCACTGATTGTGGCATCGGAAGAGGCAGCCGGAGAGTCTGGTGGCGGCTGTGATGTGGATGCAACCTGGAAGCGGTGCGGCAGAGACGTCAAGTGCCGACGCACTAGATGGCGCGCATTCTCTGGCAGGGCGCCTCCTGCATACTTGGAAACCACATCCACTACCTGTTTCAAGGTCGATAGCACATCGGCCTTGACAGCTTGGATGCGCTGAATAAGCAACGAGGCATTGTCTTGGCCACTGCCTCCTGCCTCGATATCTGACTGTGATTGTAATTTGTGGTTTTCCCACTCGTTGACGGCACTATGCAGCGCTACAATAGACTTGCCTAATCGACCGTTTGCCCATCGGAGCCAAGTCAGACAATATTGCAGACTACGCAGTGATTCTTCGCTCATGGCGACCCCGAGTCCAGAAGTCGAAATGACTAGTCGGCTTTGCCATGTCGGTTCAGCACGTCTTCCCGGTTTCTCTTCATAGTGAGGAGACCTCATTTCGTCGTACGGGGGAAGCGACTCGGCCATGGAGAGATCAGACGAGCTCCGTGTTCGCGGTGGGTGAGCTGAACCATTCGGGTCCTTCTCCGCGTTCATCGCCCTCGGTGACACATTCCCATCCATCTTCCGTCGCTTTTTGGAGTGTATTGAGTCTTCGTTTGTCGAATCTCGTCGCTGCAGCGCCCAACGGAGACCGCTCTCGACACCGGTCTTGCGGCCTACCGTGCCGACGGTGTTCGCGACAGGTGATCCAATATTGCGCTCGATGAACTCAGCACCGGACTTAAATCGCGGCGAATATGATTTCGACGTGGCGTAGGCAGAAACTGAGCCGTTGATGGCAGAGGAGATAAGGGGATGGGAAGAAGTCAGCAGAGACAATAGTGGCTCTGGCTGTGGTGGGTCCGGTGAGGTGATGGGGAGAGATTGTCTCGCTATTCGAGGCGATTGTCCAAAGTCTGTTGTTGATATTAGTTAAAGATCCGTCGCATAGCCATCCCAATCCAGCGAAAATCGCAGTTGCGACACTTTTAGTGGGCTGGTTCAGGGTATCAGAGCCACATACCGGAGCGAAGCCCCTCGAGGGCTTGTGCAGCCTCGAGATCGTCCATCGATAATACACTGGCAGCTCGACGAGATCGATCTTCTACTTTATCAAGATCCATCATGGATGGATGGGCATTATGATAAGGCAGAGCCGTAAGTGATGGGGCAAGGTTACTTGTAAGCGCGGAGGGGAACGAATTGGTCGACGAGCTCAGACCTGTGGCGTTTATCTTTCGGGCAGGTGGTTTTGGCCTAGCGGTTTTCGGTGGTTCCATGGCGGGTCACAGATTATCCATAGAGAGGAGAATATTGAACCTCAAAGACGTCGGAGTTTCGCATCGTATCGTCTTTCACGTGAAAAAGTGACAGTTATCCACTAGGCCTAATCGGGAAGGAAGAACGGGGTGAGGTAATCACCTTCCCACGGTACCTACTCAGCCATACAACCCACTATGGTAGCCCATGTACCTTTTCTCATCACATGTAAATATCCAGTCACTCGCCCCAAAACTCGCATCTATTCGCCTCTCTTGGAACTTCGATCTTGCCGAAAATGATTATTCACCTTTGATTCGATATGGAAGTTTAAGTGACCAGCAATTATGTCCTGCGTATGATATAGCACACTCTAACGCACCTACTTGCAAAATATACGGTTGTTCAATAGAATTCCTTCCAAGTATAAGATACACCCATCACAATGCATGTAGTTGGCGGAATAAATACATATGTCCTACGGATAAGTCTCCATGACACCGGAAACCGGCACCATGAAACCCTCCTACGTTCATCATTTCCCTATATTTCCATTTTCACCACTGCCAATGCAACTTGACTAGTACCTCCCTTTGCGGGTACCCAGTACACATGCGCCTGGATATGCTCGACAGGTCGAATATGAGATGATTGTAATTACACTTGATCCCCGACACCTTTCCTCCCCAAACCAGACGTTGTAATTCTATTAATGCATGATGTTTGGTCCGCTACGTCGGTTGCACCTCTCTTTTTTTTTCTACTCCGTAGGTTGTACACACATAATGTACTATGTAGATTAACATTATCCCGGACGACCTTGCTCCGTCCTATCACATGCCTAGATGGAAGGCGATGTATTGATTTATTGGCCTACGATTCCCATTTGCCGTTCTGCTTACTGGGTATTAATGCATTTGAATATTAGGCACAGCGCCCATATTCTTTGTATCTTTTGGTCTTTGAATTTATAGGCCTAATTTTATATTTGTTGGGTCTACCCTGCCTGTTTCCGGGTATGAAGCTCGGCATGTGATGTGGGGGGGGGGGTTGTTTTAGCAGTTGACATTTGGGGACTAGGATGAACTCTCTGCTTATGTTGTATAATAGTGTTATTGCAGCCTACCGGTAGATAATTTAAGAATTTAGGAAAAGTCTTATGTTATTTGTTGAAAGTAGCCAAGTTTATGTTTAGTGACAATATGTGATGGGACCACAGCTACATATCTATCAAATTGAATATAAAACAACATGGTATCTATCTCATGATATGTTCAACAGTCATATGTCATAGGAATCACAAGGAAATATCGCTCGAAATCGTAATGGGCAAATCAAAACACGGGGTTGTTGCTGGCGTCACTCATATCTCATTGGATGGACCGTTTGTTTGTCCTCCGGTACATCCCTTCTAAAAGGATAGCATGGCTTCAACAGCTTCTCTATCTTCATACTCATCTGCATCATCGGACTCATCCCCAGGCAATTCATTCGCCGTGAGATGTGCCACCATTTTCTGATTCACTCGATAGCAGGTGATCACCTCGTTAGTGACAAGGCGGGATGGCGATACGGACGCCTTAATCTCGCACAGTGTCTCGCCAAAGGCGTGAAGAATAAACCGGGAGTTTGGACATCGACGGTAGGCATACGAAGCTATTAATCGTTTCCACTCACTGCGGCTGTTTTGCCAAGTATGGATGAGCGGATGTCTGCCCGTGTGGGGAGGTTCGAGTGCAGCTGCACTCTCGGCAGCTTGACGTGCCATAAGAGAGAATTCTCTACTAGTAGAAGCAGAGTGTCCTTGGTTCCACTGCTTGTATAGTTCATCTATCGACCTTCGAACTTCAGCGAGGGTGTCTCTCAACTCTTGCGCGTACTCAGACTTGCTTTTCGACGCTTCATTAGCTTCATTCCATGGACGAATAAGGTCTTCATCGAGCTTATTTTCGACATCGTTCTCGGGGAATGCCTCGTTGAGGCCCGAGAGAATTCTTCGAAGCTCCGACTGTGCGACATTAAACTTGAGATAGTCGACGATGTTCGAAGGGTTCCACTTGCGCTCTGGATTCCGGTATGCTGGAAGCTCGCGTTGCCTAGGGCTAACGGTCTTGCGGTATTTTTTCCAGGCTTGTTCTGAAAGGTGAACTCCACCTTTGCGGCTATCCACAAGATGACCTAGGAGACAGGCTAGCTCTTTCGCTTTCGGATGGTCGACTGACTCTTCGTATGCCAGTTTCTCATGCTCAGCGGTACATCGACCCAGATTTGAAAGGTTGAGGTTGAAAGCGAACACACTTTCCAAGAAGTCTTCAGTTGAATCTAGCGAGGCCATCGGAACGGAGTGTTTTGTGAGCCCATAATGCTCTGCAGAATATTCATGTGAGGGCATCGGGGAATTGTCAAATTTCTCAACAATCATTGGATCCCAGCAGATCCACGGCGTGTCACCATCGTAATCTCCCCCGGATAGCATGCCGGCTAGAGGAAAGTTTCCTGTGGTGGGAAACACAATCACATCTTTAAAATGGCGTAGTTCATTCTTCCATACGGCCTTGCGCCGTTGAATGTCAGATGGCAAATGGGCTGGAAGTCGGCCCACAAGAACATCTATCCCATCAAGGAGGTTGTCTTCAAACTGGCCTTGTGGATCCCGCCAGTTATTGGAGAAGCCTAAATGAACTTCGTCCGGTCCGAGAACTCCATACGGATCCGCAATACAGTACGCATAGGTTGAGAGAGGGACTTGAATTTTGAGCTCTTCAACGTGTCGCTCAAGAAACCATGTCAAATATTGACGGATCTTCAGCCGGAGGGGGAAAAAGTCGCGGGGGGCAAAGCCAGCCTCTGAGAAACGAATTATAGACTCAGCATCACTGGTCATCCACTGCTCTAATCGTCGTGCTTTCCCAGTTTCATCGTCGCCAGAGGGTCTGAGCTTCTGAAGCAAGGCTCGACAAACCACAGGGCTATTTGATCGAAGAACCTCAAGGAAGTCGTCGTAAAGACTCTGTACACCATCACGCGTAAGCTTGGCAATATACTCCTTCACTTTCCCTCCATGTTCCAGAATTGAAAGAAGCTGGATATTAAGGTCAACGGGGTGCAATTCCTTAGCCCAGTTGACTACCTCGAACGTCAACCTCTCATCGTCAACCGGGTCGACCCATTCCTGGGGATGAGGGTGTATTTTCAACTGCGAGTCCGAGATCTGAATCCAGATATCATTATTGTTCATGGTAGTGATACTAGATTGGTGGGAATCAACCATCCAGAGGCCCTTAGCGCCTGCAATTCTGCCCTGGAAGCAACTAGGCGTGGCGGTTGTTATGCCTAGTTGATCGCAAATTTGGTTTGCAAGTGTCCTTGACATCAAAGCACATCCGTCATTCATGACTTCCCGGTTTGGATCGTCCCTCAAATGAAGCACTTGCGTTGGATTTAGCTTAACCGTCGCAAATGTCTTCGACAAGCCTAAAGAGATACGCTGGAAGAGCTTGCAATTGCTTTGATTCGCGTTCGCAGCCTTGGGCATATGCCATTCCAGCAGTGCATCTACACTCATCGGGGTATATTTGTCAATTTGCTGTCGAGGAGGGGCCACCGCCGGTGGTAAGGGATACCCATGATCAAAGTCATTGCCATCAATGGCGAAAAGCTCGACCCGAAACCGAGGCTCACCCTTGGATTTTCGTTTAGTCTTTACTTCTTCCACAAAGAAGGCCCGCCACGTCCGTCCGAGGCAATGGTGGTCATTCCGTGTGAGCCATGAAGCAATACTCTCGCGAAGGACAGATGGGAAAGAAGGCTGTTTCTGATGGCCTGGGGGTCGATCTGCGGCTGGAATAGTAAGAGTCAGGAATCTGTCTGATCCAAATCTTCGGTGAAATCGACACGTCCGCTCGAGCTTGAGTGGGTTGAGTCTCAATTTGAAAATACCCGGCTCGGACTTGTCGCACCAGTCCAAGTCTCCTGAGAGTACCACCGCCTCTGAGTGCTTATCTGATTTGAAATCACCAACGGCGGCATCCCAGGCCCGACGTGGCGATCTCTCTGGCAGAGGACGGTCATAACGTCGACCAAGCCCGCTGATCCATGACCAAAAATCATCTTGAGTGTTAAAGGTAACACGGTCGCCAACGAGTATTTGTCTGAAGGGCATCCCCCACGCACGTGCAATTCGTTCCAACTCATATCGGAATCGCAATGGAATTGTCGCTGAAAAGGATTCTTCAGCCGAAAACGGGCCGTAAGACAGGAGCTCACCCACAAACTCCTCTTTGAGGGAATACTCCGTCTCAGCGGGATCACCATTCATCATCATGGATATAGCAGCAGCGTCCACGCTCCTTTGCATCTCCTCGCTAGCCATGTATCCAAGGATCGAGTCTGCATAGGTCGATTGGGTATCCATTGGTTCGGTCATGTCTGTCATAACTGAATCAAATGATTGCCCCATAGCATGGCGAGACATAAAGACCGACGTAGTGGTCGTCACCGCAAAGCTGGTATTGGGCGACTGCATCAGATTGTTGCGCTTCGATTCATCAGATGCCGCGCTAAGCTTTTCGAATAAAGTTGGCTTCTTGAACTCAACAGTTTCATCGGCAAAAGAAGTTTCCGTGCTTGAGATGTTGCCAAACCCAAATGATCGAAGATCCATCTGTTTCAATGGCGATTTAGAGGGTGATCTGACCGATTTTGAGGACTTGCATGGCGATCCAGGGTTATTCGCGGGTGATTGGGCACCCCCTGGAGTCTTCGCTGGCGACGAAGTGCTCGTGGACTTCTTCGTTGTAGGGGCGACATTGCCTTGAGGTTTGGATGATTGAGTAGCAACTTTCTTAGGGACCGATTGGTGATACCCTTGAGCTGATTGCCCTTTCGCTGGTGGAGTAAAGGTCGCCGAATACTTCGGCGGGGAATAGAAGCTCTGTTGGTTCTTTCCAGGCGAGTGAATGGATCCGTCGTTCCTTCTGAGTGACGAGTGCACTGTACTTTTTGCTGGCGACACAACTCCCATCGATCCCCGCGCAGAAGACTGAATTGGTCGATGGTTATTGATCGCCAAGTCGGCAGCCCCAGAATTGCCCCGCAACCCTTGAAAGGCAGCCTGAACCATCTCAGGAAATTGTGAACCTCCATCTCCATTCTTCCCCAATGGCGACTGGGCTAACACAGACCCTTTCACTGGGGAATTCGGTGCGGTGTGGAAGGTTTCGTCTTCATCTTCATCATCAAGCCTTTGTTTTTTTGGTGATAAGCCCCTGGCACCTCCAAAAGAATTAGCGGCTAACCTTTTTTTGGTGTTTACGACAACACCATGGGCCAAAAAATATTCCTCGTTAAGCATGAGCTCCAGCAGATACTTCATGCACATATCCTTCTCAGGGCCCGTGAGCGAGAGCGGGAGCGCGGGTTCCTCGCTATGGCGCCGTTGTCTTGCGCGGCGATCTGCCTCCGTTTGATGGACATGGTTCTGGGCGTGGATCTGGCCGGCCAACGGCATGTTCCCGCGGACCCATTCCTCAAGGTTGTGAATCAGGCCTATCTTGTTGGCCTTCTTATTGAAGAACAGCGGGCGGATATGCTTGTAAATCTGACTAGGGAGGCTGTTATTTCTCTCGCGAGCTGAGGGGGACTCAATTCCAGGCAGGGGAATCTCGAGGCTAAATTTAGTATTCAGTTTTGTGATAAAAGTGCGAAAATCCTCCTTTTGGTGTTGTGGGGTAGTGGGATGACCCATGTTCATGCGAGGAATGTAGAGAGCACAGGGGCTCCCTTCAACCTTTTATGGAATGGAATTGCTATCGTTGCGCCTGGTGAATGAAAGATAAAACTGGGCTCGACTTCGTCTGGGGGTTCTTCGTTAGTCTCATGTGGAGGCATTGGTGAGGGTAAACAAACCGCAGATGCGTTGACTTTTCTAATGGACAGGCAGCCTTTTAAGACTCAGGAATTCAGGAAATTGGGGGGGGGGATGAGACTCTTAAATTATAATGCCTTCACCTTATTTGACTGATCAACTCTTGGGATTGCCCTACTCCGTATACGGAGTACGTCCACGGGTAGTTGGTTGGTTGCTGTGCAAAAACGAACTGTTTACCCGCGCCAACTCCGGGTACTAGCTGCTATTAGCGTCGCCCACCTGACGTGTCACTCTGACAACTGTACAGTTTTAGATATAGAGGTAATGTCTTGGTTTCCAGACCAGGGTCTACTAAGAATGATGAGGTGTAAGGTTGTCTAGGACATGCATATGGACTAGATAGTGGATGAAGAATGAAAGTTGAAGCTGGAGTCAGTACCTAAATATGCGGAACATTCAGGAGAATGTAGTGAATGATAATTACTTCTTTTTTTGTCAGTTGATCAATCAAGAAGAGGGTCAAGAATCTTTGATACAAGGTTGCCAAGGGCCAAAAAGAGATAGAATAACGGCGGTCATCAAAATTGTTTTCTTTCAGCTATGCCCCTCCCCTCTCCCATTGTCCAGCTCAATCTTATCTGTCCACAGGTCAGCCTCCATGGGGTCAACACGTTTACTGTGGACAGCAAGCTTGTAGCCAACCATCAAAATGATGTAGAGAGGAATGCTGATGTACGAGGCAATGAAGGATTTGACGTCGAATCTCCGAACGCCCGAATCAAAGCTGAACGAGTCAAAGACAATGGCGACGGAGATGAACAAGCAGAGAACAAGAGCCAAACACGTTCCAGGCAGACCAAAGCGAGCTCTAAAAGCTAGGGCGTTGTCGGGAATGCCTTGTGCGTTTCGCGCCCGCACAAAAGATATGTGGGTGACGAGAATGGAAATCCAAGTAAGAAGCCCGAGCGTCGTAACCATGTCTACAAAGTACCCGAAGACAACAGTTGAGTCTTGATGGACATTAAGATATGCCAACGTGGCAGTTGACGAACACACAGCCAAAGCGTAGATCGGGACGCCTCTGCGGGTCGTGCGTGATAGGAAAGCAGGGGCACGGTGCTTCACTGAGAGGTCGCACATTGCCTTAGTTGCTAGGTAGAGATCGTAGTTTGCGATTGACAGGACGAACAACAGGATGCATGCATTTAACAAGTCCGGTAGCACGGAGATGCCTGCCAAATATAGAGCTGCAACGAATGCCGATGCGGCAGCCTCATGGGAGAAGGGACTAGAAAATGCCACAGACGCCGAGCCCTGGGGGACAATCATCCCGAGAAGGGTGATTGCTAGAAGGTGGAAAACCATGATACGATAAAAGGTATTCTGGATAGCCCTCGAGGTCGCCTTTCGAACGTTCGGGAAGTGAGCCATGCCAGATCGCTCGCTTCCGATGTACGCAAACGTGGCAGAGGACATTGTCGAGCAGGTTATATAGAACTTCTCTAGCAACCCGTGATCACGATGGGGGTGAGCGCCAAAAGCACCAGGGTAAGACCAATATCGAAACCCCTTTGTGTCTTGATCCGGTCCTCCTCCCAAAGCAATGACAGTGGAAAGTATCATGAGTCCAAGCATGACGACAAGCTTGAATGAAGAGATGTAGAATTCAAGTCTGCTCGGGAGGCGGTGATTGATGAAGTTGAGAATCACAATGACCGAAAGGAAAACCGTGATCCAGATACCAGGATTGACTCGCTCAGCATCCACCCAATAAGAGACTACCAGCGCTGCAGCTGTGAGCTGGTTCGGTGTGACAACGGCATATTTCAGCCAAAATCTGGGAGCGTAGTCAGGAAACAGAGCCAAATAGGTCCAGGTCTCGTCACGAAGAGGGGACGTACATCCAGCCCAAGCTAAACCCAAGAGCAGGGTGACAAAATCGAACGGCTTGATCTGCAACGGTATACGGTTTTGGTAACCATGAACCAACCTCACCCAAGGCAGAGAGGACGAGGTATACCGCAAATCCGACGATGGTATAGGAGATTATTATAGCTGCCGGCTACAACAGATCAATACCTTTGCCCGTGAGCTTCCTAGGGAATAACTTACGCCGCTCCTGTGTTGGAGTCAACGTCGTTCAGCATAAAATGGATCCACTCGGTATGGGGAGCCGATCTTACATGGATAATGCTCTTCCAGTACCAACCATCAAGCCTGTTCCAATCGCCGATCCAATGGCTGTAAGCCTGTGTTAGAGTGCAGGTACCCGTACAACTAGGGGGATACAGACTGATGATGCTGATTTGACGGGGTGTCAATGACCCGTATATATCGGTGAAACCTAAAGCATGTTCATTCTGATGAGCTTCCGGGGTAGTTTGTCGGGTCGTTGGCTCAGCACCGATGGGCCCGAGTTCGCAAGCAGAGGATCGCGATCCCGGTCGGCGTCGCGGATACATTTCCTATCGTATTATTTCAAGGAAGCACGAATCCTTGGCCGTCGAGGTTAGGCAAGGCGGATGATTGAGGAACCAAAATCGTAAATCAAAGATCAGAGATCGAGTGAATAGCCGAGGAGAGAGCACTAGGGAGCTTAGGATGATAGTGGTTATGCAAGCAAGTGCGAGTAGGTATGGGAAAGAACGAGACACAACTGGTGGGATCACAGATCATTGGGATATATTTTCTATATGCAGAAACCCCATCATGGGACAGTCGAAATAGAACGGGATAAACCAAAAAAAAAAAATATAGAAGCATTTCCCATACCAGCTCTAAGGATTGCCACCAAGCCCATCGAGGAGGCAGCAAAAGTAGCCAGCGTCTATCAAAAGGCCACAAAATCACAAACGCCCAAAAGGTAGTCGACACCCCCAAAAAAAAGCACCAGTCGGTTGCATACTGAGTTCCATGGCCCCGTTAAAGGGGGCCAGAGGGGGAGGAGAGAGATGTCATAAAAGTCTTTGTCAAATATTCCCAAATGGCAGCGGTTCGGGGCCGGCGTTTGCCTGAAACAGTCGCTCCCTGGGTGAGGTGGAGAAGTAACGCGAGATACGTAAAAAAAAAAAAGGGTTTCCTATTCATCAATTTATCGCGACATGAGTGAGTCGCTCGACTCTGTGCGAGGGAATATGCGCGTGTAGAGGGAATCGCTGGACTCGGTACGCGGGAAGTGCCGTTGGTGTTTCCGTGAGATCACACGATCGGTGTAAACACCCTTTGCCGAGCCGCGAATGACTGACTCGAGATATTCGCGGAAATCTGTGGGTTTGAATTCGGGGTACAGGTCTTGTGTGGTGTGGTAGCCGAGATACTTAGCGTACTCGGGATTGTTGTCGCCGCGAATTCCCCAGGACAGCTGATATTCGGCCAGGTATCGCGGAATGAACTTGATCGGGTCGAAGGGGTAGGTTTCACTAGCTTGTCGGGCCGCAACGACTCTGCTGCAGATGGTTTCTTCGGGAATCTGTGCTCCGGAAGAAGAAAAAATTGTTAGTCACATTGACTCATTCTGAGCCGAGAGTATGTGCGACTTACGTAGTTTCGATCAACCTTCTCCTCGCTGAGTTCCTCCATGAGCTCGTAAATCTTGTTTTGCGAGGAGACCAAGTTGTAGGCGAGGATCTTCTTGTTCAGAGTGCGGGGGTCGGAAATGATCATAGCCATGTAGCGACCAATGTCTCGCAAATCGGTCAATGCGGTGGGCATGTTACCATCACCAATAATCTCATCGTTACCCGAGGTCATGGCGTAGTCGACGCGTCCAGAGGGGAGGCGGGGGTATGCCAACTGGTACCACCAACCGACGTCGACGATGGTGTAGGGAAGCCATAACTGGCGGATTTGGTTGTAGACAATTTCTTTCTGTGTAGTAAAAGCCTGGTCAGTCCACCAACCTAAAGTACCGTACCACATTTCAAATCATACCTCGTCACGCAACCACATGATCCCGCCCGGTGGGCAAACGGTGATGAAACCACATGGAATGAATCGCTTCACACCAGTCTTCTTGGCTGCTTTCGCGAGAGGGATCTGGTCCTGTTGTTCGGCAGGGCCAACACAGCTAATAACCACATCAATTCCATCCAACGCCTCAATGAGCTGCTCCTCTGGGGCCTTCAAGTCGCATTTCCGAATCTGGCATCCCCGATCCTGGAGGCGCGTAATAGCTGGTTTTTGGGCCGAGATAGGGCGAACAAGAGCGATAACCTCCTGTATAGATGGAAGCGACACAGTTAGTCTAGGTCAATTGGTAACTCTTGAGAAAGTTCTTACAAAGTTACCAGTGTCCAACAGTCCGTTGGCGATAGAACCTCCGGTTTCACCCGCTGCTCCGACCAGCAAAACCTTGGTGGACATAATTATTCGAATTCAAAATCAAAATGGAGAGAGGGTAGAGTCAGATAGGCAAAGACTTAGAAAGATGGAGGAGGAAGATCAAAAAAAAGGAGGGAGAGGAAAGGGAAGCAGGGATTGGGTAACAGGTTTAGGACCTGACGACGTTATAAATTCCCAAAGGCTCAACCCACCTTTCTCATCCGCAGTAGTGGGTCGGTGGATGTTCGTTCCCCTCGTTTGAGGGGGAAGATTTTTATTTTTATTTTTTATTTGGTCATTATTGCTCATGACTACTTACATCTATATATGGTACTTCTATTCGATCCCTTCATATATTATAATTTTCAATTCTGTACTTTGTATAGTGCACGGAAACCTCTTTCTCTCCTTCACGGGCCGGTAATTCGGGAAAACCCCCCAAATCGGCCATGTTACGTCATACCTTACGGCTTCCCGGTCAAAAGAAAATGGGATAATAATGATGTTGGTTATATATTCCATATTATGACACTTTCTACTCTGTAGATATATTTGAAATATGTCTTTCTGATCAGAAGATCACGGACTACCTTTTTAGTCGGACCCGTACCTCGGACCCTTCAGACCAGCTAGCAAGGGCCTTTTATAGCCCCTTGTTCGTCGTGCAGAATCTTGAATACCCACGTCACAAATCCCGTGTGGTCACAGCTCTCAGGTTTCATGCTGTCCACTTGGCCCTGTGGACGAGTGACGAAATGGTAATGATTAGTCATGATCTGGGTTTCATTGGTGGCGCAGCGCCTTCAAAATAAAAAATGGGGTCATTTTGGAGGGCTTTTGGTGAGCCAATCATGAACGATTCAGGGAGAATTCCACGGTTTCCTATATGCCGGATACTAATGAGCAAGTAGCACATGGGCCCACGGGTAACTAATTGCTTGTGACCTTCCGCAAGACCCTGGACGCCTTGGGAGTTGATCAAATGATAACCTTGTCATGGGCTAAGTGCCAGCCACAACCGAGAGATCTGTGCCTGGCATCCTCCCCCTCCTTTGTCTCATACCAAGCGCCCAATTTCAACTTTGCGAGCCTTGGAACATATTGCTTGCTCTTTTTTGCTCGTCTGATCTCTACAAAATGGATTTGGTGGGGTAAGGAGTAGTACGGTTGCTCGAGTTTGGGAATTCTTCTCAAAGAAGTAACGAAAGGGGAAGATCCCAGGTCTGTCTGGCAATCACCGCGGGGAATGCAGCATGGTGGGAGGGTCTAAGCATAGCGATATTCTGGGCCCAAAACACTTTCAGCCAATGTCATCACCCCGAATATTGATCGTCGTTTTGGGCGGCTAGTCGAAAGAAATGGTGAAGATACTAGGGAATTGGGGAACTAGGCAAGGGCCAGCAACGCGACATTTGAGCAAAATTCAATTCTCAAATCCCTTTTGACTTAATAATATGCACTGCAGACCAATGGTAACGCTTCATAGCAGATCAATCCCAGCTTGGGCTCGGGCTGCTTTCATTTCAGCCGTTACTAATCCAGACCAGAGTACGAAGTACCACATACGCCTTGACGTCTTGGATGCGACAAAGAGGAGCTCATTACTGCACGTGAGCATCTATGTTGTAGATGCACTTAGCGATGTCTACATACCTTCGACGATAAATTACTTTTACAAAAATTATCCTTGAAATGTCTATTTTTGTTTGGTAATGAAACTCGCGATGATTTGATGTCAGGCCCGGGACGTAGGATGTAGGTATCAAACTTGGGAAGAACTTGATTATTTAGGCTCAACAATGATTATTCATCTCCTTCCTGCGAATACTTGGGATCTATCTATGTACACTCATTCTATGCTGACCCAAACTAACGATTGGTCTCTCTTCTCTTTTGATAGGAATCCAACCGTCCTACTCTACGTCAATCGAGGTGATGCTTGATTTGGAGTTGCTTCTTCATGCGGTGGTACGCATCCAGTTTTCAATTGGTATTAATTACCACTGAATATCTTGTTAGCCTCGTTTATGTTACGCATAATGTCACAAAATTTCTTCAATGAACCTCGGGAAACACGTAGGAATATCAATGCCGGGAGTCTTGGCGAGATCGACAAGGGCTAGATGTATTTGGCTTCTCGTAGTTATAAGGTTAAATATACTATGTAGACATAGATAGATCTTATCCCATCTCTTTTGATTATCTACATTATCTCACCTCACTCTCAATTTGGTTTTATCTCTCTTACTACACTCTCTCCTTGAGATCTTCCCTACGCAGATCATCAGCCTGAACTTCCACCCATATATATATGTTCATTTCATCTCATTTATATGCAGTTTTATCGGTTCGATGTTTTACAAGACGGAAAGTACACATATCCAGTAAAAGTACAAAAGGACCTTGATATTTTTTTGAAAAGAATACTAACATGGGTATATAGCTTGAAATGAATTGTTCGCTCGTCATAAAGTAATACAGTCCAAAAAGGCTTCCGCGTATGCACCTTTTTCCCTTGCAATACGCACAATCTCCTTCTCTGTCAAAGGCGGTTCACATGGCTCATACTTGTGAGTCCTAATATGCGTGCCCTTGAACGTAATTTTGATTGTCCTTGTTCTCTGTTTTTGTCTCTCCTCGTTGATCTCGGCCCATCTGGCCTTCACTTCTGCGAGGTGCTTCTCTCGTTTTCTTTCCCCCTTCCGCCATGCGGCAATCTGGTGGCCGATGGAATTGCTCGGCTCATGCACCCATCCCACGCCCCAGCCAGGGACATCTTCAAACGCTGTCTCATCTGCGGCAGCCGTCCTCCACTGCCAGTAGTTCAGTGCCCTAACATCATCCTTCGAGCGGCATAGATTCAGGATACTTTGGGGGGCGAGGTAATGTTGGCGGATGTGGAAGTCCACTTGGTAATGGGCGAAAAGAACGGTGGCTTCATCTGTTGGCTTGCCTGACTCAGCCTCGGCCTTCTTGAGAATGCTATCAATCTTGTTGTAGTAATAGTGTTGTTGAGAGGAGGTAATATCACCCCAAAATGTGGTGTTGTTATTTTGGTACGCTGCTGTGTCTGTATCGAAGGGAGATATATGTTCATCTGATACGCTTTTGCTAGCGAAGAATGGTGGATATTCCGAGGTGATATATGAGCCTGCAGCAATATCTGCATTCATCATGTATGGAATAATATGCAGATGTTTGCATCCAGTGCATTCGAGGGCCTCCTGTAGAGCGGCGTTTTGTGAGGACTTGGGTTTATCAGTAAATGGACCACATAGGAGCTGCTTGTAAGTGAAGAACTGTACAATCTTTTCCTTGACAGCCTCTGTCCAGTCTTTTCTTGGCGTAAATTTGCGCTTGATAATGCGGCTTTTGTCTCCTCGTGTATGATTGCTCATATTGGATGTTTGGGTGAGTACACACATGGTAAGGTTGAAGGGATGATTAGAGTAAGGTGTATGCAAGTTTTTGTGATCTGATTGCGATTGAAAGATATAAGTGAAGGGCGATGCAGTTTGGCATGCACTTATACAATGCATGAAAGGCCTTTGTGCCGACATCGTGGACAAAGGAAGAGAGAAAAAAAAATAGAGTCCATGGTTCTAATTTAAATCAGAACAAACAAAATATAGTTTCAAACGCATTGATTCAAGTCAATTAAAGAAAGCGGAGCAGGTAAATAATGAATAACAATAGGATACTTGTATATTCTATTGAGACAATGTCAATCAAAATAATCCTCCAGAGGGCTTCACCTGTAAACTACCTAAATATGGCCCCTTTGTTATGACGTGTGGGTGCGAAAGGTCATTTGGGGAAGGCATACTAGGGACGGCGTGACTGAACATCGTGAATGAGCATCGTGACTCTACGAGATCATCGGGTCACAGAATGCTTGTGAAAACTAGGGGGTTTCCCTACGATAATTTTGCAATAGCATTTAAATCATATCAGTATGTTGATATCAGCGACTATAAGGGCGTTAAGGTCGCTATCTTGTTGTTTTTGGGTACATTCGATATCACTATATATAGGATAGTCTCGAAGTAAAAATAGTTGATACTTGCTGTTGATCGAGCTTAGATATTTGTCGCCAGTTTTGAATGCTAAAATTCTATCATCCTATTGTTCATTAATTCATAATATTTCTTGAATGTCGATTTTTTGTATTGCTATTCAGGTTGCTTGTTTCTTTTCTCCTCCCCAAATCCACAGATACACTTTTTATCTTTAACATCGCCTGTTCAACACTTACAAACGTGCGATCAGCAAAGTCATCATGGCAGGAGCTTCTCTTGCCTTCCCGGCGATCTGCCTGGCCCTCTCATTTCTTTTTGTTGTTGCCGTCTACAATGCTTCGATTATGCGGTACCTCGGCACTTTCCACTGTCGCGTCATCCTCCCCTCGTACCAACACATTAAACGCAGGCTCCTCAACCGTAGCCCCGTCAACCAAAACCTACCAAACCATATGCTTGAGCCAGGGTATGAGTCAATCAACCTTGATACCAAAGATGAAGAAGACCAACATCCTCCGCCTTTCACGGCTCCACGCATGTCACTACCTGACTACTATCGACACCGTCAAAGCCCTGCTAGCAACGCAGGCAATATTTTTTCAGACATGGAAGATGCAACCGAGACCGACGGTCTCAACATGACCACCAGATATGCAGGAGGCCCGTACCGTCCGCGCCGCTGGTCCACCTTTGTGGGTGTCGCCGAGCGCTCTATCCACAGCCGTTCCCCAAGCCTGTCTGGGTCTCTTGTATCCTCTGACGAGTATGACTCCGACTGGTCCAATTCTGCTGTCGATGAAGCAGTATTCGAGCCCCGCAATCCAGCCGATGGCATCCCCGTCTGGGAATTCGAAGTCGAGCGACCTATCTATACCCTTGACCAGGATGAACAAGGAACACCGGCACTTTGGCTGGATGAGGTTGTTGAGTGGACTGCGCAAGGCGTCTTTGCTTTCGTTGTCCCTGATATGATCCAACAAAGGGGCTGAGAAGAATATGAGACTTCAGGGCAACATATACAACATTCATGGGATTGGCAAAGCATCCGAGATCCTGGTGAGCTGAGCACGATATTCCTTGCAAGGTTCCTATGTTGTTATTCAAGTTGATAATTATGAAAAGAAACGAAATTTGATTCCGACGATTCTGCCCTAGTAATGAGTTCAGGTTGGGTAGCTCGTAGCTCATAGGTATTTTGATCAAACCAGCTGGTCACCTTGGTCATATCGGTCTATGAACCCTGTCACGCGGGTGTAGAGTGCGCAGGTGCATTCCAGATGTCATTGGTGGGGCTTATCAAGACTAAAGCGCCACGCAAGGGATTGAGCCATTTCTTCTTACAGGGATACCAGGGTCTGGAGATACAAGCTCTACAAGGATAGCACGGTCTCATGGCGTCGTTGACTCGGTAATTAATTGCGCACAAGCTGAAATTGGGCTGGCCGTGCCGGTGATTGGAAAATACTTCCGTTGGGGGCTGGCATCGGTGTTTTTTTCGGGCACCACATTACCATGCGAGTCATTCCAGGCATGATGCCTACATACTGAGCTGGGGAATATATCGCAAATACGATATTCTGATTCAGACCTGACCATCTAATCTATCGTTAGGTTTAAATTAAAATCGCCAACATCTATCTCCCCAAAATTTACGCCCCAAACCACAGACCGTGTTTTTAATTCGTTATGAGGGAAAATTTACGGGGCGCAGTAGCCGCCGTCGACAATAAGATCGGCGCCAGTAGTATAGGTGGATGCATCGGAGGCAAGGTAGAGATAGGCACCCTTCAACTCATGAGCTTGGCCCTCACGGCCCATGGGGATTTTGTCGCGCCAGATGTTCTTGGTTTCCTCGGGCACAAAGCTTGAGATCTCAGTCGCAATGTAGCCAGGGGATATAGTATTGGCACGAGCGTAGCGGACCCATTCGACAGAAAGCGACTTGCCTAAAACGGTGTCAGCGGGGCGATGAAGCTGATATAGTCTGAACAACTTACAAAGGTGAATGACAGCAACCTTAGCAGCGTTGTAGGCAGCCTGCATTTGGGGAAAGTTGACAATGTGGCCGCTCATAGAGGCAGTAGCAACGAAGCTTCCATATGTGAAGTTAGTGAGCTTGTTGCCCCTGGCATCGGTGCCCTCCTCCTTCTGACGGCGCCAGTGGTCAGCGGCAGCCTTGGCACAGTAGAAGGTACCATCGAGATCAATGGCGATGACATCGCGGTAGTGAGTGAGGGGACCGTCGACCATGGGACCCTGGGTCCAGGGAACACCGGCGTTGGCAATAAAGACGTCGAGACGGCCATTGAATTCCTGGACAACCTCGTTTACGGCATTCTCGACAGCGTTTGCATCAGTAATCTCAACCTGATAGGCCTTGGCTGCAAGATAAATCAGGTTAGAATGATTTGGAGCCAATCACATTGTGTAGATTCGATACGCACTCTGAACACCGTACTGTTCAGCGATCTCGGCCGCCCTCTCGATACACTTGGAGTTTCTGTTGTACCACATGGCCACATTGGCACCAGCCTCAGCTAAACCCTGAGCAACAGCCAGACCTATACCAGCGCCAGCACCGGTAACAATGGCTGTCTTTCCCTTGAGAGAGAACATGCTCATGAGACTGAGGTGCTCAGGAGGAGTCGTGTTATTGTGGACAAAGAGTCCATTTTCGGTAATAGGGTTAGCAGCCATTGTAGGAAGAGTAGAGTAGAGAGCAAATGACAAAAGTGAAAGGCAAGTTTAAGTGGGCAATCACTTAAATATAGAGCTTATGAGGGGAAAATCTAAGAACGTCTAGGTGATATACGGTGAGTGATGCGCTGGCGGGGAAATGGGACTAGACCGTAGCCATTCGCTACTATATGTAGACCTTGGTGGGGAGCTCTCGCATTATGCCTCGATTGCATTGGATAGTGACGCTATGCGCCTCAGAATAGAAATTCGGGGGCAATGAGATCTATCATAAATGTGTATCAGACTTGCTCAGAAATGTCAGATCTATTGGAAATTGGAAGCCTTATTCTTGCCTGCCGGTGAATCATAAAGCTGGAGAAACGTGGATCTTAGGCTGTTTAACGTGAATTTCCCTAGAAATATACTTTTCAAATCTTTTAATGCAGATTTAAAGCTACGATTCAAGCTACAGGGAGCAAATATTCTTCAAGCTAATACTGACTTCGCCTCTCTTCAAAGAAATGGCCAAGGGTGCCGAGGTCCCGGGAAATTTGACCTCGAGAGGACGAGATCTATTCCGACTTTTGACTGCAGAAGAGAGTAAATTCCTTGTACTAATTCTTCATGGGTGTAGATTACTAGAAATTGTAGAAATTCAGAGTTCCGCTATCAGTGGAATCCAAATGAACTCGAGAACCATGCGCATAAGGGGCAGTTATCCTAGGCAGTGCACCATCACTCTACAATTCAACGCAAACTCAGTATCTATTATGTGTGTTAATTTATATTCTCGCACTAATAAAATCCCTCAGTAGGAATCAAAATGGTTCGCTTATCTGGACATAAATAAGGTTGGTCAAGAGCGCGCACTGATCTTGGTGATCGCTGGAATATCAACAAACGGCCAGCTAGATGAAAAGCGACATCCATAGTTGAACACCTCATGGAATCTGTTAGCTATTAGGAATATGTTGGAAAGGAAAGTCTGGATTCCATCGAACAAAGATGTCAAAGAAGACGTGGGAAAGGGCACTTGAAAGATGGGGATCGGTTCCTGTCATGTATGAACCGGGATCGATTAGGGCATTCGACGCCGGTTCCAGTCACTCAAGACTAGCAATCAGATGTTCCAACGGGTTATTCACACGATTTTGTTCGGTGACAATGTCACGGTCGAAACAGGATCAAAGGGGGTAGTGTGGTCGCCAGCATTCTTCATACCGGGTGGTGATGAATGGACATTCCTCGGCTGGAATCAATGTTCCCATAACAAACGGTGGTCCCCTTGGTGGAATTCTAGCAAATCTTGTTGTTCCCTCTTCCTGTGAAGCAGCTTTGTTGTGTTCCACGAGGATGCAGTCTCTAGCACTGTGAAGCCTCACTGTTGCCGTTTTGATACAGCGATAATCCACAGCATCGCATGTTCAAACCCGAATCGCTAGAGACGCATGAGGAATTCAGAAGGGATATCTCCGCCAACTGTATTGATCCAGCCTCCGAGTTAGCCCAGTGACACGCTGACAAGGCGGCCATGCTGGGGCTGACCGCTGTCATCGCCATAGCCGCTTGCGGCGCGGCCACCTTCATCGTCGTCTCGGTTGTCAGCGTTGTTGTTTGGGTCCGATATCGCAAAGAGCGCCATGCAATACGGCTGATGGGCTTCACGCAGAGGCCGAGACGCACTCGGGGCTTGCAATCTTCCCCAGGGAACACTTTGAGTGAATTGAGTCGGATAGAAGGGAGCATGTTAAGAGCGCATGGGCAGCTTCCATATGGCAAACCAACAGAGTGGGGGCAATTAACATCGAAAGAGAATTTGCATGGCCCAAACAACGACTCAGAATCATCTTTTCAGTTCACTGAGAAAGCACGATCTCTCCGCGATTCCCTGTCTCGATCTCGTTCCAAGCGCCTATCACGATCATCCCACAAACGCATGAGCTCGTTAGCTACGTTGGGTGAATTGAGCGAATCCAATCATCTTCCTACTCCGCCGCCTAGAGCACCAATGTCGATATCAAAAGAAGATGTCCCACTTTCGGCGGTCGAGGGTGTTTTGGAATTGCCAGCAGAAAATACTCCACGGCAAACACCAGATCCTAACGAGGAGGAAACTGGGTTCCACCTAGGTATGAAGCCCGTTTCGCCTGGATGGCCCCTTCCTGTTTCGGAAGGCCTTAGCGTGTCTGATTCGTTGGATTCAACAACCTCCAATGAGTCTCCTAGTCGTCTCCGTGGGGGAAGTATTGCTAGCCAAACTGCTGGGACGATGCCTTGTCACTCAGTACCCCCTCCTCCTCCAACTGCATATTCCCTAGACAGATTTAGTTACGCTAGGAATGACTCTGTGATGAGACTTTCCTCCATGAGTCTTGATACCACCAATAGCTCAATTTTGGATGATGGTAGAAATGGTCCTAACTCGGCTGATACCGATCTGACCTCACCCAGCTTCCCCTCGGGCACGTTTGTACCTTTCAGTGCCGCTGATGTTGGAGTCAAGGATGGTCGCAGGAGTTTCATTGCCACAAACACCTCCATCCCACCCATGCACAACTTCCCTGTCCGCTCTTCTTCGACCACTGAACATCGTCATAAATCTGCATACTTGCCACCTCGACGAAGTTTGACAACTCATCACTTCGGTGCATCTAGAAATCGTTTTAGCGGTGCCCCACATCGATCTGGCTCTATGTCTTCATCTCATTCCCGTTCCCCTTCAAGGCAGGTCTCTTCGCGGTCTGGGACTCCAGTGGGGCATTTGGGATATCAAAATCCAGCCCCGTCCGACTGGCGATCATCGGGTTCCCACAAGTCCTCTGTACTACATGCCAATCTATTCCAAAGCAACACGGCTTATGAGTATGACCAAATGGAAGATGACCCATTCTACGTTCGCTCGCCTGAGGGTGGGACTCTGTTCCATCAGGTTAGGTCACCAGGTAACGCAGCCAACACCATCAAACCACCAAGCCCGATGCAACGTGCCAGTCTAAAGGGCCATCTTCCCTCTGCGCTCAAGGGTGGGAATTCACAACGCAAGGGTCACCGACGTCAGAATTGTGTTCGTATTTCTATTCACCCGCCCATTACGTTTGGGTCATCGACATTCTCTCCTACCGTCGAAGAGGAACCAGAAGATTTCGACAAGATGGATGAGGTGGATCTACGTGAGATCTCAATCAACAACCCACCAAGATTTATGCCTTCATTGCCACCAGGTACAGGGTCTCCCCTGTCCTCTTCCAGGCGCAGCAAATATGGCAGTCGACATGGCAAGCCTGGCCTAGGCTCTCTCGGACCACTCGTCGAGGAACCGCAACCCCCAATGTACGACGATAGTCCTTGCAAGAAGAAAATCCGTGCTCCGTCTGGCCCGGCTGCCAATAGGCCTGCATTCGAAAACAATCGGGCTCTCCCTGAACTGTTTACATCTCTCCCTTCGTCTCATGGCATCTCTCTCACCCATATTCCCTCTCCCGACAGAGCACCGCCTGTATGGAACATGTCTGAAACTCCATTCTCATCTCACGAGAACTCCCCTGCCATCGGTAGCCCACGACGCTCAGCAGTAAAGGGGCCTCGCAGCCAACCCGGTGTTATCACAGCTCGAAGCAAGTCAACTCGCGTACCCTCAGCCTCCTCGGATGCACCAGAAAGTCCCTTGGTCTCGCCTAATCGCCTTCCTCTTGTCATGAGTATCACCGGAACAGAAGGCAGTGACTGGCGTAGGTCCACAGATACACTGCAACGCACGAAGACTGATGCTTCAAACCGCTCATTCCGCCGGGACCGTGATTCCGTTTCCAGCTTGGACAACGGGCTGGGTCCCATCGGCGGTTCTTCTGCACTCTACGGCTCCCGTCGCTCCTCAAGGGTCCAAGATCGCGTTACTATCTTCGAAGATTCCAAGCGGGCTACCTCCCCTCCTAAAACCTCCGTGTTGTCCCCAATTGGGTCGTTCCGCACGCCTGAATCCTCTCCCACCCGTCGCAAGACCAATGGCCCCCGTCCCATGCCCAATAACCAACAATTACCGTCTCATATGTCGAGCTACCATGCACCCCCTACTCCTACTTCTCCCCGACGAGGAATGACTACTCCAACGGGCAAGGGCCTCGAACTTGGAATTGGAACTGCCACGCCTGCTAGTCTTTATGACGGCGATGGGTTCCTACGGGAATAGGGCCAATTTTGCTATTTCTTTTGTGGACTTTGAAAGCGACAGTTTTCTTTTGATTCGTTCTGATTTCTTTTGATCGAGCAGTATTTGATACTGATGTTGGCGCAAAAGCTTCAGTGTCCTTCTCTTCTACCTGTTTTTATTTTGTTTTACTACTTCTTATTCCGCATGTCGCTTGGTGGTCCATCTTTTTCTCCTGTTTTTATGTTTGATGTATGTTTTCTCAGGTTGTTATTCAATGAATGAGGAAATCATTAGTACTAAATCCAGTCCTCCTCTACCTATGTTTCCTTAAATAATAAACCGCAGCAAAATGATCCATAAGTAGTATACCACGTAATCATTCGAGCATTTTAAACGCCAATCCTACACCGTGTCTTTCATCTTTTCCATCAAAGCGGCTTGATCCCAATCAATCCGTCTTCCGCCACTTGGTCTCATCCTCTTCTCCATTCTCTTCGACGCCATTCTCTCCCTCTCGCGCTCTAACAGTCCCAGCTCCAGGCCCAAGTGGGAAAGAAGGCGGCTCACCAGCAGCAATCCAATTCCCATCTGCATCAAAGAACTGGTCCATATTATCTGCCGTGATCCACCCAGAGCTCCCATCAACAGGAGGGGGCATATCCCCATTTCCAAGCTGGAAGACTCCCTCGTGCTCTTCAGCCGAAATGAACTTAGGCCCATCCTCCTCATCCTCATCGCCCTGCTCAACGGGATCAGGGTGTAAATTCGAGCAGGCCGAGACAGCGTCGTAAAGCTGCTGCGTGGGTGTATCGGACTCAGTCTCCACGGGCTCTTGTAGCGTGGCGTCGGCGGGCAGCACCACGGTCATTGTGATGCATTCCTCTTCGTCATCAGCTGAGGGCGCACCCGGCGTCGCAACTTGCATATACAGGCCCTGGACTTCCGCATCGGTGTCTGGGACGCGTAGCCGTTGGAGTGCGTGAAGTGAGATCGAGGGGTAGGGGATTGACACGCCTGTGGAGGCGGTAGGGGAGAAAAAGAAAAACTTTCTATTGAGTGATAAATTCGATCAGTCAATGCCCTCGTCTTTACATGGGAGGGGGAATTGATAAACTCACTCGGATGTCACCCAAGTATCCACGCCTGAGATTGCGACCTCCTTCTCGTCATCGTCTTGGCTTGCAGCGCTGTTGTTTACAGCATCTTGGCCACGCAAGGCATTCAGTGCTGGAGTGGCAAGGAGCTCGCGCTCAAGGATAACGATCTTGCAGCGCTGACTGTGGTGGTACAATACTGGGGGTCCGGAGTAGAAGGAGCTCGGGGTGCGCGACTGGTGTTCAGCCAGCGGCACGAATGAGGCGGCTTCAGGAGAGCTGCTAATAACCTCCATGCTATAGTATATGTATGATTGGGGGAGAAAAACGCAAGGGTTGAACGGTATGACCAGGGTGCTTTCTGGAGTTGTGATGGAATGAAAACGAGCTTCCCGCGCGGGGTGGAGCTTTTCCCCGAGCTCGGGAGCGAAGAAATAGTACATACATACATTGTGTACTCTTCTTGTTCTATTGCTATACTGCGTGTGTACGCGTTTTATACACAGCATTATTTAAAAATATTAAGTACTTGGTATACTATCTTTTTGAAGTAATTTCCTCCATGTGACAGTCCTATAAACCGCATAGGCAGTCAAACGACTGTGAACCCATTCACCTCATCCATCAAATATCTGTGGATAATCCTAGCACTGACAGAAAAATCCCCACTTGAAATATTGCAAACTTGGAGATTATTAAACTGCTTTGACAAGACCTCAGAAGAGTCCAGCTGGAAAGTCCACCTGAAACATAGGGAATCCTTTGGAGACTTTATTCCAGTGATTGATCCACTGTGCCACATTGAGAAATTGATTTCCAAGTACTCATGTGCCGTAAAGAGCAATGAGAGATTAACTTTCTTGCAAGACCGTCCTTCATCATTTCAAACCTAGACCACCGAACGCTCTATCCAACTCCTCCCCATCGTTATGTGGTACCATGCTCGGCATTTGCGAAGAGCCCTGGTCAGGGGATGAGCTATCCAGCAGGCTTGGATGGGCATCACCCTGTGCGTCAGGAGAGATACTGTTCCGGCTAGGCTGAAGAAGCTTTTCGTCACGGTCGAGCCACCCAGGAGCCAGACGTCTTTTTTCGGCTAGCTCGCGTTGTTTAATCGACTCATTCCATGCGCCGATCGCTTGATCCGCGTCGCTGCGAGCCTTATTCAAATGTTGTTCGAGTGAGGAACAGGCGGCGAGGACGTCGTCTGGGTGAGCTGCATGCTCACCGCTCGGGGAAACAACATAACGGGCTTTACCGTCAGGGCTGCTCGGATCGACTGTCACTGAGGGGGGTAGAGATGAGGGGACAGATTTGTATGTGTAGGGTAATGTGACGGAGGCGGGGAGGTTGATGAAGGGTGAGACGGTTAGTGGGACCTGGGCGAGGAGAGGGTGTGGGCCTAAAAGGTGGTTAGTTATTCAGACGTATACGAGCATGGTAGGAATACTGACGATAGGAGTCGTACATGGTTGAGTTGTAAGATGAGGCCGATCAACTGCGGAGTAGCGGAGTAACGGAGATGGGGCGCATCTGTTGACATCACGCCGGGAGAGCTGTGTTAAGAGCACACCTGGGCAACGTTCATATCATTATGCACTATTGCGATGATCTTCTAATTGATCAGATAAGAAAGTGCATGCTTGCTATGGACTTGTAACTCTCTGTTCTTACTTTCTAAGCTGGTAAATGTAGCAAAACGCATACATATTAACACTGAAAAAAAAGTCCAATTTGATCACAAGTCTAAGATTTCAAGATCCTCTGCCTAGGCACCATTAAATACCAAAAGGCTTTGAATATTGACGCCAAACCCACGCTGGCGCAACAGTTCCCGACCACGATGAACTGGGAACTCGCCAACCTTCAAGCATTATGCTGACATCAGCAATCTCAACTTCATTCAAAAGCTGCAGCACCGCACAAAGTGTCTTCCCCGTGGAAAGCACATCGTCAACAACCAATACCCGCGCGCCTCTAGGGATCAAATCCCGTTCTATCTCAATCATCTTGTCATTTGAATTGGATGTCCACGATATGTGAGATGTAGACTTGAGGACGGAAACAGTGGGTGGGGGCAGTTTGCCGGCCTCGCGAATCAGCGCTAAAGGTACATTGACCCGCGAGGCCAATGCCGACGCATAGATGAAGCCGCCAGCCTCACAAAATGCTATGACATCGACTTTGGCCCAGTCATCCGTGAAGTGAGTCTGCAGCAGAGAAGTGCACAAGGACAGACCACCTGGCTGCCGGGAGATGTTGAGCACATGCCGGAACTCGACGTCCGGGCGTGGAAAGTTGGGTTCCGGAAGCACCAAGTCGGCCAGTCGCTTAAGATCCTCATGAAAGAAGGGAAGCAGCTAGTCTTCGGCAAGCCTTTTTACCGCTTCGTCTCCGGTCACGTCATTGTTGAAGATGAGACTGGGCCGGTAGTCTAAGGGCTTCGGTTTTGGCCTATTGCTGTTGTCCTTCCCGCTGTCATCAGTATTATCATCACCTTCGTGACACCCTCGGCGAGCTCGTCGCATCTCTTTACTAGCTTGAACGCAAATCTCAAGCAGTCTGCTGTCTGGCACCAAATGCGAGAAGGCTGCGACTGGCGCTTCATCTCTCATCCCAGTGATTAGCAATACATCCACGTCTCTGGCGCTATTAACCGCGTTTAGAAAATGCTCCTCTGGCAGGCAAGGTCGATGCTGCACCTGATTCTGGAAGAACGCCGTCAATGCTGGTTGGTGTTTCTCTTTGTACGCACGGTCCCGAAGTAGACGGTCCAGGTCAGCACCAGTAACGGCCGCGTATTCTTGCTTAGTCGTATCGCTAATGCTGACTACGCGTGCTCTGATGGCTTTATGGGTGCATTTGAGGAAGACGGAGACCCAGATGTCGGCACAGTAGTCCTTTCCCGCGCCGCTTGCGCCCGTGACAAGAACGATGAGCTTCTGTTCCATCTTCACTTTTGGGAGCGGGCAGGCATAAGCTAGCACATTGCGCGGGTCCGAGCCATGCTTGATGCGAGCTAGGCGTGGCCGGTTCAGTCCAAAAGCCTTGGCCGCTAGTGCGGCGTCTCTAGGGTCCGGCCCTAGGTCTGCGCCGTAAACCCCGTTACTCACGGGCAACACTTTGCTAGCGATATTGTACACCCATTCCACGGCAGATCGAGCGAGTATGGTTCCGTCTTGCTCGCGGGGCCATACGCCAGTTATCACATAGGCAAAGTCCCAGTCTTGACAACCAAAAGCAGTCGCATTGGCTGCCACGTCACCGACAGCCCCGCCACCTTGTATTAGATGGAGATAGGAGAATGGCGTGGGACGAGTCTCAACGGCTGCCACCAAGATCTTGGCGACCTTCAATGCTCCAATGCCTTTTAAGAATAAGCATCGCTTGAACGAGGAGGTCTTGCAATTAGCATGCTTGCTGTGCATTCTGAACATGTACATTTCAGTCTCGAGCAACTTAACGCCGTCCATGGCCTAAAAATTCTCATTAGACCCGAAAATCCTCATCCCAGTCGTGGAAGATTCAATCACAGTCACGCCAAGGTGCAGCTTGCCGACATCCCAGTACACCCACGCGTCTGCAGAACAGCTCTGGGGGAGTTTCCTAGCGAGCAAGTTATCAAAATCGCTAAGCGTGCGCTGCGCGTCAAGACTGTCATTCAGCGGGTAAACCCAGTCTCGAGTCCAAAAGGTCACAGCCGCGTAAGCCTTGAATGTAACGCTGACTACAATGCCCAAGTTGGTCCCAGCACCTTTTATCGCCCATAACAGATCGTTTCCGTTTTCCGGGCGCTCGGCACCGGCCGGCCGGTGTTGGCGCGGTACATGGCCGATGTAAATGGTCTGGCTAGAGTCGACGCTGACTATCACGGCACCGACGATGGCGTCGCACGCAAGCCCGTATATTCTACCCAGTTGCCCAATGCCGCCTTGTAGCCATAGCCCCGCGCCTACGCTTGGGCGGATCCCCAAGGGTACTGTCAGGCCCGCGGCCATGGTCTTGCGGGTAATATCCCCAGTCTTGCATCCGCCCTCCGCGACGATTAAGGGAACGGAGTCGAAACCAGATTCTTGTCCATCACTTCCGGCTTTGATAATGTGTACTTTGTCAAAGGCGCTCATGTCGACCGAAACGACGTTGGAACGCAGGCAGTAACCGCCTACGACGGTCAGGCTGAACCCGTGCTTTAGAGCCCATTGAACACACTGTCGAATGTGTCTGACCTCTGTTGGTCTAACAACAGAGGCAGGATGGTGAAGGCGAGCCACCCAGTTCTTGACTGTTCTGCCCCCTTCCAGCAATGGTACCTGCGCCGTTAGCTCTGGCAACGTGGTCGCATGTTGAGGGAAGGCCGCCATGGTGTGGGGAGAGCTGAATAAGAGATGGCCTGGGTGGGCGTTCTCGCAACAGCCCAACTCCCGGCACACCTTACGCCATTTGGCTCGCATAGCTTTGTCCTCCTCCACATCCTGCATAACGTACCCTGCGATGAAAGGGCAAAAAGAGTTCAGTGCCTTGTTGTCATCTGCCACATAGACGGCCCCGGTAAGGAAAGAAGCCGTTTGATGGCACACTAATCCGTTGAGTGCTAATGTCCCATCACGATAAAAAGCCACCACCATGCCGCCTTCGGGCCGCTCAACAAGCATTCCCAGCGCCCGCTTGATCGACCTGGCGTTGAAATCCATGCTGTACATGCTGGAACAGAATAGGATGACGTCAAACTTTTTATCTCCATCACGCGTACTAGTACTATCGGTCTTTGTGTTGCTATCTAGGTCGAATGACACGTGATGGATATCAGGCGGGCTTTCCAGCCAGGACAACGGGGACTCCGTCTCTGGTGTCGAGCAAAGCCATTTTTCCAACCTTGTAGCAAGTAGATCACTGGGTTGAAATGCGGCATATCTCCTGATCTTCCGCCTCAGGTGGCCGGGCAGATGTCCTAGTACGCTCTCCGGGCCAGGTCCGATTTCTAGCACTGAGATATGGACACGCGAGCTGAAGAGAGGAGCTAACAATTGAGAAAGTTGAGGGATAATAAACTCTTGATACATGATCCATCCTGGTTCTTGCATCATGGCATCTAAGCCATCGTTGTACTGTATGTCCGACAATTGCTGTCTTGGGGATGACCCTGCTTTTTGCCTTCAAGTCCATGCGAGGGCGTTAAGAGTGGCCATATCAGCTCAACAGTAAAAATGACGAGAATAGTTGGTTTAGGATTTACGGGAACGTGCTTTTAAGTACTTGCAACTAGTTTGTCGCTGGCGGCAGCTGGCAGCTGTGCAAATCCACTTGTGGCTATGTGCAGGCTGATGCCAAATTGAGCAATCTGCTACGTTCCTAGACTAATTCCTTTTTCAGAGATATCATTTGTTTCAAGAAATAGGCAGCTTTTGTCTTCTAGATATATTGGGAGCTATAGTTTGGTCGCTAATTATTTTTGCCCAATATTGTGCGATTTATCTAGCTCTTCAGCTCGGCTTTCCCCGGCTGTTTTCCCTGAGTAGCACATCTTTATTTACCAGAAATTTTAGAGCGTTATACGTTGGCAACACTGGTGTCAGGTGATGCTACAAAGAAGTTTTCTCCAAATGTTATAGGCTAACTTTGAATTTCTCCGTTGATTTCCATCACACTGGCATTCGATATCAAAACTCACATACAGGATACGATAGAGGAGGGCGCCTTACCTGCAAGTGAATATAGTCGTTCTTACTTACCAGTATTACTACCGATCTATACACAGACACGAGTATCAGGGAGGAAACGTAAAAATCAGGATAATAATAGATTTGAATACTATTAGCTTGCTCTCATCAAGTAATAGAAATACTCAAAATTACTGTGAGAAAATGCATAAGTTATACATTTCGAATCCTTAGCATATTTGTCTAGTTTGATATTAGCCCCGGGCTGTCACTCCCGCGTTGAATCGGGAGGAATTGTATATGCGTACGGAGTACGGAGTATGTACTAGGGTTTTAGCTCCACACGGAGACTGTGCACGATTCCTGTGTGGAAGATGCGCGGTGAATATGAATCCAAACTTTAGCAAACTGTGGCCTGACTCGCGGAGATCCAGAGCTCTAGGGTCAAAATAAGACGGATGAATTGGATCTACCAGACAGGTGTACGCAGTGTACAGCGATATCGGCGCATAAAAAGGGTAGCATTGGGCGAAGGCAAAACAAGGATAGGAGAGAAATATAGATACGAACATAGATCTACAAGTACGCCAGGGATCAAGGACGCCTATGGGCATCCGGCGTGACCCGTGCCCTGTTAGGTGTAGCCTAAGGGCCCAATCCGGATAACTGCACTGTGGTTTTGGTAGGAGCACAGTTTACTCGGCAAAAATGTAAAGAGATTGTCATGTTGTGAGTAGCTCAAACAAGGCTATAAACCAATACTGGCCGATGGAAAGCCTAGGTTGTATTCGCGTTGTTGTACAGTAGACAATGGGAATGTGATCAAGCGTTAATTCGCCCAATACTGACCACTTTTACTTTAGTTCCATGGCACAAAAATGTTATAGTAATGGAATGAATGTCGATTTAACTCTGATATTTTTCTTTACTTTGCTATGAAGGCATCATGAGCGCGACATACGAGATATCATAATCAGCCCTTTTCTGTCTGAGTACTTCGCCGAGGCTCGATCTTTCGGAACAAGATGCTCGTCTCCATTTGCAATGAGAGCTTCAACAAGAGTCGCCCTCCCAGCATGGATGAACCCAAGACGCCGGTACAATTCGACTGTGACATCGTTCCCCGCCTTAACAATGAGCCGCACTTGAACTTGACCAGGAAATGAACGGTATGATCGAAGATAATTGAGAGCTTCCTGACAAAGTTTGCTTCCAAGTCCATGGCCGCGATACTCTGAAAGCGTAAACAAGCTCAGCATCTGCCATCGCTCCTCCTCTTCGTCAAACTTTTGGGGTGGTTGACCAGCTTCCACAGGTAACTCGAAATCAGCCCTGGATGAAGGCCCTCGCAGAGTGACTTGGCCGATCCATTCGATATCATTAGGAGATGAAGGATTATGACTCAATGGTTTCGCGGCACAAATAAACAGTTCTCGATCGGGAAAGGTGAGACGATCTATCCACTCGGAATTGGTGAAAGCCGATTCGATATCATAAGTAGATGAGAATGAATCGGGTGAAGTTTTCAATGCTTTTAAGCGTAGGTCTCGATATTTCTGAGCTGAGGCTTCGACTTCATCTGTCTTTGAGACCCGGAAGAAGGAGTAGGTATAGTTGGACGCCATGGATAGAGCCTGAAGGTGATGAGCATGTTAGATCAGAGAAGAGCATTTCTTGATTATTTATATACAATTTTATGACTCAAAGCGAGCTACGGCGAACTTGAAATTGGCCGAGATCGCTTATCGAGGAGTTGATCCACTTTTCCACGGCGTGCAAGTCCGATCTCAACCTTTGTTTAGTACGAAAGCCGAAGATTCAAAACACCTGGCATTGTCCGTCGAAAGGGCATTTTGACTATGTATACTTGCAGGGCTCAAGTATATTCCACATTTATTCACCAGACGTCGGTGGAGACCATTATTGTGACTTGCTGAACTGCATAATTTTAGGCGCGAGATTTTGAGGACTCAAAAACAAGACGAAATACCCAATGAGGATTGGCAAATTGGTTTAATAAGTGAAAATTGACTTCTAACCAGGCATAACGTAGCATACTTTGTGGTGGTTGTACTGCAAACCCAATGTCCGTCGTGTGTATATATCTTCGCCTCACCATGCTAAAATGGCAGCCCTAATGAGATCGTGCCCCAAGTCAAGATGTCAAACATAAAAAAGAACAGAAAAATAAACCAAGCCTGAAATATATCCATCTCAAAAACGCTGTTTTCAAGTTCATCAAGCTTGACTTACATCTCGTCTTCTGCCGCCAAAGCCCAAGCCTCACTACCATTTACTTGATGAGTAGCATTGATACGTGTTGACCAGCTCAATGCTCTTTGTGTTAGAGTCTATGAGATAGGTCAGCAGTGCGTATTCTTCCGCGGCCGTAGGCGGCCTGCTGAGTATTCTTGCTGAATAACAAGACGGACTTACTTGGTGTGAGTTTCGTGGTGGCATTGTCCATGCTCTCACAGGTACGCTATGATTGGAAGTGACAGCAGGCTCGTAATACTGTTGATTGCACCTCGGGATGGTATGGCTAGACGAATATTTCTGTTGAATGCTAAGATTTTCTCTTACAGAAGAGGCATCTCCAATTCCTGACTAGGCGAGAAAAGTTAGTTTAGTCAATACTACCGCTGTGGTCAAGTTCGGACCATGTTAGTACGGACGGCAGAGTTCTTCCATAAATTAGGAAAACGGGATCACCAATAAAAGGACAGGCAAGACCTGACCGAGCCCCCATTTGCTCTCGTCGTCCTGGCGTCCTTGATGGGCAGCCCCTGCTCGCTCAGATATCACTTGATTTCCAGCATACATGATCATTACGTACAGCCTGAGGAGACTGAAGGCTTCCGAAAGTACAATTTCCCGGCACGGATTAATTTTGAAAAATATGACGGTCCAGAATGCTCTTCTTCTGACATGATTTCCAGGGCTCTTTGCTCGAAGGAAATAGCGGGACGGCCATGACAGTGACCATCATAGGAAATTTTCCCTGTGAGTAAAAGAGGAAGAATTTGTGACTTGCGGAAATAAGGATACCGTGATAGAGTAGAAAGACTAGAGCAAGATAAAACAGTCTACTGGCAGTATCAGTGTACCTTTGGTATTCCATCTAGGCCTCTGCAAAGCCCATAAATGGGCCGGGCTTCGAGGGCCCAACCCACGGCCCATTGATGGGGGCCTTATGGGCCCATTTTACTGCATAAATATTATCTTGGCATACCTACATAAATTAGCTGATTAATGACTGTATTTTACGTATGTTCCAACCTGTATACTCAGGGGACAGATAGAATTATCGCTTTTACCTTTAGAAAATAAAATGTACTTCTGTTATCTTGTAAAAAAGTAGAGTTTTATGAAAATAGATTATGATTTTTGTTAATACCGCTGAGTCTGAGACTGTTAGAAGAAGATAAAGAAGAGGAAGAATATAATAATGATTTACGTATATGTATGTAGCTTTATATAGTACAGCCTGGATAGTAATCTCAATACCCAAAAAAACCAGTAAAAAAATATACCAATTATGCAGTTGCGGTAGGTTGGTATGTTTGTATTGTTTGATAAATAATGGGGGCCAATTATGGGCCTAAATGGGCCCTATGGACTCAAGGTATAAGCCCATAACCTATCGATGGGCCCCAAGGATAGGCCCAAAGCCCAACCCATTAGTGGGTTGGGTTGGACTGGGCTTTGGGCTTTGTGGGCTTTGCAGAGGCCTAATTCCATCCTTAGGCTGTGTGTGCCAACAATATAAGATTAGGGACAGCCATGAACGACGAATCAACCACTGCCACTACAGCCTGAGAACTTACGTCAATAAGCATGCATATGTACCTACTCGCATATTTGGGAAGGGGATGGGCGGCTGTGAGTAATACGAGCTCCAATAACTAGTATGTGCTATTCAACTAATAATACGCAGCATATTCTCTTTTCCTTTTATATTTCTTGAGTTTATTGTATGCAATTGAAAAAATACGATGTTTATTACAGGTGACGTTAAGTGCATTATCGCGAGTTCTCGGTCTGTCGTGATAGGTGCTCTGGGTAATTCTGCCTTGATACAGCCCTGGAGTGAGTGACCCATTGCTAATTTTGAATACACTCCAGGACTGCCACTATGGATGCGTGGATCTGTAGATCTCCTAGATCTCCTAGATACACTTAAGAGGATTGGAGCGCGTGAATGGGAGAGAGTTGTTTCAGGGCTCTGGAAGTTTACGAACTTTTATTCACGAAGGCGCCTCTAAATGATGACTGTAGAATTGTAGAAACTATACAATACACCCCTTCCGCAGCTCTCCCAATGCGAGTGAAAGTGTCTCAGCGATCTCTTGTGCCATATCCGACTTTTTACCCAATAGCCACAGCCCCTTCATACACACTTCTGCCTGCTCAATGTTCCTCTCAAAATCATCACTATTGTGCACAAGGGTAGTCTCAAGATAAGACAGTGGTTCATCTGCTTCACCTAGGAAGGCCATACAAGCTTTAGTAAACGCCCTAATCAAAATCATTGTCCATGGTTCGGTCAATAGCGAGCCCTCATTGACAGCATGGTGGAACTCTGGCATTCGCGGCATACTCATGCTATTACCATTTATGGTAGGCATCGTGCCGACTCTTGCCAGATCTGCCAGCTCCCTGGCACTGTGCATCCTCATTCCCCTTGCCACTTGACTAGTGAGACGAATATGAGTTGGGCCATCCATACCCAGGGCATTCTCGTCAATGAGTTCTAGCAGATCGGCGAGTATTAAAGCAGCAAGGTGCCAGTGGGCAGAGATACAGAGAAACCAGCCCTGTATGCGCTTCGGAACTTCACTGTAGTTCTGCACCAGTTCACTGAAGAAGGCGCCGTGCGTTCTGTTCCAGTATTCATATAGTGATATCGTCATTTGAAGGGTTTCTTCGATCTGGTCTTCCGGGGTACCCTTGCGAATGGCATTTTGTATGTAAGACAGGTGGCGGAACATAAGTACCTTGACTGGCGCTGACTTAATGACGTCTTCAGCAGCAGCCTCGTAGGAACAGGGCCAGTGCGTTCGACGTGTCTGTTTGAGGTTTCCTTGCAAAAAAAGATTGAGGTTCCACCGACTTCTTCCAACAGATCTATCGATATTCTCAGCTTGCTGGATCTCCTTTTGCCCTTCGTGCTGGCAGTCCTGATCCGGTACTACGACAGGTCGTTCGTTCATGGATGAGGAGAGAGTGTCGGACATAATAGCCATCCAGTAGAGTAGGCCAATTGTATCTCGATGTTCGGCGCTCATGGCCTCAATACCGGGGTCGCCCTTGCCACGACTCCTGAACTGCTTGCCGAGACCATTTTTAAGTGTGTCGCAGCGATACTTCAGTGCGTGAATTTTCCGAACCGCCCGCTCCAGGTATACTGGCGGTCCTTCTTTGTTTATTATATCGTGTAACTTTGACAAGAGTGAGTCTGTGGCAAACTCATGGCCTTGCTCTTCTATCCCCTGTTTATGAGACCGATTACCTGGATTCCATGGTCTTTGTGTCAGGCCGAAAATCATCTCAGCACATGCCACTCTATACGACTCCAAATCGGCGACTTGTTGGAGTGCACGCTGCGCTTGGTCCCAAAAGTGGTGTTGAAGAATGCGGTCAAACTCGTCGGCGAGTCCATTGGCAATTTCTTCCTCGCCACCACCAAAAGGCCTGGTCGGATATTTCTCATGGTGTCGACGACTCCCCTGCGCCCACTGTGTAGCAAATGCCATGATTGTAAAGTGCAGAGCTTTGGACGCGGCCTGGTCCTCAGCAGGTGTCAGGTGCAGAATCTTGCAAGTCTGTGCCACACGGTCAAGCCTGATTGTGCGCTGGTATATCATATTATACCGCGAGGAACCCAATTCGGGTGTAATATGAGGGGTATTTCGTGATTCGGGTTGGTAAGGACAGGTTATATCGCTTAACCAACACGATAGGTTGTGTTCTAGCACGTCGTGGTAGATTTGGAGTAGGTTCGCTGAAGTCAGCTGGGAGTTGGATGTGGTGATCATTTGTTGGTCGATGGAAAATGGGGAGAGTGATCTTTGCGAACTGTCCCATGAGGAGGATTGCTGGTTGAGAGACATCCGGGGAGAGTCACTCCGACATCGTGGGCTTTCGGATGGGGCGGATCCGCGGCTACTGTACGTCTGAGGTGTCTTGGAGGCCTGGGGGGTCAACCACATTTGATGGTACGCCGGATCAAGTTCGAAATGTGAGGATTGTTGGGTGGAGGTGGTTGAGAAACTAGAGAGGTATGGTGGCATGAGATCAGACACAGATCCTGCAGATGTTACTGCGTCAGACATCTCTGCCTGCCTGATTTCCTGGGGGGCCTCAGTATCATCAAACATGGGACTAAGCAGCATCGAGTCATAGTCAGACAATGACCCAGGCAAATCCACGTTGGCCGACTCCAATTCCCCGCTCATCATCTCCTGTGTGAGATATGGTTCAAGCAGATCGCTCCATGTTCCAGATTCAGTTTCGATCTGGAGCTCGTTGGATTTGCATGGGAAGAGCGTATCTCGACTCCCACGATCGGAAAGGGGTTGTTGAGGGAATCTTAGCGTAGAATGGACTTGTGATCGGGCCCACTCCATAGTACATAGTTTATTTGTTCTAGCGCAGTAGGAACAAGACGATCGCTGGCCATCGATACTGCTAACTTGGAGTGATCGTTTAGTCAGATCCAGGCTGGGTGCATCGCATGCTCGCTTGGATTTTCTGCACTGGTCGCAAGAGCGATTTTGACGCCTAGATCTGGATCCTTGTGTAAGGGTTGCGCCTCGTTTCTGGACAGGCATGATGACCACTGTTGAGTTTTTTATTCTCCCTGTACTTTTGCCCCTGAGGGTATGAAAACCAGAGATTTCCAAAAAGCGGGGAAGCCAGGTAAACCTGGAGATCTTAGGGTTCACATAAGGGGGCTTTTTTGAGTTTCCGGAACCTCCGACCCCCATGAATTCCCCGGATCCCCCGTAGCCCGAATAGGGTTAGTGGCATCTGTTTATAAGAGTGTTGGGATTAATATGTATACATAGAGGACATGAAGGGTTCTGTTATTCTATACAGCCTAGCTAAATAGCCTGTTGAAGCCTTACAAGGCATTCCAACAATCCATTAGGCAAGAGCTTTGTATATCTCAACCTCGACTGCTCCCCATAACCCAAGCACATTAGCGTCCCCAAACGGTGTAATCTGTGTACAAACTATCCCTGCAACACCCTTCTCCCTGTCCGCCCACCACCATATATTCGCTAGCCCAGCCCAGTGTCCTGTGCTGTTCGATCGCCCTGTAGGACCACCATTGCTCAGCATGAACGTCAGGCCCCAACCCTGGGGTGGGTTTCCAGAAACTGGATAAAGCTCTGGAATCTGGTTTGTAAGCTCCGGCTTGGCAGCGGGGATACTTTGGCGACTGTAGTTAGGGAACTGGGGGATCTGATTGGAGAACATCTCGTCGACAGTCTCCTTGCGAAGCAATTTGCTGCCCGTCGTAGGGCACGTTCCATCATTTAACAGCACAGCGAGGACCTCTGGGGAGACAAGTCAGTTATGGTATCTTGATAAAATCTCAGAGCTGCTCGCGACTCACTGCAATATTCCTGTGGCTTGGCAAATATACCCGCACCGCCGCTGTTGAATATTCTAGCAACTTCAGCGTCATTTTCCAGGTCAACAACCAGTGGTGCTCGAAGAAGATGATCTCGGGGTGCCAGAGTGCCATCTGGACTTCGACTATTCATATACGCTAGCCTCTGGCGCATGTCCTTGCTCGGAACCATGGAAATATCTTTGATTCCAAGGGGCACAAAGATGTTTTTTGTTAGGTAGTCGTTCAGCTTCAGGCCGGTCGCGCGTTCCAGTACCATTCCCGCCCAGTCGATACCAACCTGTACTCGTTAGCTATGAATTTTATGGGATTTGATATCTGGTACTTACGCCATATTCCCAGCCTTCGCCGGGCTGGAATACAAGAGGTCGCTTCATGTCTTCGAACCGTCCAGAGAACTCGTCCATGCCAACCGGGTAGGACCACTGCTTCAGTCTCTCATTGAAAAATGTATAGCCGAACCCGGAAGTATGGGTTAACAGCATGCGCAGGGTAATTCCATTCTTCTTGTCCTCAAGACTGCCATCTGGCTTCAACACCTTGAGACTCTTTAGTTCAGGGCAAAGCGCCTCTGTCTGCTCCACATCATCAAGATTGAGGACGCCCTGCTCAACCAGTTGCATACAGGCAACACCAACCAGCATCTTAGTACAAGATGCGATCCAGAATATGCTATCCAATGTCATGGGCTCTTCGCATCCCGTCCCTCGCTTACCAGCAGAGTGGGCGAATAGTTCCTTGCCATCTTTACCAACGACCACGACGGTGGTCCCGGGAATACCGGACTTTTGATCTTCGCAGGCTTTGTCTACAATATCGCGGAGACGCGACTGCACTTCCGTATTGAGAGCCATTTTGCTAATGCGAGTATAGAAAATAGGTGATTGTGTGGAGAATTGTATGTTGAGAAAAAGGGGGGGATCTACAAAAATTAACAGCCAGGGGGAGTGCGACCGTAATCTATTTAATTAAAGAAGCCAGTACGGAGTACGGAGTAGAAGATAACTTCTTCAATACCCTACTAATACCCCCACGTTACCGAGGAGTTCCACTCAATATTCAGCTACCTAGGTATCTATCTACTTAGGTATTTCCGACGTCGATCATGGAGAGGGTTGCGGAACCGCAGTAGATTGGGTGCGGGGAAGGTTCCAGGGTTATCTCCGGCCAACACACTGACAATCTGCATAAACTTACTGTGACGTGGTCTAAGTCTACTTTTTGAGGCTATCACACGCAGGAAGTGCATTGATTCTCCTTTCCATTCTTGCTCTTTTTGTGGAATGGATTAAATACGCCTAGAAGGACTCGAGAGGGTGATGCCGAAGGTTCCCAAAAGAACTCGAAGTTACAAATAACTGAAATTGAGTCAAAACGCCACAATGTGCCCAGTTGGTGATGACTCCAAAGGTCTGCTGCACGTGGTGCATGAAGGAGGGGTACCCTGCGGTTACCTGTATCATTGGCACCCTCGGGAATAAGATACTGTTGACAGCTCATACTGATGCTAACATGAAGGAGTAAGGCGTGAATGCATGTATTTATAAGTAGTAGGAGGAGGTGCCGGAGGGTGGGAAAAGAAAGTTTCATGACATTCCAATAGTCAATCTTCTTATTTAGCTCCAACTGCAACGCTTGATCCTTTCTATCTTTAATCGAAATGGGTGACATAGGGGAGATGGTCTTTAGGCCGAAGAAGTATAACACCGAGCTCACCGACTTCTCAGAGGTTCACGCAGATAAAACTGGACCACATGCTGAAAATCTCGAGGTCGATGCGTTGATCGTCGGTGCCGGTTTTGGTAGGTGCACATACTAGGAGCCTTCATTCGCCAGCTAACAAGATAGCCGGTGTTTTTATGCTGAAAACCCTTCGTGACCGCGGCCTGAAGACGGTCATTTTCGAGGCTGGCAACGACACGGGTGGCACCTGGCGATGGAATTGCTACCCTGGCGCCGGTGTCGATTCCGAAGTCCCAGAGTACGAATTCTCTTGGCCTGAGGTATACAACACGTGGAACTGGCCCAGCAACTACCCTAACTACAATGACCTGCGTGATTACTTCGATCATGTGGATAAAGTAGTTGGTATCAAGAAGGACTGCTCTTTCAACACCGTCGTGATTGGAGCTCAGTTCGATACCAATGAGGGAAGATGGAATGTTAAAACTGCAGACGGTCGCACGACCAAGGCCAAATACCTTGTCCTTGGAACTGGCTTTGTAAGTAATTACAGCATAAGTTAAATGCAGACCTACTAATTCACCAGGAAGGCCGCCAAGCGTTATATTCCCCCGTGGGAGGGCGTGGATAAATTCAAGGGTGTTGTGCACCATTCATCTTTCTGGCCCGAGAAAGAAGTCGAGGTGAAAAACAAGCGCTGTGCGATTATTGGCACCGGCGCCTCAGGCGTGCAAATTACGCAGGCTTGGGGACCCGAGGCTGGCGACCTCACGGTCTTTCAACGAACTCCCAATCTCGCACTACCTATGCGCAAGCGGGACCTTACTGTTGAAGAGCAGGAGCGCCTCAAGCCCTACTATCCGGAGCTGTTCCGGCACCGCGAGGCCAACTTTGCCGGTTTCTTATATGGTTGGTGCGAGCGCAACACCTTTGACGACACACCCGAACAGCGCGAGGCGTTGTACGAGAAGGTTTGGAAGGAAGGTGGCTTCCGCTATTGGGTTTCTGTGTACAAGGACAACCTGATAAACCCCGAGGCCAACAAAGAGTCGTACGATTTTTGGGCCAAGAAGACCCGTGCTCGGATCGATGATCCAAAGAAAAGGGAGATCCTTGCGCCGGAAAAGATGCCGCATTACTTCGGTGTCAAGCGACCATGTCTTGAGGGGACATATTATGAGCAGTTCAATCGGGAATCAGTGCACGTGGTTGACATCAAGGATAACCCGATCAGGGAATTCACCGAGACCGGTATCACGCTTGAGGACGGAACTCACCATGAATTTGATGTCATTGCTATCGCGACTGGATTTGTAAGTTTTGTTTCATACATCAGGGACATAGTGCAAACGCTGATACTCACAGGACGTTGTTACCGGCGTCATGACCCAACTCGGCCTGAAAAGCATCGACGGCGCCGAACTTGAGCAAGAGTGGGCTTCAGGCGCAAAGACCTATCTCGGTATCACTGTGAGCGGCTACCCGAATATGTTCCACATCTATGGCGCACACGGCCCGACGCTGTTGTGCAATGGTCCCACGTCAGTCGAGATACAGGGCCGGTGGATTTCCGATGCCATTGCCAAGATCGAGGCCAATGATGTCAAGTACATCAACCCCAAAATCGAGGCTGCCGATAATTGGAAAGATCATGTTGTGGAACTCAATAACCTGACCCTCTTCCCCACGACACAGTCGACGTATATGGGTGGCAGCATCCCTGGCAAGGTTTATGAGCCAGTGAGCTACGCTGGTGGTGTCCCCGCCTATGCCTTGGAGATTCGGAGGGCACTAGATACCTGGGAGCAGGGATTTGACATCGTCAAGGCCTGAGTGAGATTCAACGGAGTACTAGAATTTCGTGTTGGGCAATACTGGGCGCTTATCCCACGAAAGCACTTGAAGTATAACACATTGGTTACTTTGTAACCTAGGAGAGCTTTTGAAATAGTATAAAGATGGTTTGTATGTAAATAGGATCTCAGCATTGATATTACTATTACTGTCAAAGCCCCTTGGCCAAACTCTTAACTAAAGCCCCTCCAGGCAGATGAAACATCCTGCTGTAGAGGTAGATACTATAGCTAATAGAGATTCATGGATAGAACAGTATCTAAAGATTCACCAAGGAATCTGAGAGAAACCTTCGAAGCTAAATTTACACTCCTGACTACCTAGTTTTTGATTGGATACTGGAACCTCGTTCTATGACCTCCAGATTTGGTAATATCGCGGGGCCTAAGAGCCTGATTTCTTTTTCCGCTTCAACAGCGCTATTTTACCCATGTCGATGAATCAAACAGTGGAATCATCATTGCGACTCTCCACCCTCGCAGACTCGCTGTATTTGATCACGGAATTTTCTAGTTGGTCATAGTTTACTTGCTAGAGTCAAGCTAATACAGCCAGTCACAAATGAAAAAGCAATACTTGAATGGATGCAACTCCCTAAACTAATTCTGATCCCATCCATCAAGCTGTATAATCTTGAATCAATTATAACATCGAAAATGAAAGGAAACAAAAGAAATCTGCCAGCCCTGCTCTTGCCAAATCGCCTCCGCGATCTCCTCCGGTGTTGTTATGAGATCTCTAGACTTTTCTCCCTGGAACAAGATGACTGGTGACAGAGTAGACTTCCCGAGAAGGGGATGGGAGGATGATGTGTACCGGTTGTCTGATCCCCTTGTTTGGTAACCCAAGTGACCTGAGAGCGATGGGGCTTGTTCATTGGCTTCTTTGTTGATTCGTCATACCTGCTATGCTTGCAGTTTGTCCAGCCAGGACTCTTTACCATTAATCACTTTGTTGTTTAGGAATTTTCATCGGCCTCATCGCAGTCCTCGATCATGTCGACACTATATGCGGCGAGGGCATCGTGAAGTGAAATTGTAGGACTCACCCAATTCCTTTTGCCTAGGGAGGAACGACGAAGAAGTCAAAGCTGTCCGTTCGGCCGCGGATCTGCTGGAGATAATATTAGCATTCGTTGAACTTTCATCACTTAGAGTGTCGTATCGACCGACCTCGGGACCGTAATGTGCTTTGTCAGTTGATCCGAGATAGATGGATCAGGGCGCGTCTTCTCTCGTGTTTGGACTTTTCGGCAATTTCAACATATGCGCAAGACTCCGGAACAACAAGAGCATGTCCTCGCCCTCATCCTACTCTTCTTTTTCTTCTTCTGCGCCTTTTGGCTTCAGATGGCCAGGCACTATCTGTGTGACAATCAGGGTAGTGACCAGGCTGGCCGCCGCAGCGAACCTTTTGACTGTGTAGCCCTCGCGAAGCAGAAATACAATTCCTTTACTAACATCCTCCATGTCAATCCCCAACATCGGTGGTTGGACATGGGGAATGATTAGGCCTAACCGCTGCCGAGCAGCCCAATTATCTTCACGCGTAGCTGCCTCTCGTTCCGCGTCGGGAATCACTATCTTATTTGTCAGGATATCTTTGTATGATGAAGGACAACACAGTATGGCGGGAGCCTGTGCGACGCGAACTGGGACGAATTGCCTCTATGGGACGAAGAGAAGGCCTGTCACAGCCATCTGATTGTTGGTGTCGCTGGGCAATCCCATTGGTATCAAGGTCTAGAGGATCACAGTGTTCATGATATCAGGACCTGCATTGTATGTCAATAAGCGCATAGCGATTAGGATAGGCTGTTTATTGGTGTCAAATAGTGGGAAATTGATTGGTGACTTCAATCTTCCTCTAGATGAGATCAACCTTAAGGGCAGGCAACTTGGGAACCAGCGCTTCGAAGACTCGGCCATAGTCTCAGTAATAGTAAGTCTCAGTGTTGCAACACCCGGGCACCAGGGTTTATAGAAGCCAAGCCGTTCCCGCACTCGACAACTCGGCAACTGTCACTTGAAATGGCTTTTGAGTGGAAGCAATTGGCTCTCTAGTATTAGGCGACTCATATTTGTGAGGTTTTGACTGGAATAAGTGTAGTATAGATTGGTAGAAGCGACAAAGGTTTGGATAGTCAAGTGTCAGCATGGAAGTATTTGATAGAGTGATAAAGTATACCTAAGTTAATTATGCAGCTAGAGTTCAGCGCAACGATCTCAAAATTCACAAATAGCTAGAGTGGTGACAGCTCTCCAGTCCACAAAGTGGGAGAAGGGTGCCCACCGAACCTCGCAGCACAGTGTCACCTACAATACCATCCATGATGCATCTCGAAAAAGGATCAATAAAATAGGTATGGATGTCCATTAAGATAATGAGTATTCTAGATCCGATCGCAGGGTTTCCAATCCTTGGAAGGATCCTCTGTACACACTTGTTGCTTGCTCTGCTATAATTGAATAGAGTGATTAGGATACTGATGGACAGATATACGGAAAGAAAGGAGAGAGGGAAAGAGAACGAAGTATCTAGCCAATTTGGTGGCCTCGTATGCTTCTCAGGTTCTATTCGGATTTTGTTTAGTACCAATCCGTCTGGGGATGTAAACTGATCCAATAATACCACGCAAAGGGAAATCTAATTGGGTTCAGATCAAGACTTAGATCGTGATCCTTCCAGTTGTCAATTTGCAAGGACAAGTAGTGCTGGATTGATCCCTGTACAGAACTAAATAAATTTCACTGACTACAATATCCCTCTGTTCGGGATTATTCATATCTTCGTTGGATACTTTCAAGTGTCCCCTGAGCCCTGCCCTCTCTCATATCAAGCATAGGGAAGCCATATGAGATCTTATATCTGCTGAATCCCGACATTTCTCCAGTAGATGCCAGATTCCCCAAGTGCTCAAGACCACCACCATTTGAGCAGCCGTCGAATGCATAAGATAGCCATTCATTCAACAAGATAAATGCAATTTCTCGATCCATAGTCAAACTCACGATATTGCGACCAATTGAAGAGCTCTTGGATATCGTTATCAACAGGTGTGGCCTACGCGGCAACTGCCGAATCTCCAGGATGTGAACTAGTCAATTTCAGAGGCAGTTTCACTGAAAGTTGAAGGTAGGAAGGGAGTTGAGTGACCATCTCTTCAATGTCTCACTTAGCTCTAACTGTCGTGACGTAAGGATGTGCTCCAAGAATACATGGTTCCTCGAAGTCATTCCACATATGATGCCGAAGTGAGTGTCCGTGTTGAATGTCAAATATACTCGAGCTTACTTCATCTCCCCGCAAATGCCATTGGCACAAGAAATATCTTGTATGTTACAGTTGAACCAAATTATTACTCTGCCACACGTGAATTCAGATGTTGGGCGAGAAGGCCCATAAGTAGTTGACTCAGCCGGAGCTCTATCGATGAGAACATCCCTTATACGACACCACAAGCACTCGCTCCGGCCCTTGAAAGCTATCTAGCAGCTGATTCTCTTGCCTTAGACTGGGTACTGGTGGACAAATAAAACCATGTTTCTAAATATCCATGTGGCTGTCCATGTGGCAGCGGAGACACGATCTTTTGATCTATAGAAGAATACAAAATGTCTAGTCAGGCTATCCAATGAAAAAAATTACGATGGGTGTATGAAGTATATCAGAAGACTACTCGATCTTTTCTTCTTAGTCTATCTTCGGCGGAAACATAGGTATTGTTGGGTGTGATGTAGATACTCAATTTTGAGAACCGCTCGATTGATCACTGGTCCTATCTACCGCATCGAGATATTTCTACCCCGCCGCTGATCTTCTTGGTTATATTTTCTTGCCCATCGAGTAAGAATATCCCGACACTCCTTTCTTCTTGCGAAGTCCCAGGCCGTTGAACCATCATGTGCCTTCATATCAAGACACGCCCCACGCTCCAAAAGAAGGTCCAGGATATTTCCGCGAGCGAGCATCGCCGCACCATGCAAAGCAGTGATTCCATCTTCCCGTTGGTAATTGATCTCGACTCCACGATCTACCAATAATTTCACGGCGTCATCGCTTCCATACGAGATAAGCTGCGTCAAAGATCTATCTCCAGTATTGTTGCAGACATCTGGATCTGCTCCATGGGCGAGAAGTTGTTTTATGGCAGGTACAATATAGCGATAAAACAGAGGCGTACATCCTTCGCTATTCAGGGCATCCACATCGGCACCATTTTCAAGAAGTCCATTGACCATACCCTCACTTGAATGACAGAGATATAATGGTGTATTTCCAACAACATCTCGATGATTAACATTCGCGCCATGTTTGCAAAGTTCACGAACCAAATCAACCGAATCATAGAGTTGATCCTCGATAAATTCAAATATCAGAGTTTCACCCGCCCGATTCTCGAGGTTGATATCATCCCCGTATTTCAAAAAAAAGTCAAGCATGGTCTCCCGTTCTGGCGATTTTAAGTAACGGTTCATCTTCAAGTGGCTTTCCCATTCGTGCACATTGTCGTAGGTAGCAAACTCCAGTGAAACAGATGCCCCGTGTTCTAGAAGAATGTTGGCAGTCTCAACATGGCCGTATTTAGAAGCTAACATCAAAGGCGATGTCCACGCTAGTGAGCCATTCATCGTGTTGTTCGGGTTGGCTCTATGGTCGAGTAGCAGCTTGACAACAGCCTGGTATCCTCACATCAAACATGGTGTCATTTTTATTGTCTTCATTAGAAATTTTCTCGCCTGAACTCCAATACTCTTCTATCTCCCTCGGATGGGATAAAAAGCGATCTTTGCCTTCAGCTGCGGCTCCCATCAATGGCGTGACTTCTCCCTCAAAGAAGGACCTGTTGGAGTTTACATATGCTTTCAATGACAGCATACGTTTAATTGGAGTCAGCAGGCCATTTTGACAGCGCCAGAACAGAGACGGCAAATTCGAGCGCATATTAAACTTGTAGAGATATGTAATGAGCAAGTCATAGAGGACACGGTTTGTTCGCATAAGAGAGGAAATATCCCGTTCTGTAGATAGGTTCTCTGCAACGAGCATAAATATTTCGTTTGGCAAGGTGTTAGCCATTTTAGAGGAAACACGATACTGAATGGAACAGTAATCTCGAGCTTACGTTACCAGCGTGTCTAGATTTCCTGAAAGTTTTGACCGCAGTAGTGAAAACAAGTAGATAAAGAAAGAAAACTGATCGCTTTAAGCGCGGAGCGTGAGTTGTTGCCTCAGGCATGGATGTGAGTCATGAAGCACTAAGAGAACACCAGTAACCAATTGTTTTTGTTGAGATAGTGTGTGAAAGCAAGAAAGCAAAAGATATGTTGATTAGAGGAAAAGATTATCTGGGAGAAATAGTAAATTTCCTAGGATGGCCTGACACCTCACCCGAACACTTTCCAATCTCTACAGAGATCAGATGGCCTATCAATCAGATAGCAAAACATATAGTGACACAAAAATTTTGTTCGTATCCTAGAATACTCCCGCTTGCGTCTTTTGGGTGATGTATACGGAGTACATATGTAGCTACTGAGCGGACCTAAACTTTTATAAGTTTATACTTGTGCCAGAGCTGAGTAATTGTCCAGGTTATTTCATATTAAAATTCCATTATGGGATACCCCGGCAAGTGAACCCTGATCAGGATTCAGGCAAACCCCGCGTAGGTCATTGAGTTTGCGAATGGGTTGTACGACAGTGCTGAGATCAGTTGGCCTGGAGGAATATCCCTTTTGGTGTCACTAGTTCCACTTTACAGATCGGTGCCTCGGCGATTCTAAACTCTTCAAATATAGGCTTATATTGAGCTTTGTCTCCTCCGTGGTCCGAAAGACCTCGCTCAGGCATTCGTGCACGAATTGCTTCGGTAGGGTTATTTCAAATATATATTCGCTCTCATTGAATCATTTCTTATTAAGGGTGACATGGGAATCTACATCTCCTCTGCTATTATATATTCCGACGCTGTTGCTATATAACGTTGACGATGAGGGTCATTGTATCCCCTAAGAGTATCACTCATTTGATGCTAGAGTGTTGGACTTTTGAGAATATAAAGCAGATTAGTCTCCTTCAGCCCCGGTATGCTGTAGAGGGCCTTCATACGGGAGCATATCTCATAACTTATGAGAGCATTCTTGACAGATTTGTAGCATTGTATGTCTAGCCCAATTCATCCAGACATCAGGTCCGAGCTACACGTTGTCAACATTAGTACCAAATGATCGGGTACTGCCTCCGTATTTCCATCGGAAGTAAATGTCCTCTCATAAGATTGCACACGAGCAAAGGCTATTCAAGAGCAATAGCTGCAGCTAGGAAGAATTTTCCCATGCAGATCATTAATCCTGCATGCCTCAAGTCTGGCGGTCTAGGCAAATCGGGGCTAGCAATAAATGCTAACTGTAGCTTCAGATGGAAAATCGAAATATAGGCCAAAGCTGAACTGAACATAATTTTCAAGAGTAAATTCTGCCACTGTTGATATGCAAATGTCGAAATATCGTAATTTGAAATTGAATAAATGTGATAGCGTGGGGTAAAAAGGGACCATTGTTGCCTTAGGCGCCAAATCATCACGTTGATATGAGGCTGAACTTGATACGATTCTTGTCTCTTGCATCATCCAGAGACTGATCGGTCACTCCCCCAAAAAAAAGAAAACAAGAAGAAAAGATCTCACAGATACATTTACGATCAAGGTTGTTGTGAGACCCACCGATCTTACCACGGCCCAGCCGCTTATCCAATTTGTTTCTCTTTTTCCCAACTTCACATTTCCCCCCCCCAAGACACACAACCCCCAGCACCATCTTCCTGCTGGGTTCCAAGCTTCCTTTCTTCCGTCCTTTTTAGAACTTTGGCTTGATCAGATTTCTATCAATCTTATACTTTCCTTCGTCGTGGGAGCTCTATCCCGCCCTGAACTCACCCCCCGCCACATCTCCGCGCTTCCCTCCGCCATTTCCCCTCCCCCCTTACTCCAAACTCAGAATTCGAACTACATTTCAGTCTCAGCCAAAATGGATCGAGCTATAGCGCGCGCTGTGACCGAGAAGCAGCCGGTCCCGGAGATCGATTTCACATTGCACACGATGGAGGACAACACGCAGGTGTCGACAATGGAGAGGGTGGTCAAAGGTAATGCAGTGGTCTCGGTCGCTTTCGCAAGATGTGGTAGTCTGATCGCTAACGGTCTTTCGTCGCCTTAGAGGTCCAAGCTCCCGCCCTCAGCTATCCTCCGGATGATATGTTTTGGTCGCCTGAGGATCCCTCCAAGCCCAATCTCCAGTACCTCAAGCAACACCTTTATCGCGAAGGTCGTCTCTCAGAAGAACAGGCACTATGGATTATCCATGCCGGTACACAGGTTTTGAAGGCCGAGCCAAATTTGCTCGAAATGGACGCGCCTATTACGGTGTGTGGCGATGTTCACGGCCAGTACTACGATTTGATGAAGCTATTTGAGGTCGGCGGTGACCCTTCGGAGACGAGGTATCTGTTTTTGGGCGACTATGTTGACCGTGGTTATTTCAGTATTGAGGTGGGTCGTCCGAGTCTCCTTCTTGAATCTAGAAGAACAACCCTGACCATTTCTCTCCGCAGTGCGTCCTCTATCTCTGGGCGTTGAAGATATGGTATCCCGATTCACTCTGGTTGTTGCGGGGTAATCACGAATGTCGCCACTTGACGGACTACTTCACCTTTAAGTTGGAATGCAAGCACAAATATAGTGAACGGCTCTATGAGGCATGCCTGGAATCCTTCTGTGCGCTGCCGCTGGCGGCGGTTATGAACAAGCAGTTCCTCTGCATTCACGGTGGTCTCAGCCCCGAGTTGCATACCCTCGAAGACATCAAGGCTGTATGTAGATATCCGCCCTACCCATATCTTTCACGATGATATTAGCAGACAACTTACAGACATAGATTGATCGCTTCCGCGAACCCCCCACCCACGGACTTATGTGCGATATCCTTTGGGCCGATCCTCTGGAAGAATTTGGTCAAGAAAAGACAGGCGATTTCTTCATTCATAACAGTGTCCGTGGTTGCTCCTACTTTTTCTCTTATCCTGCAGCATGCGCGTTTTTGGAGAAGAACAATTTGCTCTCTATCATCAGGGCACATGAGGCCCAGGATGCCGGATATCGTATGTACAGAAAGACACGGACCACCGGCTTCCCTAGTGTTATGACTATTTTCAGTGCGCCCAACTACCTGGATGTTTACAACAACAAGGCGGCTGTCCTCAAATATGAGAACAATGTGATGAACATTCGCCAATTCAACTGCACCCCACACCCATATTGGCTGCCCAACTTCATGGATGTTTTCACTTGGTCTTTGCCCTTCGTTGGCGAGAAGATCACGGATATGCTCATTGCCATTCTCAACACCTGCTCGAAGGAAGAGTTGGAGGACGAGGGCCCCACACCTGTGTCTCCCATTGAAGAGAAGGATAAGGATAAGGATCTAATCTCACCCCCGTCAATGGACCCCGAATCCAGCGAGTTCAAGAGACGTGCTATCAAAAACAAAATTCTTGCCATTGGCCGCCTCTCTCGTGTCTTCCAGGTTCTCCGCGAGCAGTCCGAGAGTGTCACTGAGCTGAAGACGGCGGCTGGCGGTCGTCTTCCTGCTGGAACGCTCATGCTGGGTGCGGAAGGTATCAAGCAGGCTATTCACAACTTCGAGGATGCCCGGAAGGTTGATATTCAGAACGAGCACGTGCCTCCTAGCCAAGAAGAGGTTCTCGCAAAGAGCGAGGAGAGCCGCCGTGTGGCCCTGGAGCGGGCTGAGCATGAGGCTGCTAACGATGCTGGGCTCGCTACAGTTGCGCGACGGATCAGCATGTAAGTGTTCACCTGAAACATTTCGCCACCATCCCATTTCACATGCTAATTGAAATCAACAGGTCTGCTGGCTCAGGTCGCCCCCGTTCTCGACAGAGGGATCCTCCCAAGGATGCCTGATCAAACTATGATGCGGCCGAGTTGATATTATGACACGATCTATGCATTTCTTCTTCCTGTCCTCCAGCGCAAACACCTTTTGTCCCGAAACGATCGATACGATACCCTATCTATCTGCTTGACCCTACCCCTCGCCTGGCGATTTAAACCCGTGAATTCACAACTAGCGATAAATAGGACAGTTCAGTTAAACATGTGTGCTTTTTACGCTTCATAGTCAATTCTAAAATTATAGTAGGAAAGTGGTTGCATCGATTGTAAATATTGACATAATGATTGATCACATTCCAACCAAGTTATCTGGTGACTGTATCTCTATCGTCTGAGAAATAGAATATGAAGACTACCTATGTATCCATGTATGAAGCCCGGGATGGACGCCAAGCCTCGTTCCCGCATCCACTTCCGCTCAACCAAGTTCATCTGCCGAAGTGCCATTGCGAGAACTGCCCAACAAAGCTCGCCTCACCGCGCCCCAATGGCTCCCAGATTACGCAGCGCGCTTGCAAAGAGCCTGTCGCGTCCACTGGATAGCAGCGCTGTCTTTTACTGCCCCTCGTGCGCGATCTGGCGACGTACCTTGTCTACGCGCGCCAACACCAGTCGCAGCATCGAAGCCAACACATCTCGACGGATCGCTAGACCCCAAAACACAATCACAGCCTCGGATTCCCGGACGTTTACCACCTCCTCCATTATCACTGCGAAGAGCGTGCCACCGCGGTTCAAGGAGCTACACGCCGCCCTCGAGGGAGTAAAGGATGCCGCTCTCGAACAAGTGAACCTCAGTCGGCTACAATTTGCACTGCGGGGATTGGAGTCTGAAACGCCTCTCGTTAGAGTAGCTGGTGAGTTTTTGGTTGTACGATCAGCCTATTGCTCTCTTTGGCACTAGATCTCCCCCCTCAAAGAACGTATGGCACTGATTTCTTCTCGATTTGGACTCCAGTTCTTGGATTGAACGATGCCATCTCTGCACGCAAACTTGTTCGGCTACTACTTGCCGACCCATTGTTGCCGCGAGAAGGCTGGGAAGATATCCTAGACTCATATGATGCCGATTCATCCCGAGGACTACTGATCAGGTATGAACAAGTCTTCTGTCTACGATGTTGATCTTCTGTGACCAGTACTGATTTGAATGATCTATTCTATAGATATGGCGAAATCTCACAATCCATCCCCAATGACTTGCTACCGACAATATCAGTGCCATCGCCCATCCTGAGGAAAGGCAACTTGGAGATCCTAGTCAGCACCCTAGGATCTGAGCCTGACAACCATGCCGCTACGTTCCACGCCGACACCTTCCTCGTCCCCACCGTTACCATCCAGACCTCGCACTCCGGTCGGCATAATTTTGTTCGGTATCCCGTGCACCGCACGCTCGTATGCGGGCGTGGAGTTGATGGCCTGTTGTCTTACAGTACCATGATTGGTCGTTCAGACCTGAAGAACGAGGCCTCTTCAGTGCGCGGAGCCATTGAACTTGCAGTGGCGGACCAGAAATCCACAAATGAGCGACTATCCCTGGTAGATATCGACCGTGCCAGCACTGCCCTCGATAAATTCCGTGAGTCCGTGCACAACGCTTCCGACTACGAACGTGGGTGGAATGGCAGTGGCGTGCAACCTCTCATCGATTGGTTTGCGACCTTCTCGGAAGCATCCAGTGGGAACGCATTGAATCCAGCATTGGTCCCTCTGGTGGAGTCCCTTATTGACACAGCCGACGCTAGTGTGATCGCTAGAGACGCCAAGGCACTCAATGACCAAACCGCTGGCGTAACCCCTGAAGAGACTCGCTCCACCTTGGACCGGGCTGTGACTAGCTGGGCAGAGCGTGCTCACTCTGAGCTCCGCAGTTCCCTCGATGCAGGGCTCGCCAGTCCACGCTGGCGCGGTCTTGCATGGTGGAAACTCTTCTGGCGTGTTGACGATGTGAGCATGATTACATCTGAGATCTTGGAACGGAAATTCCTTCGCCGGGCGGAGAAGGAGGTCATCTGGACTGTGGGCAAGTACCAGCAGGCCGGCCTGTTGGAAGAGGCTTCGTCTTCAAGCCCCGACCCCGCGAAGGACTCTGCCATGCCTCCTTGGCCAACCCAGATCCCCGACCTTCGTACCAAGCTCCTCACCGCCACAGTGCCATCCCTCCAAGCCCTTGCCCAGAGTCTGGTGCTTTTCAGCGTGTCCACTACAACTCTGACTTCTGCTCTCTCTGCTCTAACGTATGTGGCTATTCCTTCGGCTGGAGTGTATGAGTCATGTACCCTTGGTGCCGTGGGTTTGATTTACTCCATGCGTCGCCAGCAGAAGAGGTGGGATGCCGCCCGCACTTTCTGGGAGGAGGAGGTCCGCGAGGAAGGACGCACATCGCTGATAGAAACTGAGGCTGCCCTTCGTGGTATTGTGCGGGATGGCGGCAAGACTATGGAGGATTTGTCTGACACTCGTGCACGAAAGTGCGTTGCAAGAGCGCGAAAGGCTTTAGAGGACGTGAAGGTTTAATCTGCGCTGTACAATATCGGACAGTGTACTGTATATGTATTGCCTTGTTAGGATAGAACCCTAGAGCTACAACCCACTGTGATATGTATGATATTCATTATGCCATCTACCGTTCCGAAATTAAGGACTCGTTTAGGAAACACCATCAGATTTGTGAATTCAGCTACCATCAACACATTTGGTTCTATCTCTACAACACTCCGTATATCGCAACTAACGAAAATGGAATATGGCTCTCTCCACTTCCCATCTGGAGTTAGATTAGGAATATTGATATTTTGTCATCCTAATAGGAGCTGCTAGCTCAACAGCAGATCTTAATATGTACTTTGTAGTAATAATATATAATGCATAATTCATAAGAGGCTTATCACATAGAATACTGAAGTGCCGATGAACTAGGCAGTAACTAACAAGCTTCGCAACGTCATGGTGGACAACAGATGTGAGATCTGAGACATGGGGGGGTTACGGAGTATTGGATCGGGATATTGCAGGGATTGGAATAATATCCGACACCTCAAATTGCTAGCTAATTTGACCATATGACCATTACTACTCCGTAGTACTTCCGTACCGCCGTACTTCGTATACAATTTTATATTGGACGCACATAATCTTTAACGCTGTTAATTGCAAATTTCCCTTATCGGATATCAAAAAGGGGGATATAATTTACGGATTGTTTCATATTGGGTCTTGTAGACCAATCTCCATGCTCAACGTGGGTCACCAAGACGGGCCTAATGATTTAGACCAGGAACGCGCCGTTCGTTTCAGCGTCTCAGATATCGTCCTGAACGGTAAGTCCTCCACCTTTGCCCAGGAGAGAGAGAATCTTTACTCTCTATCTTCTCTATCTTCGAACCCCCTCCCTTTTCTCTCGTGTTCTGGCGCCAATTCCTAAATTAACCCCATGCTCATTTCACTTCGTTTTAATTCCGGATGAACACCCAATCGTAATACGTAGGGATATATAGAGGAGGTGCTTAGGCTTTGAATTCTAATGGTAACCACTCCCCAGCCTACTTAATATCCAGAATATCAAGGGATTGGCCCGCTCATTAAACTCAGGCCCCTCTCCAAGCACTAAGGGGGATTGGCGCCTCATGATTGAGGGCCTACCTTTAATTTTTCTATCTTTTCTGCCTTGAAGTACTTGACCCCCGTGTGCTGCTCCTTTAATCTGTTCCCTTGGCCCCTCTTACTTCGTCCTGCGTCCTCACTCTCTTTTGCCCTATCTCAGGGTCTGTCGCTCATTTCATACCTTTGTCGCTCATTGATTGATCGTTTTTTGTTCATTTTTATATCGATTTCTTTGCAAAAATCCAAGTAAGTCTTTTTCTAATAGGGGTTTTATTGAAAAAAATAGAGTTGAGGCTGATAAATTGGCGCATCTTCAGGGATATCCAACACATCCTTTGTTTACTAACGTCAGGAGAACGTACTTGATCGGTAAGTTGCATACCTTAATTTTCCTTTTCTCGATCATCCCTACGGGGGAAGTGCTGTGTCTAGCCCCGACAAGCAAGGGGTCATTCCTCTACCCTTGTATTGGAAGGGAGCATTGATATAAGACTATTTGGATGTTAGGCCTTTATGGCTGGAATCTTCTATCTGCGATGGACCTGTGCTTGATGTCTTGCCTTTACCTCCATCGACTGACCAAATTGCTCAGTATCTATACTTGTCTCTCGAACTCCATTTCTTCACGCTTAGCCGGTTGATTCGGTGCTCCTGGCGAGTCTGTCATTTACAACTGATTCCCTGAGACCATTCGCTCCTTATTTTCATCAGCCCCTTGACGCGGCTCAACCACCAAGATGCAGGAAATCCGACTAACAGCCATTGCGATGGCCTGTCTTGCGCTTTTCCCAAGCTATACAACTGCTTTCTGGCGTCTTCCCTGCCGTGGAAGATCTGGCGTCGCCCGCATTGACCCCATTGTGGAGCCGGGTGAGATCTCATCCCACGCTCATGCAGTCCATGGAGCTGGAGGTAAGCGCGCATTGGCCCCAAATCTTGGAATTTCTCCTACAGATATCCTGACTTATGGTTAGGCTTTGGCATGAGCTCCAATCAGGCAGAGCTCCGCAATTCCGAGTGCACCTCTTGTGCAGTAATTGAGGACAAGTCTGCTTACTGGGCTCCCGCTCTGTTCTTCATGCACACCAACGGCAGTGCCGAGCTGGTTAATGAAGTCGGAGGCATGCTTGCGTAAGTCTGGTTTGGCTCTCGCGGTGGAGCTCTACTAACACTCTACTCGACCAGCTACTATCTTCTGTATGGACAGAATGTCACTGCTTTCCCAGATGACTTCCGCATGCTGGCAGGCGACCCCTTCCTGCGCGATTTCACCTGGCCAGTTCCCGATCCTCCCAAGTCCGAGTGGTCTGGCGATCAAGCCTCGCAGGCTGCTTTGCGCCAGAAGGCCCTTGGTTTCAACTGTCTTAACTACCAGGCCACCCCTGAGGACTCCCTCCACCGCCACTTCATGCCCAACAAGACTTTCCTCGATGAGCATTGCACCGATGGAATCCGTTTCGAATTGATGTTCCCATCTTGCTGGAACGGCAAGGATGTTGACTCTCACGACCACAAATCCCATGTCGCATACCCATCTCTTGTTATGGATGGTACTTGCCCCGAGGGTTTCGAAACCCGCCTGGTATCGCTCTTCTACGAGACTATTTGGGATACCTACGCCTTCAAGAGCGTCGATGGATATTTCGCGCTCGCCAACGGCGACCCCACTGGATACGGATATCACGGCGATTTCATGCAGGCTTGGGATGAGGGTGTGCTGCAGAAGGCCATTGAAACCTGCACAAGCGAGACAGGTGTCGTTGACGAGTGCGAAGTCTTCACTGTTCAGACGGAAGATGAACAGCGCCAATGCGAGTTCCCCATTCCATTCGAGATCAAACATGAGAACTATCAAATGCACATCGACGGATTGCCTGGCGGCATGCCCATCGAATGGGGTCCTGAGCGTGCCACGATGAAAGTCAAAGCAACCACCACAACCAATCTGATTTCACTTCCCACAATTTCCATTGGTGATATTTCGATTGATCCCAACACTTTGCTTGACAACATCCGCGCGCCTACTACTGCTTTCACTTCCACCTCGACTCCCTCGCCAACCCCGACCCCCGTCACATCTACTATTATCGACCCTATCACGGAAGAGATCATCTATCTCGAGCGCGAGATTGTCGTCCTCTGTGATGGAACTGGCGAGGCGTACTCGACTGTCACTGGCGCCATTCGGACTGTTTCCTCTACCATAAACACCGTTATGGAAACCTCTACTGCCGTTTCCTATGTGAAGAAGGACACTGTCCCGGAACCTGTGGAACCGGTGCAGGCTGCTGGCCATGCCCACAGACATCTTCACCACCGCCACGGTCACAGTCACAACTAAGGTTAAGAACCTTCGTTGTCGATGTTTGGAACCTATGCGCAAAGTGCGCAGCGCGTCGTTCTCATTTATGTCACCTTGACCGAAAGGATATACCCCATGCTTCTACATCAAGTTGGACCTTGAACTTGCTGGATTGTACCCCGGGAGCTTTTTGATTCATGTACATTTATTTTGTTCTGATTGGACATCAGTCAGTCGGGGGAGGGTGTGCATTGACCATATTGTCGCTCTCGTGATAAAATTTTAAATAGTCCTGGCTGCTACAATTGAACTGCATTGGTCGATAGAAATTGGGTCTACGTAAAACATACAAGCTTTTATTTACTATATACGTAGTAGCCTATGTTTTATCCCTGTCCGCTATTTTGGTCGCTTATCCCCCCTCAGCAATGTACGACGTAGGTCTCAAACCCAACCTCTCACATATTAAATCGTCTTCCAATGTTTTATCTCAACTCGACCTCTCAGTAGATGTCTCAGCATCTCTATACAAAGTAAAGATCAGCCTACCTCAGTCCAGTGGGCAACGGCCATGCTGTACATATTCCGTGCGACAATCGCGTCGGACAGACGGGACATAACGAGGCCCAACAACAATGCCCAACAATGGTGGCGAGAACGTCAATTCCAAGACAGAACAACAAAAATTCTCGAGAAGTTGGCAATGTATGAGAGTATCCAGAATTATCTCTACCACTGAGAACTGTCCAACCTCTTTTGACCACAGTCAAATGAAGTCAGCGTCGCAACGATGCCAACTGTCTTGCATTGTTGTATCTCCCCCAGGCTACCTGTCCATGTAGTACACTCGAATTGCGCGCAACTTGAAAACCAATTATCTGCTCTAGTGCTGTTAGTTCAAGACCCTGTTTTACTTGGCCAGTGATGTGCATCATAATAGGTGACCCCTGACCCCGCTGCAAAATCGTTTTCTTTGTCATGGACTTCCCGAATAAGGATCCCTTGTTGATAGGGGTAAGCCACTATTTTTATAAACTTATACTCAGTTAGGCTGCTGGGTTATTTGAAAATTTGTTCCAAGCCTAGTGATCGTCCTCGATCAAAGGGTTGCATGCGTCCTTTGTTGCGAGGTAGTATGAGCTGAACTTTGCTGTCTCTGATTTTCCCATATGAATCTATCAGCTACCGTTACTTTACCGTAGTAGCCTTGATCAGCCAACCTGAGTCAACTCTGAACCTCGAGAAGTGCCCAAATTAGGCTGTCCTTGGTGTTAGACTTACGCCAATATAAGACACGATCCATCTCTACATTCCGAAGAGAAGACAGTTGTTTCTAGCGCACTTGCAGCAATCGCACATCACAATTCTCATATCAAGTTCAAGCACGTCGATACTGTCATCATGGAACCCTTCCATCAAGTCTATCTCGTCCTCGCGTTCTTCATCTCGGCCACAATGGCTATCCCTCAACAAACCGCCTCGGTCACCATCACCACTGCTGCAGGTCCGGCTACGATAACCAAAGGCCCCGAACTCAGGTGCTCAGATGGACAAATCGCCGTCTACACGACAGACTGCACAATGGGGACCCCTGTTTCGTACTGTTCCAGACCGGAGCCTCCAATCGAGTGCTCTGAGGGATTCTTCCCGTCTATTTGGCATCCTGGCCATTGCATGGAGCAATCGACCTGTTTCCCGCTCAACGCACCATGGATTACCACCGAGTGCTCGAACGGGGCTATCCCATATTCGACGTCGACCTTGTATGAGGGTACCTTGGCGGGAGGCGACTCAACTGTGATCAGTGGTACGTTTCTCATTTCTTTTTCTGCACCTTCATTTTTATTTCTCATTCTCATGAGGCAAAAGTTGAGCGCTGGGGCTAATTTGAATGTTATCGCTTCTTGTAGCTGTCTCCTGTTCCTGTGCCGTAAACCAATGGTACAGCTCGACTCGTCTACCAGGGTCGACGAAGTATGACACCTTCTGTATGCCGCACAGTGCCTGTCCACAGGGTATGATGACCTCTGTCTCAACCAACAAGTACTGCGCCACCCAGCCAGCGGGCGTTTGCAAGGATATACCTCTGGAAACGGACTTTTGTAAATGCGCCTATCCGGAGCAGACTCCAATCTATCCTGACTGGCCTGGTGCTAATCCAACTGGGTGCGAGTTTTGAACTTGTTGAGATATTTGGACTTTCGATTTTTCTGATGGATGATCGTTGAAAGTGGGGAGTGAGAGGATTAAGGAATATGTAGCCGATAACCGATAACGAGGTGGAAGTTCAATCCATCCATGGATATATCCAAGGATCAAAGTACTCCGTAAGCACAATTCAATTATACTAAGGTCATCATCACATATTACCAAAAATCATCATATATTGCACCATTTGATTCTAAATGCTTCGAAACTAATTAGCCTAAAACAGACACAGCCCCGTTTTTTATTGTCATGGAAGGTCCAAGCCTTAGGCGTCCCAATCGGGGAAAACATAGGCGCAGCTCCCGGTCTCAACCCCGCATCGGCCCGTCTACGGCCCTGCATATAAAAAGCCTCTCCGTGGACAGTTTTGTTTCCTTCAATTTATCTTTCAAGTTCATAATTAACAATGTCAGACGCTCTTCCTGAAATGCAGTACCGGTTCCTCGGTAGAACCGGACTGAAAGTCTCGGTCATCTCGCTGGGTAGCTGGCTGACATATGGCGGGCACGTCGGGAACGGTATATGACGAATCTTCATCGGTAGAATTCATCAAAGCTGACATACTCCAGAAACCGCCCTTGAATGCATGAAGGTTGCCTACGATGCCGGCGTCAACTTCTTCGATACCGCCGAAGTATACTCAGGCGGACAGTCTGAGATCGTGCTCGGAGAGGCAATTAAGAAATTCGGCTGGAAGCAAAACGATCTCGTCATCTCCACCAAGGTAAGAAACACATTTTCTCTTCCAGTTATTTTTTTTTTATCCCTACTAATCCCATCTCCCAGATCTACTGGGGCAGAGCCAACAGCGCCAACCCAGACAAACCTCTCAACAACAACGGGCTCTCCCGCAAGCACATCATCGAGGGCATGAATCTCTCCTTGAAAAGGCTAGACCTGCCGTACGTAGATATTGTGTACGCACACCGTGCAGACCGCGATACGCCCATGGAAGAGATCGTCCGCGGCTTCAACTACCTCATTGAAAACGGCAAGACCTTCTACTGGGGCACATCTGAGTGGTCTGCGAGTGAGATTGCGGATGCCTGGCGCATCGCCGACAGACTCGGTCTTATTGGACCTGTCGTCGAGCAGCCGCAGTATAACCTCCTTGCTCGCGAGCGCGTGGAGAAGGAGTACCGCTGGCTGTACGAGGCACACGGACTCGGTCTGACGGTGTTCTCGCCGTTGAAAGGCGGTGTCTTGACAGGCAAGTATAATGATGTTGCTGCTCCTCCTCCTGGGTCACGGCTGGCAGAGTCGGAGGATAAATATGTGCAGGGTCTGCGGAAGACTGTTGGTGATGAGACCTGGCAGCGACAGCTAGATCAGGTTGCGGCGTTGAAGCCTGTTGCTGAGGAACTTGGTGTTTCGACAGCGCAGTTGGCGCTTGCGTGGATTTTGAAGAATCCGAATATCTCGTCTATGATTACGGGCGCATCAAGGCCGCAGCAGGTCGTTGATAACATTCGGGCTCTGGATGTGGTGGAGAAGTTGACGGATGAGATTGTTGAGAAGATTGAGGTCGCTGTTGGAAATAAGCCTGGTGTTGAGGCCAGGCGGTTTTAGTTATCTTCTAAAACTAAACAGCTAGATATTTTACATAGAATGGAGGTGGAGCACTGAATTCGACTTGATAGCATTGTTGCTTTCAAGAAGCCAATGTTTGAATTAAATCCGTCCATATAATCCATGTATGTAGTTAACTCTGGAAGTATAGACATCGTTTCGTGGTTTTATCCAACGAGAGAGAAATAAACCCTGGATATCCTTCATGAAGAATCCATTGAACGTTGAGTTGTTTGGGAGCTTGTTCAAGTTTGATTCATGCCTGATGAACTGAACAGAGACATGCAAAGCCTTTGTTTGCCTCAACTTCTTCCTCCGTCTACCATCCAACAGTGACAGACCAGCTGCCATCAGAGTGCTCATGGGTCTCGAATTGAGATTCACCAACACAGTCGCCGTACTCATAAGGCTTACCCACAGTCCCAGTGTAGCCCTTAGAGATGGGCGCTCCGAAAACAACACTCTGCTTGGGCACATCAGAGCACACGTGATCCTCCTTGCCATCGTTCCAAGCATACAATTCAACGAAGCCCATCTGGTAGCTCTGAATACCCTTCGCTTCAGGAGCAAGAGTGTAAGAGCCGATCTGAGTGCTGTTTCCCATGACAATATCAACCAGAGTTCCGACCCACTTGGTTCCCTCGGTGTTCTTGATGTGCAGCTGATATTCATGGTCGTAGGAGCCGACGATCTCAACGGCACAGCTGACGCCGGAACCACCGTCGGCACCGTCAGAGCAGTTGGGATCGTCGGAGGTGGTGCCTGGATTGAAACTGGAGAAGACTCCGTGGATGACGGGAAGGCCGTTGACGTCTGGACGGGGCTGCAGACCGGTGTAGCCCACGGCAGGTTGGTTGACGAAGCCGAATTGCTGGGCAAAGTAGAAACCTTCCTTGCGGGGAGCACCAGAGATATCCATTGGGAAGAAAATCTCAGACAAGCCTGCTTCGGTGACGTTCTCGACGGACCATTCGACGGCGACCATGCCACCGCCCTGGGCTACGGCGGATTGGAGGAATGGGAGGGCGAAGAGGAGGGATTGAGTGAACTTCATGTTGATGGTTTGAGAGGTTTGGTTGTGTGGAATAACATCTTCAATCGGGGCGTTAAATGCTCTTTATATAAGCTTGCCGTTGCATTTACGGAGTACCTTGCACTATAAATCGATAAACACGAAACACTGAAGCGGTTATTGTAAATGATGATCTGCAAACTTCTTTTCTCCGATGCCGCCTATTCCTAGGGTAATATACTTTGTACATCGATTATTGTCTATATTGCGGTGAGTGGTAATTTAATACATTAGGTGCTTATTACTTCTTGCCCCTGTCTCCAACATATACTAATAAATCTAGCCGTGTAGTCGGGGAAGTTCACGCCTGCTGCTTGCATACCGGATATCAAACCTCGAGTTCAGCAACAAACCTCGAGTTCAGCAACAGCCCTGGAGACTCTATACTATTATGAAGTAAATTTCTGCACCATTGACGCATTTATGGATAGCAGGGTTTCAAGGTTGTTTCGATGAATCCACTGTGTGGGGTTGATAAGTGGGTGGGCCTGACTTGATCGTTCATAGGGAAGAATCCTTGTAATCCTTGGAACTTCGTGGATTTTTTGAGATGTGATCTAAATCCCATCTTTGCACTATGTGCAATGTGATATACAAAGTACTACCCCTTCCGGGCCTTCCCCTGTACAAACTAGATTATGCAGGTACGACGACCAGACGACAAATGTCCAGATCTACATTCCGAATCCCACATGGAGTACTCCGTACATTCCTCTGTAATTTAAATCTCGAAAATGCTGGATCCTCAAAGGATATCGTGGAGCACTAGGATTTTGCGCTTTCTGCTACGTTCATAGACAGCGGTCATGGAGGAAATGGAGTAGACATGTCCACAATATAGTATTCACGTAACAGAAATCGCATACATCTCCATGCAAGTAGACCAAAAGTGGGATGTCCCTGAATATCACTCGTTTCAGTTCGCGCTATACATAAGCGATTTTTTTTTTCCGACCCGTGTGGTTCCTTCCGAGGTGGGCATCTCATTCGTTGATCCCGTACTTGTGCACCTAAAATGCCGATCGGACGTTTTATATGATCTCTAGCCCGATTTAGTAATTTAGATTAACTATTTAGATTAAATGGAGGGTTTGTTGAGTGACGGACCTCGTGATACCCCGTAGTGACGTGTGTTGAAGGATTGAGCTGATTTACGTTGTAGTTTTCAAAATGTTGGTGTTGCCTCGTATGCCTTAGACGACCAGTTCTATGGAGACAGGGACTCTTTGATGTACTGTCTGTTTCAAACTATGTCTTTTGGATATGAAATTAAAATAAAAAAATACAAAGATCAGGGCGCTAAAGAATGACACCATCGCATACTACGCTATATTGAGGCATATATAGGTACAAGAGGTCAGGTAGCATGCCATGCTACTGTCTGAATATTGAGACCTGGGCATCCATGAAGGCGCGTTGCTAAAGGTGGGAAGTTGGCTGATAGAGTTACAATCAACACGACGGTGCGTGTTAGAGTCCTATATAATAATGATACAACCTAAGAAAGAACAAAAAAGTAACAACGTCTCTAGATATCATATGCAGGTGCTTCATCCAGCTGAAGCAAGAACTCGAAGCCAAACGTCGATTTGGGATTCCTCCCGGAAGTAAACACAGAAGCTGATTTGTAAAGAGTGTGGAATCAGCCCATTCCCGCATGTTGTAAACCCACAAACCCATATATAGTCAAAATATCAAATGAATAAGGCGGAGTGCACCCTCCGCCTTCCGCCTCCTATCTCTCTCCCTTTCCCCTCCTCTCTCCTCCCCCCCCCCTCCCTGTATCCTTCCTCCGCTCCAGTTGCAATTGGTGGTGTATTATTCATGGTCAGTTACAGTGTCGAATCTCCGTCCTCACCCCTCATGGTTCCTGTATGTATCTGACAATATATATAATGAAGCTTCTACAAACTTTTCTACAACAACCTTGACTTTCTCACTCAATCCTTAATTTGAACTATCATCATTGACATAACCATGAAACACATCTGCGTAAAACTTGCGTCCTACGTCGCGATGACTCCGAATCTTCGTTCGCAATTGCGACTCACCCCAAGTATTATACTTGCCCCTCAAAAAGGCCGAATCAACACTCGCACCCTCTGACGCCTCCAGTGCTATCTTTTGCATAACGAAATGACTCCTTAGAGTCTCAACCGCCTCCGTCTTCGTCAAACTTCCCCGAACACCCTGGAAAAAGGGCACACTATACCTCTCCGACGGACCTGACAACACACGATGCGTCGTCGCCTTACACGCACCATGAGTAACCACCTCAAAAGCTTGCCCAATATTTACAACGAACGTATCTTCAATTACAGGGACGTCGATCCATTCACCTGTCTTGTTGAGAGCCTGTAAACCCTTCACAGATGGAGGTGATGCTTGCAGAAGGAATGTCCACCATCCAGAGGAATCTTTGTGAGGACCCACGCCTTGAATGTTGGGGTCTGAGCTAGGATCTGAGGCGGGATAATGAACTAACTTGAGGCGGTGCTGTTCGGAGAGGAATGAGAATAGAGTCTCGGGGTCCAGGGATAGAGCTTCGGCTACCAAGCGTAGGAAGCGCTCGCCGAGGTTTGTTAATTCGTGAATATATTTCTCGACAACGCTTCGAATAGATGGGTTTTGTGACGGCCACTGTTAATTGTTATCAGTATAACTTTTAGGCCAGGTAACCGATGAGCCGGGTGAAATAGAACGTTTGCTGTACCTGATTTGGTCCTTTTAATCTTTCATGAAGAGGATGACCCTCGCGCCATAAGTCTGGCAGCTCGTTCGCAAACTCGAACTGCTCGCGTTTATCTGCGACTCCGGCTGTTGTTTCAGAACCTACTTGGCTGTATCCAAGAAAATGAGGGGAGTTGTGTAAAACCACTTCTTCTTTTTCGGCTGGATTGAGGGTAAAGAGTATAGGGAGGGCGTGTTTCAAGTCCAAGATTACGTCTTGTGGAACATCATGATTCGTGATATACAGGAACCCAATGCAGGTGAGGGCGTGATGGAGTTCTTGGAGAAGCTTGGGCCTGGTTAAGGGCGACTTGGCGAGGGATAAGTCGATTACTGGGATGGATTTGAAGTTGGATGTCATTTTTAGAGGTCAGTGGTAGTCAGTGGACTAGCGATGAAGTTAGCAGATATAGTGCGACAGCTATGGCGCAATATAACAATTTAATGTACCCCACATCTCTGCGGGGTAAGTTAGGATGGAGAAATTAATGATTTAGTCGAGTCCGACTTGTCTTATTTATCTCAAATATCTAAACACACTTTCCACCATCCACCACCATCTCGGTGCCGTTGATAAAGCGAGCCTCATCACTGGCCAGGTACAGACACATGTTGGCGATATCATCTACGTCGGTGAGGCGACCCAGCGGCACATTTCCGATGAACTTCTCTCGGTTCTCAGGGGTATCTTCCATACCGGTGAACATGGAAAATAGTCCGGTGCCAGAGAGAAGAGGAGCGACACTGTTGAATCGGATATTGTGGGGACCATACTCCGCGGCGAGACCTTTGGTGGCCTAGATGGATTGTTAGAGATTCATTGTCCATTGTCCAAGACCTTCCAAGATTCAGCACTTACATTAGTGACTGCCCCCTTAGTGGCATTATACCAAACCAAACCAGGCCGTGGCCGAGTCGCTCCCGTGGAGGAGATGTTGATCACCGAACCCCCCTGGCCTTGCTCGATGAAACGCGGCATCAAAGCCTTTGTAGCAAGATAAATGCTCTTAACGTTCACCCTGAACACACGCTCCCATTCTTCCTCTGTAACCTCTGCTGTGGGCTGCAGGAAATTAGTGACATCTTACTATACAATACATCTATGGATGGAACTCACCTTGTTGCGATAAGTAGTGCCCGCGTTGTTTACTAATATATCCACTCGTCCAAACTTGGAGAAGGCTAAATCCAAAACCATATTCCAGTCTGCTTCTTGTGTGACATCTTGACGCTGAAAGATGAGGTTGGACGGATTCTGTGCGGCGACTTTCTCGCCGCCCTCGACATTGATATCGGTAACGATTACTTTAGCGCCCTCTTCGCCGAATCGTCGAGCGATAGCTGCACCAAATCCAGCACCTCCTCCTAAGAGAGAGAGGGGTATTAGCATCCACACGCATATGGTCTGGGATAACACTCTTACCGGTGACGATGGCAACCTTGCCTTGGAGTCTTGAACCTTGGAGCATGACAAAATTAAGCAGTCAAAGAGAATTCAAAGTGATTAGAACAATAGAAAAGCAAGCGTTAAGAGTCCTTATAAAGATGCAGTCGAGGAGGGGTCACAAAGGTCGGAGTGAAATCCGATACCCTTCCCCGCATTGGTTGTATACATATGTCAGTGTATATACCGGATTTTAGGCCGCGGTCGCGATTTTCCCGATCGGGGTGCCGCCGCTTTATGAGGGCGCTCAAGGTCCTGCTCACTGAGTATTTAACAGCACACAGCACTCCCGCATAGCAGCCTATATTTAGAACCAGCTACATCGGCAAATGAATTCATCATCATCATCATCGCCGGAGTGGTCCACGGGTGATGACATCGGACTTTTTCTGAAACTCCGCGGACTTTCAACGCCAATTTCCATCTCCATATCCCCATGGCTCCAGCATTCAGGGGGGAGGGAAAGCAATACAAAATGAATTTAATCCAGATGGTTTATAAAATTGGATCAATTCCTGTTTTCTCATCTCCTCCACCAACCTCACATCAATCTATATCTCCTAGCACATCATGTCGTCTACCGACGGAGGATCCACCACTCCCACCTTGATGAGCAAACCTCACGACAAAGAGGAAACCATCTCGAGCCCAGGGGCCGCCGAGAAGGCTCAGCCGGAAACTGAGCCGACCACTTTCTCCTCCACCTTCCAAGAGGCTGTCTTTATTCTTATCATTGGCTTATCGCAACTATTCTCCGTCGGCGGTCTAGGCAATACCGCCTACTCAATGGAACAGATCGGTACCTCTC